TAACGGGGCCGGGCCTAGAGTAGTAGGCGGAGCTAGGGCCGGGACTAGAATAGCCGTTAAAGATAAGGTTAACGCTCTCGAGGGAGGAGGAGCTAGAGGGGCAGTAGTAGCAGTAGTAGCGGGGGCCGTAGTAGGAGGGGCTATAGCAGCTATAAGGGCAGAAGGTCGAGCTATCTAGGTCGAGTGCTAGCTATAAAGGAATAAGACTACTTATTATTATACTTTAGTAGCTTCTTTATTTAGTTCTTAGCTAGCTTCTTAAAAGATAGTCGAGTAACCGTTACTAAAAGGCTTTATTAGCAGAGATATATCCTATAGCTACTAGCTAGAAAGAGCTTTTATTATAAAGTATTAGTTAGCTTCCTTAAGGATTTCTTCCTACTTAGCTAGCTATAAAGAAGCTAGTAGGTTCCTAGTAGAAAAGGCTCCTAGGTATATTTCCCTTTATAAATTCCGTTGCCCTAAGATAAAGAGGGGGCTTAAGAGGGTCCTACTTATTAAAGAAGACTAAATTATAAATAGTTCTATTTATTTAAGCTTATAGCTCCTTTACCTACTTATCCTAATCTTAGGGCTCTATAAGAATCGTCCTATAGACTATAGGGGCTATAGAGTTATTTTTCGATATTATTATAAAAGAGAGGGTAGAAAAGTCGGTTAAAAATTAGCTTTTCTAGTAAGAGAGGTAAAAGGAAGCTACGAGGGATATAAGGAAGATGCTTTTTATAGTAGTTAGAAGGTATAGGAATTCTATTCCTCCCGGGCTTATAACTCTCGTAAAGAGAGATATAAGAAGTTTATATAAAATATATAAAGGTAAAATTAAAAGTAAGAGGTTAAATAAGTAAGGTAAAGATATTTAATTTTTATAGGGGCAGTAATTATAGTAAGGGAGTAATTATTATATTTCCTTAATTATCCTTCTTTCCTTTATCTAACGCCCCTTTTTATACCCGTTTAGTATCTTAATTAATAAAGAAGATCCTACTTAAAGAAGCTACTAATATCCTCTTAACTACCGAGCTTTTTACTAGTTTTTCCCCTCCTTTCTAGCCGTTACCGGTATATCCGTCTTATCTCTCGCTACCTCTATAGGAAGCTAAGTTAGCACCCCTAGCTTCCGGCACCCCCTACTTCTAGCACCCTTTATAGTACTAAGGCAGGCATATTTTAAACGCATTTAAAGCCGTATTTTAATATTACGATAATTAAATTTAGTGTTTCTAGCTACTCTAGCTACTAGCTATTATAAAGAGCTTTAAATCCTACGTTCTAATTAGCTATAGCGGCGGCAGCCGGCTTAAGCGTGCGCTCGAGCTATTTCTTTGTCTTTATAACTTATTTAATCTATACGAACCGCCTATTAGGGTCCTAAGGGACCTTTTTCTATTTTTAAGGCTATAGACGATATAATTAATACTCTAGCTACTATATTCGAAGCTAGGAGGCTATAAGCTACTAATTTTACTTATTAAGGCTACGGCTAACCTTACTAAGGAGTAGTCGCATCGTACGGTTAACTTAACCGCGGTTTTCTAGCCCTATAATAAGGCGACGGACTTCTTATAATCGTTTAGGCGTTTTAAGGGTATTATAAACAGCTAGGGTACTAGAATTCTTTCTTTTTAACGGCGTTAACGGCGTTAACGGCTATAGTAAGACGAACCGGCTTAGTAAGGGCTTTACTATATTAACTAGCTATAGTCCTAACCTACGCTACCCGCCCTTAATATTCTTTTTAGTTAAACCGGCCTACTAGGCTTAATAATATACTTAGAAGAAGGTAGCCTTACTAATTAGCGCTATATCGTCGAAAGATATAATTTTTTCGAGTTAATATTAGTAGGTAGCCTTAATCGGCGAGAAAACTAAGATATTAAGAGGTTAGAGGACGTAGGAGGAGTATACTAGTAGAAAAAGAAGATAAATACGATTCTTAAAGCATTTATATATAAAATCGTCGGTCTAATAGCTCCTATAGCTATTAACGATAAGGAGAACGTTCCCTTATAGGTAGCGCTTTATTTAGGGGATAAATACTTACTTAAGCTATTAAATAGCGATAGAATCGCTTATCTAGCCTTTTAAGGAAGTAACGAAGTCCTAATCCTTTAGAAAATCGAGTTTATTAAGGAACTATTACTATTAAAGGTCTTAGCCCTTAAAGATTATAAGGGGGGTTAAGGCCTAGCCCGTTATAAAGACGTATTCGACGATTATAGTCTAATAACGCGATCTAAGCCGCTTCTTAATAGCCTCCTTCTTCTCTAAGCTCCCTAGCATTAGCCCGTTATAGCTAAGGCCCTTAAGGATGCTTATTTCGTTTATATTAAAGCGTGATTCTAGTAGGATTGCCTATATAGCCGGCAGCTTAAGTAATTAGAACTATTCCTCAATCCCGCTAATAGAGGCGCCGTTAATATAGGTAGAATTAAGAGATTTACCTTTAATCGTGCTAATCTCTAGGTTTTAGGCGAAAAAGCTCGAAACCTAGTGTTTTCTAAGTAGGCGGGGGTCTCTGCTAGCTACGATAATACGGCCGGCGAATTCCCTAAGTTAATAATACGTTAGAAGCAGCCTAAGGGCCGCTTAAGTAAGAACCTATTTATAGAGGTGTTTTTCCTGCTCTCGACTAAGCCTTTAAGATACCTCTTTTACCTCCTTTATAGGTAGGGCTTCTTTAAGACGCGTTTAAAGGGTTGTTCTTAGAATACCCTACTTACGACTAGCTTAGAGCTAAGGTATACTATTATTAATAGCTTTAAGCGCTTCTTAGAGCTGGTTTTCGGTATATTTAGAAAGACGAGGCATCGCTAATTTAAATGATATTTATTTTATAATTATTAAATAAGAGATATACGAGAAAACGCGGTCACGATATAATAGGTAGTTAACGCGATAGTAGTATAGGGAGGTGCCGGAAGTAGGGGGTGCCGGAAGCTAGGTGTGCTAACTTATTGCTACTTCTACTTCCCCTCTCGCCCCTACCCTCCTCTCTATACCTCCTTTTAGCTCCTTCTTCTAAACCGGTTTTTTAGCTTCCTAGGTCCCTCTTACTAAGGGATATCTCCGAGAACTACGAAATTAGGCCACGCTTCGCGATAAGTATATTATTTATAATTATTAAATAGAAGGTATATAAGAAAACGCGGTTATAATATAATACTAATATCGGCGTAAGGGTAGTAGGGATATACTAAAAGAGGGGTATACTATAAGCTAGGTTAATATAAAGACCTAATAACTAGTAATAGTAGCCTACTATAACCCTTATTAGGTCGTAATAAAACCGGCTTACTAGTCTAGCCCTATAAAAATAGATCCGCCCCCTCTAATTAGCTTAGCTATTAGCTGCATCTTATAGGGCATAGCACGTGACCTTTCCCGTGATTACTGCACTTTGGATCTAGTAGGCAGCGAGTCAGATGAAATAACACTGATTCGACGCGTGGCTGATAACGCGGCCGCGTACGTACGCAAAAGAAGCAACTGCAGGGCAAGGTTCCCCTGTCAATATAGCAAAATATTATATCAACCAGGGCATTCCACAGTATGCTTATCAGCTTCAAGCTTCAGTAAACACCGCATCTCATCGTACTAAAAGTCTTTCCCCGGGCCGGACGTTGGCAGGTCGGGACTTATGCGCCCCTGATAAGACGCATGTTGCTAGGCTCTTGTGCCACAGCATAATTAGAGACGGAGACTTTCTAGGAGCATTTCGCCTGGCTCTCTGCCATTTTGGCGCTCAATGACCACGGCTCACAAGACACGAGTAGCGGTCGCTCGGGAACAATCCTATAGAATGGCTAAAACGTCTACCCCTGAAGTATAGAGACATGACATGGTAACTCTCCTTGTGTTTTAATCTATAGGCAGCGAGCGGCAGCAGCCCATATGCGATATCGTTGCTAGACCGACAATGGCTGGTCAAAGACCCTCTGTTCTCAGAGATACGACCTACATGTAGAAAGCCGCAGGGATAATCTCGCCAGTGTCACGCATATACATTGTGACCGGTTTACCGCCTCCCCTTGTCCACCGTCATGATTACTACCTTAAGATTGCCGCTAGAAGAAAACTTACGGAGTAGACAGCATGAGACGGAATATCCCCTCTTAGCGCTAGGCACTCCCACTCCCACTCGGCTCATGGCGGGAAGCATGCAAGCCACACAGCCCAGCAGGCATCGATCCCCCCCCCCCGTTCGACGACTTCACCAGTTCTTAGCCTTAGTGCAGAGCAAAGAAGCAAAGATTGCCGTATGCCCTCTTTCCGCCCGTGAATAATACGACAAGGGTTCCGGACGCTCCGTGATGAAGTATGCGCCCCAGAGAGTATCATAAGTTGTCGTAGGGGTTTATGCCAGAGATCAAATGACTGGCTTTGGTAGCCAAACACATCCGTCTTGATATAAGATAAGTAGTTACGATTGTCACTAACGCTTAGGAGGGAGAACGCATGATAGGAGGTCACCTCGGTGTTCCTGGGAACCTCGACGCAAACCGATTTTTTCTAGGTTCCACCAGACTACTCCGCAAAAGCTATTAATACATTCGCGTCTGCTTTACCGAGTCAGGCAAACTAGCCGATCAACAAGGGTCGCTTCGGGACTCGCCCTTTGAACAGCTTATACGAAGTAATTTTACGCGGTTTATCCACTCGGGCCACTTGTGATAATGCGCATTGTAGAGTTTATTGCGCAAAAGGCATGTACATATATAGTGCTGTGCATCTGGAATGCCGCCAATTGCACGTACATGTGCAGTTTGTAGTCGAAGACGCTGCCTGATGGGCTGAATGCAAGGTACATACCGGCGACTTGAACGCTTTGTGCTTTCGTGGCGGAGGCAACAACCGATCGGTTTGCCCACCTGGCAACCAGAGTCCTGTCCTCAGGGCTGACAGCATCGGTCAGAGAATTACTGAGTGATAGAAAAGGGGCGGAGGCCGGAGAAGAAGACAGCCAGTCCAGAACAGCCGCCGCCGCTCCGACACCGAGAATGCCGTCCTTTGCCAAGCAGCTGGGGGCGCTCATCCACAAGAATCTGCTCATCTCCGTCGCCAGGCGCCCGATTGGCTTTCTGCTGTCCATCTACGTCGCTCCACTCGCCATTCTAGGCCTCCTTCTCGCGATTCCCTCTCTTATCCCGGCCTTTAACACGTTTGGCATCTCGGATCCGGCCCCGATCCGACCGCTGGCCGATACAATCAGCAAGAAACTCGTTGTTGTCAGACCGCCCGAACTGGGAAGCGACGTCGACCCTGTCATCGAGACCTTCACTCGCCCCGTCAGGAAGGAACTGCTTGTCTTCCAAGCCAATGAGTCGGAGCTGCTTTCGCTATGCCTCCCCAACACGCGAGGCGTGAGCGACTGCCATGCCATCGTCATCTTCAAGGACTCGCCCCTGACGACACGTGTGACAAACTCTTCCGCCAACGGGCACACGTGGAACTATACAATTCGCGCCGACCCAGCACGGGACAACCGAATGTTTGATCTCACGAAGCACCGGAGCGACCAGGAGGATTTTTATATGCCGCTGCAGCTCGCCATCAATAATGCCATCACGAACTCTACCACGACGCCTGAGACAGTCATGTTCACCCCTGAGCCGCAGGAGAGCTACGAGCAGAAGATTTCGGTTTCCCATGCGGCCATTGTGGGTAGGATCTTTGTCTTCGCCCTCATTGCGGCCCATTTCACCATCATCTATCGCCTGACAACCTTCATCACCTCGGAGCGGGATGCGGGCCTGTCGCAACTCATTGACTCCATGGGAGGCGGCAGCACCATCTCTACTCGCGTGCTCAGTTGGATCATCACCTTTGACCTGGTCGCACTGCCTTGCTATATAGGCTTCGGCATTCTCTACCAGCGCTTGCTGTTTCAAGCCTCAAGTGTCGGCACTCTCATCGGCTGGCAGATTCTGTCTGGTTTTGCCATCAACAGCTCGACAACATTCGCCGCCGCCTTCTTCTCCAAGTCCCGGGTCTCCGCCATCTACGTAATGTTTATCTTCTTGCTTATGTCCATCGTCGCCCAGATGTACGCCTCCGAAACCAAGCCGCATCCCCAGTCTGTGGCCGTTGGAGCTCTATCGTTCCTTTTCCCGAGCTCAAACAGTGTCTACTTTACTCAACAAATGTGCCTGTGGCAGATTGATGGCCGGGCCGCCGACCCCGGCAAGCTTCCGCCCGAGTCCGCGGGGCTCTTTTCCGAGTCGTACGGCGTTAGTCAGGGCGCGATGCTCGGGTTTCTGACCCTTAATATACTAATCTACACCGGTGCTGCGATAGGCACCGAGAAGCTCTTCCATGGCATTCACTTCCGCAAGAGAAGGTTCTCCAACCCGTCCCATGCCTCAGCGGGTGTTGTAGCGCAGACATTCGACATCAAGAAGCGATTCGTCCCCAGCTTTCTCACGCGCATTTTCTGCTGCGGTCGTAGAAAGCCCGTCCTGGCGGTCGACGGCGTCAGCTTCCAGGCGCACATGGGCCAGATCATGTGCCTCGTCGGCCCCAACGGGTCGGGCAAGACAACCACTCTTCATATGATGTCGGGGTTCATCAGCCCAACGGAGGGATCTATCGCGTTTGGAGCCAAGCCCTCACAAATCGGCATCTGCCCCCAGAGAAACACGCTATGGGATGAACTAACTGTCGAGGAGCACGTCTACTTGTGGGATCGAATGAAGGCCGGGAATAGGTCTCGCGCAGAGCTCGATCAGCTCATCGAGCAGTGCGACCTCCATCCGAAGCGCAAGTTCAAGGCGAATCAACTCAGTGGCGGCCAGAAGCGCAAGCTCCAGCTCGCCTGCATGTTTGTGGGCGATTCTTCCGTATGCCTGATCGACGAGTGCACCTCGGGCCTCGATCCCCTTTCCCGGCGAGCTATTTGGGAGATTCTCCTGGACCAACGCTCCAAACGCAGCATCATCTTCACGACGCACTTCCTGGACGAGGTCGACGTGCTCGCCGACCAGATCGTCCTCCTTGCCCATGGCAAAATCAAGTGCCAGGGCTCGTCCGCTCAGCTCAAAAACATGCACGGCGGCGGCTACAAAGTCATTGCACCTCTTTCTGCCGCACAGGTTTGCAACGGCTATCCTCTCACGATCCACCAGGAGCGACTCATCTACGACGTTCCCGATTCACAGTCCGCAGCGCAGATGCTTTCTACATTTGTCACCCTGGGGATGACAGACGTCGCCATCTCTGGGCCACAGTTTGAAGATGTCTTTCTCAATCTCTTAAGAGATGACAGCATAGTAGAACATGTCAAGACCACCTCCACGAGCGATCCCAGTTTCGAGATGACGCCTGGCCGGGTCACGTCGTTCTGGGCGCAATTCGCGGTTCTTTACAGGAAGCGATGGACGGTTCTCAAGAGATTCTGGGGCCCGTATCTCTTTGTTATCATTGTGCCCCTTGCGGTAACGTTCGTTCTGGGAGGTTTGCTGAAGGACTACAAGACGCCCAGTTGCGAGGCTTTGACAGATATCGGGCTTCCCCTGGAGACCTCTATGCTGAGGTGGAACGGATCCTGTCCTCAAGAGAGCTTCTGCGAGCAGCTCTCAGTGGCACCGCAAGCGGCCAACGCCAGACTGTTCGGGTTGGTCAACAACAGATACCCCGGGATGGCTCAGGTCGACCCCGCAACCTATGATGGCTTTGTCGTGGTGCAGAACTCGCGCGACGAGATGCTCAGCCACATTGGGCAGAACAGAACCAAGGCCGGCCATGGCGGCGTCTTTGCTGGGTCGTCCACCGAGGCCCCGTTGATTGCCTACAAGGTTTTGACGTTTGGTGCGCAGTCTGGGTCTCTGCTACTGGACGTTTGGAGCCAGATGCAGGGTGGTATTGAGATCAACTCTTCTCAAGAGTCGATTCCCAAGTCTCGGAAGGTAAGAACTCGCATCAGACACGCTCCAGTCACACGACGTGACACATGATGGATCGAACAAGTCGACCATTGACTAACTAGACATGCATGAATCCAGGGAGGTGACATGAGCGGTCTAGTCTATGTCTTCTTCTCCTGCCTGCTCCAAGTGCTTTACCCAGCCTTCTTCGCGCTCTATCCCGCCATGGAAAAGGCACGCAAGATCAGAGCCCTGCAGTACGCCAACGGCGTGCGGCGCGCTCCCCTTTGGGTTGCCTACGGCACCTTTGACTTTCTTTGGATTTTCGTCCTCTCGGCGGCGATCATGGTCATCACGTCGGCACAGCTGGCCTTCAACGGGCCGGTTCTCCTGCTGCTGCCGATACTGGCTCTCTACGGTCTATCGGCCACGCTGATGGGCTATACCGTTGCGCATTTTACAAACGGGCCGCTCAAGTCGTATCTGGCCACACTGGGAATCGGCATGGTTTCTTATACGATTATTGGCGTCTCACTCGGGGTAAGATCGAGTCCAGACACGGCATCCAAGCCAACCTTATCCTCACCTCTGAAGCTGGCTGACGTGGCAATGCGTACTAGGTCAGTGAGGGAGCCGCCACAAACGGGCGGGCAGAGGATAGCATGGCGGGCATCACGTTCGGAGCCAACCTCTTCATGCCCATCGGTAATGTTTTTCGAACGCTCCTCTTGGGGCTCAACTTGATGGAAGCAGGGTGCAAAGACGGTAGGCGTGTGCCCGTGGGCTCTCTCCACGGCTTCGGAGGCCCGCTCCTCTACCTATCCATCCAGGTCATTGACTCATTGCTCTCCTCCTCGTCATAATCTGGCTCGAGGGCGGCATGCCCCGACTTCTCTCTGCCAAGGCCAACGCGATCCCGCAGCGAGATGAAGACATGGAGCTCAATACAATGCACTCGAGCGCCGGCGGCCAAGTCAAAGACAGCGTGACGGGGGAAGTGACGCGGGCCGAGAACGCTGGCTCAGACCTCCTTCGGGCTCTTCATGTCAGCAAGAGCTTTGGATCTAACAAAGCGGTTGACGATTTGACTTTTGGGCTGGCCAGGGGCGAGGTCATGGCTCTGATCGGGCCTAATGGCGCAGGGAAATCAACGCTGGTCAACATGATTCAGGGGGAGCTGTCACCAGACAAGGGGGAAATCTTGCTCTGCCAAGAAGACAGCAGGTCCCCGGGGGCCAAGAAGAATCTCGGAGGTGAGATGCAGTCGAGCGCACCGGAAAAGTCAGTCACCCTACTAACAATGTTGAATAGTCTGTCCACAATACGACGCCCCCGACTTCATGAACACGAGAGACCATCTCTTCTTCTACGCCCGCGTCAAGGGCATCAAGAAACCCAAGGCCGACGTCGAACATCTCATGGACAGGCTCAACCTGACACCTCACGCCAGGACGCAGGCCTCGAAATTGTCGGGCGGCAACAAGCGGAAGCTGATGCTCGCCATCGCGCTCATGGGCACGCCGCCCGTTGTCGTTCTCGACGAGCCGACCTCGACCATGGACGCTGTCGCCAAGCGCTCATTTTGGAAGATTATCCAAGAGATTGCCGCCGAGCGCTCCGTGCTTCTCACCGTAAGGTCTCCCTTCTATTCCTTTTTTTTTCTTAGAAGCTCTACTGACACGGCGCAGACACACAGCATGGAAGAGGCAGACGCCCTTGCCACGCGTACGACCATCATGGCACGCCGATTCCTGGCCATTGGCACGACTCAGGGCCTACGTGAGCGCTACAGCAACATCTACTATGTCAATCTGGTGCTCATGTCGGCGCCCACATCTTCGGTGGATGAGATGAGTCACGTCGGAGGGTGGATGCAAAGCCGCATTCCAGGTGTTCGTTTCGAGCGTGAGATGCTCGGCGGCCAGGTGCGCTTCACCTTTCCGGCAGCACCGAGCAGCACGACCGGATCTTCTCCCGTTGCAAACCTGATTGAGATACTGGAGCGGGAGAAGGACAGCATGGGAGTCGAGTTTTACTCCATCAGCGGACCGACGCTCGAAAATGTATTTTTGAGTGTTGTCAGGGAGAATCAGGTGCAAGAGGAGGACGGCGCCGGGACACGGCCCCTTTGGAAGAGGCTTCTGAAGCGAGAGTGAAGTCGCCGTAACTGGTCATTCCTACTTCCTGGCAGAGTCTTTCAGCCGAATCCAGACCACTGTACCGTACTGTATAGATGCAGCGCAATCTCGTCACTTGAGGCGTTGTCGCGAAGCCATAAATGTCTTCAACACCGATATATAATATACCCACACACCTCTTAATACATACCGTTCTGGTTGGCCTCACGACAGGATGCTCTGTGTTTGTTTTCTGGCTTCTTGGAGTAGACGAGCTATTGTCGGGTTGTCCCGTTGGCTCCATAATCTCGGGAGAGGCAACGCTTCAGGAGCAGGAAAGAGGACTGGCTCTACTATGAAATGTTTTGGGCGGCTCGGCTCAGGAGAAATTCTAAAAAGGCAGACAGGAGAAAATCACTGCAGGGATGACGGCCCCATGGTGTTCGACAACGTATCAACCGCTTCATCACCGAGTGTCTCGTCCATGTCGACCTCCGTATGTTTTCTACCCTAAGTCAGGGGTTAAAATACGCATGAGCGAGAAACCCTTTCTCGGTCAGTATAGTGATGAACAACATGCTCTTCGACCCGGAGACGAGGCGCATTACTGCCCTTCTCTAATTTGACTGGCCGGTCATCAGAAGTCCAGCCCACAAGTCTTTCACTTGGTCAAACGCAATACTTGCCCGTGGGTCAAGCATTGCCACATCATCATGCAAATCTAGTTACTCGGGCCCGGCCTGTCTATAAAAGAGGCATCCAGCCGTAGGCTACATGTACATGGAGACCAATCCATCTCTTATACGCGCGCAAATCAAGACTTTAACACATCAACTGAAGGCAAACTTGGCGTCATCTCCTCAGCGAGCACTGATAAAGTCAAATTGTGTAAGGCCACATGTGGGAAAGCCGCTCTCGCAGTATGATGTAAAAGGAAAAGTAGGAGCAACTTGACCTTGACAGGGTTCGCAAAACAAACTGGCAATGATCTGCTTGCATGTTACTAGCAAATTAAGACATGTGTTGTATTGGTCCGGTCGTATCTCTCTGTGCCGAGGTGCTAGCTGTATACATGTATCTATTTATCCATCTTGGAGTCGCCAAGCAGCTTGTCAAAGTTCTTGTCGCTGAAAGACAAGTCAGCCTTGTCCCAGTCCTTGGCCTGAAGAGCATCCCAAGCCGCCTTCGGGAGACTCTCCCAAGCGATCAGTGGCACATCTCCGCTGGGCTTGTCTTTGGTAGTCGCTAGATGATGGTTGAGCGGCCACTCGTTCGTATACCCGATCAAGGCCCGGTCTCCATCCCACTTGACCTCGTCGCTGCCCTGGGCATACTTCTTGTAGCCTCCGTGCGCCGAAATGGAGATGCCAAGATACTTGGCCGACTCGCTTTTCTCCGAGAACCAGAGGACAACGTTTTCCCAGTCGTGACGGTGGCCTCCAACGGCACACACGCTCGGGACATCCTTTGGAAAGTACCATGTGTACATGATGGCGAACATGCCGTCCTTCTCGGCGCTGCGAGAGTAGACTTGGCCTGTGCTGCCATCGCACTCGTTGGTTTCGTCTCCATCACAGATGTCAAGGCCATCGCTAAGAAGTTGTCAGGCTAGTTCCACTCGAAAGAAGGGGTGGCTTCAAGATAATACTTGGTATTGCCCTGAGCATCAACTGCTGGGAAAGGCACGCAGCCATGGATGATGTGCAGCCATGGCTTGAACCTTTTGTAGAGCTTGCCGGTAAGATCGTCAGGCACCGTTTCGGGGAATGGCTGGACTTTGTCATGAGCAAGCCGGGGCTTGATGGCAGACCCGGATGCAAGAGAAGCTGCCACAGCCAATCCGCAGGCGAATCGAGTCAAAGTAACCATCTTGGCTGGTTGATAGCAGTTGAAACTATTTCAAAAAAAAGAGCGTGGTGATTGTTCGGTGGATTTGTGGCGATGGATGAAGATTTGAGGAATGTGCTGATGATCCGGGGAGAATGAGGGCGCTCCAGAGACATTTTTATACTCGAGTCTTGACCTCGGTCTCGTCAGAGGCTCGGCTCTGGCTACATTGAGATGAATCCTGACATTTTGCGGTCCTGTCATCAATCCCCTGACAAAGCTCCGCCGATGTCCAATAGCTTCTTGGCAAAGTTGAAGATCCTTCCGATGATGGGCAGAAGAATCCTTTAGCGAGCTTGTTGTTCAGTAAGCCGGCCGTCGGCCTCTTCCTGTCTCGTTTGAAACGACACCACGGCCCCCAATCTATAAGGGGGGTTTGCAGGCTCATGTACGACCAATGTGCTCTCATTATATCTCAAGATGGCCCCACGATCCGGTTCCTTCGAACCTTTCCCGGTCATATGACATCAGGGGCGGCTTTGAACTTGTGGAGCTCGACTTCGCCCCCGCCATCTGTGCAGCGACACATGGTTCACCCTCTCCGGGGAGGGACGTCGATACATGTCAAGGCCTCTAATCCATCCAAGCAATCTCCGAGGCCATGGCATTAATGCAACCACACCTCTTTTCCCTCCTTGTTGGTGTTTCAAAGGATTGGCCAATTTGGCTGCGAGGCTCGGACGAAATCAAGACTCACGCCTTCTCCGAACCAGAGGCGGTTCGCCTTGAGCTATCTAGTTGCGTCATCGGCGAGAGACTGAACAGGACAATCGCGGTCGAAGCCTACACGCATATTCAGGTAACTTAATGCAGTGTTTCAATGACATGGATGTCTTGCTTAAGAGACGACATTGACTTGATAAGAACTTTCTAAAAGCCTTGATGACTACATATTTAAAAGGGGATGATGGGATCTCGCGCAGGCTTGTCTAGTTATATATCTGTAAAGATACTCGCCCTAGAAATGGCAACGTTGAAGATCTCGCTGATGCCAACGTTCTTCACGGTGCATGTATCAAAGTGGCTAACGAGCGCAGGGCGCTTCCAGATCATTTCGCATTGAGCAGCGGCACTATTCAGATCAAATTCGCTTCATTGTACAAATGAAATGGTGCAACACCGTGGCTACTCCTCTTCAATTCTGACCGTAAACGCCGAACCCCGGCTCCGTGTGGAAGCCGTCTCTCCATCATCGTGATCCCTTGTTGTGCCACGGTCTGGCGAGGTTTCTTGTATTGCCGGGGGCACGTAGATCTGGTGCTCTCGCTTTCTTCTCGTGTGGGTCAAATTGTCAGGGGGCAATGGCCACGCAGGCAGTGGTGTCTCTGATCGCACCTCTGCACGTTTGAGGGAACCACCCTTGCTATTCTCTCGCGGCTGCTGCCCAGTGTCGAAGACGGATGGCGAAGTTTCATTGCTTGGCGCGCTCGCTAGGGAGGCGCGTGATAGAGCGGCAGGATTAAAGAAGCGCGCTGGAACGCTGGTGCTCCTGAGACCAGGTTTGGGCGCCCGCGTCGCGGTGGCAGAGTGTTGGTGATGTATCGACTTGGTTGCCGATGCATCCTGATCCTTGGAGGGCGCGCTGGTGGGAGCAGAACCGAGTGTCTCGGACGACCTCCGCGTGCGAACTCGAAGCCTTCCTTCCGGGATGTGTTCGTTGTTGCAAGCGTCGCTCGCCTCTTCAGGAGCGGCCGACTTTTCGGATAATGCGGTCTCAGGACGGCGGTGATCCGGAAAAGCGGCGTTACTGTGTCTTCCGGTGAGATGGTTGGGCTCGGGCTCATCGTTGACAATGACGATCATCCACACGCCGACCTTGCCGTTGGAACCCACGAGCGGTGTGCAGTGAAGCCAGCGCGACCGCCCCGCCGGTTCCGGCTCCGCGAGAGTGTCGGAGTCGTCGTCGATATCCAAATGTGCCTCCAAGGGGTGGTTATACTGCATCTTCTTTCTTGGAGGCCGGCTCCCATATGTAGCAACCTTGTGACTGACGCTGAGCCACTTCACCTTAGCTGTGACACCCTGCCCTTCAGCCAAGGCGTGGACAAACTGGTCGCGCATGCGCGCCGAGCCGCCGATTCGGTCGAGCAACGGTGACTGCAAGATGCCCGGCATGCGCATGGATGGGCTGGTGAAGAGAATGCGTAATGAAGGGTATGGCCGCACGAGCAGGTAGTTTTCGTACACGCCGGTGAGACGGCCGTTGTGTTGGGCCGCGAGAGACGCCGCCGTTGCCAACAAGCCATGGGAGTGGGTTTCCTCAGTTGGTGAGTCCGGGTCCCTCAATACGACTCGATGCTTGGCTCCATTGACAGCGTGATGTGAGCCATCACCTGTATGATCGGTGCTGGATTTTGTAGACCCTCTCCTCTCGTGGTGACGGGGCCCTGATTCAGTTTGCATCGGTGGCCGATGCATGTCGCCTCCACGGTCTCGCACCGTCTCGATCTCGCGAGGTCCCAGTATCTCGGCGAGCTGGGTGAACTCGTCTCTGGAATGGGCTTGAGGCTGTTGACTCGCATGTGGCTCTCCTTGCGCGTCCGTGTCTACAAGTTGCTTGAGCGCGCCAAGACCATAATAGTCCTTTGCCAAACCCGACACATCGACCTGAGCACCTATGAAATACCTGATGGTACCTCTACTGTCGTATAAGGGTGCAAGCTGCAAGTTCCAGTCAGCCAGTGAACATTGTCTCTGCACGAGATGCTTTTCCCTCACCATTACAAGGTTCATGAAAGGAGACCCGTCACGCCGATAATTGAGAAACGTTTCGTAGTGTTCCACGCCGTCTGCCAGTTTCTGCCGAATACGACTCACGCTGAACGGATTCGTATGTGGCCCCTGGAGGAAGCGGCAGTTCCGTCCGATAACATAGTCTACTCCGTACTGCGTAGTCCTATTAAACTCCTCGGACATGAAGACGATGGGATTGTCGGGCCGTGAGGGGTCCGTGAGGCAAAACACCTCGGCCAGACCTTCCGATGCGTGGGCCGACGTGCCTCTGATCCTGTGCCTGATGGACACGGTGACGGTTTGAATCCAGACGTGCGTGATGTACATGGGGAGGTCCTCCCGCGCGAGAACTTCAAAGGCCATATCGGCCTTTGCTTGCAGCTCCAGGTTGGCGGTGGGCTGCGCCTGGAAGTATTCGTGAGTGAAGTCAAAATGAGTCAGGGGCTCGAGCTTCCGCAGCACGGCGTTGCTGTACTCGATGGCCCGCAGTGCCTTGAGCGCCTCCAGGTAGTATGTCAGCAGGGGAACGGATCCCGGCCGATGCTGGTACAGAAAGTTGGAGAAGCGGTGCAGATATGCAGGGTCGTCGAAGATGGCCTGCAAGTGACGACTTGAGAAGAGCAGTTCGGAGCGCTGTTCCAGCTCATGCTTGCCCTTGATGACGCCATTGTTCTCTGCTGGCATCACCAGGTCAAAGCTGCCCGGGTCCAAATCATCGCTGTCCACGGGGTCGAGTCCGTCAGGCTCGCCGTGGGCCACCTGCAAGGGCGGGAGGTCTGCTTCGCCATTCTGAGATGCATTGTCGAACGATGCGTACGTTGGCTGGGGCGGGAGCGGCTTCACAGAGAAGTCTAGGTCTTCAAGGCTCAGGTCACTATGGCTGCAGATGGACAGCGGTGAGTATTGCGTTGTGTGAGCATCGGCAAGCAAGAGAAGGGGGCGAACCTCGAGACGGGAGACAGAGGATGGACGAGCGCGGGTGCGCCCGCTCGATCCATGCCAGACAATGCACTCGACAGGACTATCGTTGATCTCGAAGAAGCGATAAAGGACTGAAACAAGGCGAAAACAAGGAAAACTGCCTCAGGGGGGTCGCGTGGAACGACAACCTAGAATTCGAACGCTTCTTACACGCCTGCTCGTCACTTGTCAAAACGCTGTATCCATGTGCCCGGCCCCTGAGATCATGCCCTTAAGCTCTTTATATAAGACATGACACGCCTTGCTTTTTCTCAGCCCCTTGGAGACGTAACGTCCTTTGTCCTCGGTCGAAAGAGGAATTGCCGCGAGGCTCAAGCGACCTGTCATTCTGTCTCCCAGAGCAGGCGATATCAAATGGGGTCTCGAGTTGGAATAGCCTCTCTACAAAGAAAAACCCACAACGCCACGTCCGATGCAGTGGTTTGCCTAGGGGCTTCAACACCACCACACTGGCAGCCCGCACGGGCACTGGAATCACGATCGTAAAGAGCACCGCAGGGTAACTGAGATCGGGAATCTTGGCCTATAATCTGACGGAAGCGGAAGCTACCTGACACCATGCTTCCTTTTGCCAGAAATTTCCTGTCAGTCACCCTACATGTACGGAGTACTCCATGCTGCCTCCGCATCGGAACATTCAATGATATCCCCGGCGGCGAATATGTCTTATTATACAGCGCCACGTTCTGCAGCTCATGATCCCGTGCTTCTGTCTGATTGACCTTGATTCTGCGTGAAGTGAATGCTATCTTTGATGGTGAAGGCACCCCTCTTGCCGGTGGACGAGGTTTGGGGTCCCGGGAACCCTGAACGTCAGAAACTAACAAGTCCCGCATAGAGCAGGGTCACGGACGATGTCAAGGAACCAACCACAGCCGTTACATGCGTGGACATTGCTTGTTGGACAAGAGGCACCACCACTACGTCAGCAGAACCGGGGTCGTCTTGCGAGGGTCTTGCCCTTTGCCGACACGACCGGGAAATTGGGCCGAGCTAACAGGACGTTTGCGGGCCCGCTAAGGAGAGCTGCGGAGGCCCTTCGTTCAGCCCGCTCGCTTCGGGATGTCATCGTGCCACATGTATGGGGACAGGCCCGGTCCTGTCTTGCTTCACTGCAGATCAACGGTGCGGGCGGCCTAACGGTCTGTCTCCTCGTTGCCCCGTTGCCTCGTTGCCCACCTGCCGGGATTTTCTCTGGCCAAAGCGGTCATCTTCACATTACAGAACTCGAACGGCATAACGGATTAATCCATGAATATCATCCCAAGATAGTAACCACGTGTACTGCCAACGCTCTATCGCATCTAGTCGTCAAGACGGGCCATTCGTAATATGTCGTGGTCTCAGAGCCTGGGAAATGGTATTGCGGCAGAAGCTTAAACCTCGACGAAAGGCAGGTCGCCGGCTGTGACCCCGTGCTCGCTGATTAGAGTTGATCTTCCGCTCGTCCTTCAAAAGTCCGGCGCTAGCAATGCGCCTGATCACCGAGTGGCTTGGCTCGACCTCGACGCAGGCCGATGCGTAGCCGTGTTTCAATGGAACTGGTTCCGTCAATCTCCGTGCCTCCAACCCCCATCCTAGAAGAGCCAAGGGAACGTTGATAAAGGCTGTGTGTGCCAGGGGTTCCCCCCGACTTTGCCCTATGAGAATGAGAAGCGTCGTCCTGTTCCCTCTGAAATCATTGTCGATGCCATGGCCCAGGCCCAGCATTATTAGTGTGAGAAAGGTCTTATGCATACCCCGTACGCCCATGAGAGTTCCTTTTTAACGCCCAGTCCTGGATGACGGGCGCCCAGTCGCAAGGTTTGCGTGCCTGCCCGTCAGTGCACTTCCTACTGCCTGGCCATCGCCACGTATCTTCCATGTACGCGCCATACTTCATGATGTGCTCTTTCTGACAATTTTAAGCGAGCGTCATGGCCCGCGCCAAACACCAGCCGAGTAATCCGTCGCAATCCTGACATGGAGCGGATTTCCCCTGGCCAAGTGGGTGTACGGAGTTGTTCGCCGAGGGTCTAATAAAGCCATCTCGACCCCTGCCACCTCAGCTGGGTTCACATGGATGAGCCGCAGTTGCTTGTCTCTTCTCCCCTCCTTGTCTTAGCTGCATGGAACAACAAGATCGCCTAGCGTCTTCAGGTTCTTTGAGATCGAACGTCATGCCATCGCTGATACGAGCTCTGCAATGCGTCGCGTGGCCACACTGCACAGCGTGCATACGCTTGCTGATCCGGCAGTCTACAACCACCTGCTCGACATTAATGCTGGGAGAGCTCAACGTTGAACCATCAGCAAAATCTCATCTTCAATATCCGCCTCGATTGGCCCTTTGTAAGGGGCGACATCAAGTGCCGACCTCACACATACCTACAGTGATTTAGCGGCACCCACACACTTGAATACCCTACCCGGCATGGGGCTATAGTGTACGTTGAAGGAGCGTCATGTCACCAGACCAGTTTTGGCGTTCAGCTTTTTGTGGTCGCCAAGACCAGGTGAAACACCGTCCTGGAAGAATAGTTACTCACTTGCGTGTAACTCACCAGCCACGGAAACGGATGGACCGAGGCCGACATCAGGTCGAGACAGAGCCATCAAGCGGAAGCGGCCGCAGATTATGTAGGACGGTAAGCATCCCCATGTCTTTGGAATGAACTCGGGGCCATTACCCTCGAGTCCAACGAGCCACGGCTATTGGACCCCAGCCGCCGAATTCTCGATTCTCCCGCGCCGCTAGCCCGCGTTTCATCCAAACAACATGGAGCCCCTGACCGGTGACCGTTGAGCTTTGGGGGTGGGCAGCTTCAACCAGCTCCCCCCAACTGATGACGTTGCCGCTACGAACTACCAGAAGTGATGTAATTTCAATGTTTAGCCGCTTCACTTGCCGTAGACGTTGCTATGAGCGGCAGCCACGTAAAATGCCATTGGGCTCGGGCCGCGGACACATGACTGGATGAATGAGACGCTGTGACTTGCTTGACTCGCTCGGGGGGGAGGTCGCAGCCGGAGGATTATTCTCCTTTCGCTGGCCAAGAAGCAGACATCCCTGCTGAAACCCCAGATTTCTTCTGTTGCCAGACAGCCCTGCTGTTTTCTGGCGTTTCGAGAGTCGGCGGCCCCTCGAAACGGGTCTTGCGACAGCCAGACTATGTCTATTTTCGAGCCCATACCACCCCAATTGCTCGACACTAGTCGGGCGAGGATCGAGACAAGTCAGACAACCCCTGGAGGGAGACGCTAGAAAAGCCAAGGAACCCACACTCTGCTCTTCAACACTCAAAATCGATGGGAGGCCCCTTAGCGCCGCCGGGCGACGTCTCGCCTTAGGGTTATCGTCCCGCGAGCTGGTCTCTTTTCTGATCTGTTCTCTCTCTAGTCTTTTTCTTGTCAACTCTTCCGTTCGACAGTTTGGGAACGCCAGTTGGTCTATTGTCGCCGTGAAATGTCATCACACTGCTAGCGCTGGTCGCCCTGATGCGACTGTTCTTGTCTTTGGTTGAATACGCCTGCGGGCCATACTGATCGATTCTCTCTACTTTGTTCCTTTCAATTCACGCTCGGCCGACTGAGAAGATAGTCACGATGGGTTTTCAGTCAGTTCATCTGGATCCCACTGTGCCAAATCCCGGCCCGCCTCAACTTCCACTAACACAATCAGCAGCGACCCGACAACCCCCGTCGATGGACGGATAGGTGACCGGGAAATATCCGAAGCTGAAAAGTCGAAGCAGGCTCGCGAGGTTGGAGACGCGCTCGAGGTTCGACAACCAGGCGACGGCAACACGAACGAGCTCAGGCCGCGATCCATCCTTACGCTGAGCCACGGCATCGTAAACGAATTCACGACGTTTTTGCCCTATCTCACCACTTCGACGGCAGATCCAGCAAGACCACCATCGGCAGGTCCCCCCCTTCCGATGGCCAGGACCAGCCGGGGGTCTGACGATCTCCTCCTCCAATCGACTGCAGCAATTACGACTCCTGATTTGCTGGCTCAGCCGACGAGTTTGTCGGCCGAATCCTCATCCGTCGCAAATGCGACAGCATCCCGGGAGAATGGGGGCATGCCCACCCCAAAAGCAGATCAACAAAGCGCCATGGGTGCCCTTTCCCAGAACAACATCAACCGCGGCGTGGCCGTCGGCATCGCCGCCGGTATCTTTAGTAAGTTGCCGACGTTCCACAAGCGGGTGTTCGCCTGTAGCCGGCGCATTCATTGACACTCCGACAGGCGGGTTTGCCGTGATCATGTTGGCGGGAGTTTTGTTGTACAGATACCGCCAGCGGAAGAAGTCTGCACTTGAATTGAAGTCATATCAATGACAACTTCGCTCGGCTGCGCTGTCCCCTTCGGATCCAACTCCTCCATACTTGCCGGCTCATCTACGCATGATCCGCCGCGAAAGAAAAAAGCGAACTCTCCGAGGAGATCGACCATGCATACCTGCTCTCTTGGCAGCTTTCTTGGGTTTTGGCATTGAAGGCTGCGTTGGTGTCTGAAAATCACCGAAGAGTACGGTCCTACACGCCCCTTTCGCAATCTCCTGGAACTTCCACGAGCGGCAATCTGCAAGGGAGCCCAGCCGGTGGTGATAAAGGTCGCGGCAGGGAAGCAGTGTGCGAGCCGCCCACTGGAACAGAGCATCCGTGGAACCTCGAGGCAATCCAACTGTACATCACAAGGCTGCCCAAGGCAGCACGTGCATAGCTATAGCTACATAGCTGCTAGACAGTTCACGACGATACGGACTATAAATCAATGCATCAATTATGAAGCCGGCAACGAGATGAGCAGAGTTTGATTCGGTAATGTCGGCATCGCAAGCCACGCGACCTTTGGAAACTGTCAACCATAGCAAATACCACTTGACCACCAGCAAAATAGGGGCACCCCCGATGGAGGTATTATTGGTATAGTTTATAAGTCTTCGTCCTGCTGACAGAAACCAATCAGACTTGACACTCATATTTTGGCCTCGAGAAGGATTGGGCGAAGCTTAGGACCAGCATAGAGGTGGCCAGTTATGGAAGCAGCAGTGAAATATGTTGCATTGCCGAATACTCGAGCAATATACAAGAACTTCAATGTCCGTTGCTGACCTCTCGCGAATTTGGAACCGTCTTGGCACACCTCAAGCTCAGGCGGCATAAGGCTTTGATCAGCCTGCGACTGTTCTCATCGCGCGACAGACGACATAAGACTCTAGCAACACACGGCATTTCTTGATTGGTACGAAAGCGCCACGTTCCACTAGAGACTTTTTCAGATATCGTCCTACCGGTTGCAGGATGCGACACTTCTCATTGATGCGAGAGAATCCTCCGAGAGTGATATCGTTACTTGTGAGCACGACGCTTACACCGCGACATCGAGAAAGCTACTGTCAAGCTGGTAAAATACCGCTACACCATGCAAAATGAGGGCACCCCCGATAGAGGTGTTACTAACGCGTATTATAGGCCCTTTCTTGTCCTGACAGCTACATATACTGACTCACTCGAAGCTGTTAAAGCGGGACCACAGGGCCTGGTGCGTGGAGAGTCTTTGAAACAGTGCACTGACTGGTGCAATTCCATCCGCATCAGTGCTTGGACTGTACCTGCACTTGCAACCAGGACTGCCGTTGGCGGAACTACAAGATATACTCCCTGGCGGCCAACTGAATCAGATGCATGGCAGTGAAGCTGTTGTTGTTGACGTGAGCCTATCAGAGGATGAAGCAAGGATGACTGGACATTCCCCAATGCGGCTTCGTTTCGTTGAAGCCGCAAACATCCCTCATGACGCAGAGTTAAAGAGTCGATTTTTGCAGACGTCTATTTGTTGCGCGAGGTGCTTAATGTTGACGGCGACTTGAATTTGGAGCTTGCGGGCCATCAACACGACTCCGTCCAGACGGTGCTTGACAAGACTGATGTATCAGGTTTGTAGGGGTTGTATTGGGGCCAGATGAGGCAAGAAAAGACTTCATATTCTACGCGTTTCTAAGCCTGGGTGGTGTATGTGGATGATCAACAGCATCATTGATGGGCCATGGCAACGAAGATGCTGCCAAGCAACTTGCTCCGTAGAAACAGAGAGCTTATGTGCTGACTAAGGAGACCAGTTGCCGAAAGCGCTCCGATGACTGATAATTGGCCGAATTGAATCAGCGCGGCCGCAATCGGGGCACGTCGGGCTTGGCCCTATAATAAGCCTAGAATTCTTCAACCCATCACCAGCAACCAACAACAGAGCGGTGAATCCACAGCGGCGAGAATCATTGGCAGTGAAGGACTGAAATCGAGGGAAAATCAGAGGAAAGAAGAGAAGTGTGCTCCTGTCGACGTCCTTGATCGGACTCAACGGAGTCGAACCTCGCCTCTGGATGTCACCCTCCTCCTCCTCCTCTTTCTCCTCTCCCCCCTCCGCCTCTTCGTGCTCCACCCCGGACCCGACCCCTCCGAATGGCCCGAGACGCCTCCGAGAAAGCGAGGCCGCCGCTGAGACAACACCGCTCCTCGCCGGCCATGCCGAGCCCGAGGCCGGCCTCGTCCCGGGGCAGGATGGCAAGAAACCCCCCGGCGGCGACCGGCTGCCCCGGGGCCAGATCTTCCTGCTGTGCTACGCCCGGATGACGGAGCCGATTGCCTTCTTCGCCATCTTCCCCTACATCGCGCAGATGGTGCAGCGCAACGGCGGGCTGCCCGAGTCCGACGTCGGCTTCTACAGCGGCCTCATCGAGTCCGTCTTTTCCCTCGCGCAGATGTGCTGCCTCCTCTTCTGGGGCCGCCTGGCCGACCGTGTTGGCCGCAAGCCCGTCCTCGTCTACAGCCTGGTGGGCATGGCTGCTGGTCCCGCACTCTTCGGCATGGCCAGTTCCATCTGGCAGATGCTCCTCTTCCGCTGCCTGGCCGGCGTCTTCTCCGGCTCCGGTCTCGTCGTCCGCACCATGATTGGCGACCTCAGCACGCCCGAGACGCAGGCGCTCGCCTTCAGCTGGTTCGGCTTCGCCGGCAACGTCGGCATCTTCACCGGCCCCATCATCGGTGGCCTCCTCGCCGAGCCTGCTCACAACATGCCTGCCCTGTTCGGCGACGTCGACTTCTTCGTCGACTACCCGTATGCCCTGCCGGGCTTCGCCATCGGCGCCATTGTCGCCGTCGGGGCCGTTGCCTGCGCCCTTTTTCTCGACGAGACGCTCGACAAGAAGGGAACGCCAAGCAGCGGCGGCAGCGGCGAGCCAGGCGAGATGCGCGACGCAACCAGCATGACCGTTCGGCAGCTCATCAAGGCCCCCGGCGTCGCCATCGTCATCGGCATGTACAGCCACGTCATGCTCCTCGCCTTTGTCTTCACCGCCATCGTCCCGCTGGCCCTGTTCACGCCCGTCCCGCTGGGGGGCATCGGCTTCTCGTCGGCCGAGATCTCGCTGTACATGGCCGTGCAGGGCGCAAGCCAGGGGCTGTGGCTGCTCCTCGTCTTCCCCCGGCTTCAGCGACGCGTGGGGACAAAGGGCGTTTTGAGCATCTGCGCCGTTGGATACCCCTGGTTCTTCGCCAGCTACATCCTCCTGAATGTGCTCTTGCGCCAGGGGAGCGAGCCGTCGCGCGCGTGGTTCTGGATCATTGGCTCTACCGTCGCCATCATTGGGCCAGCCGTCAGCATGGCGTTTACGTGCGTGCAGCTGGCTCTCCAGAGCATATCGCCGCATCCGCATCTGCTGGGCACGCTCAACGCCCTGGCTCTGACCCTGGCGAGCGCAATCCGATCCTTTGCGCCGGGGTTGGCGACCGTGGTGTATGCCATTGGTGTCCGTAACCAGATCCTGTACGGCCATCTCGCCTGGGCGATTCTCATCATGTTATCCGCCACTCTCTTCGCCATGTTGAAATGGCTTCCCGACGGCTTGGTATGAATAACCCTCTCGCCAGGTGGAGTTGGAACTGGGCGGAGGACAGGTTCAAAATGCTTGCCCCAATCAATGTCGTCGAGCCCTGCCTGGCATTGAGATGGATGTGGCCCAGCATTAGCACTTATGAATATCATGAAGACATGCAATTGAAACGCCAGTAACTTGGTCCCGTATAGATACATGTGTGTTTGCGATTCGCTTTTACACCCCTGCTATGCCCAAAAGACGAAAGGGATATCCAAGATGGTTCTCCCCGGATGCTCCAGCAATATGTACGGCAAGAGGCACGTTCGAGGCGTGCTATTATGCCGTGAACCAGCCCCATGCTCTTACTCGTTGCCCCTCAAACCATGTGGTCGCCCGCGACGCTGGCTGAGGCACTGCTGCTGCCGGCCGTCTTCTTGGTCCCCCATCTCCTCCACTCAAACGTCTTGGCGGGCCTCTGCTTGATGGCGTCGCGCAGCTTCTCCTCGCTGCGCTGCATCCAGACGCTGATCGGGGCGGCGCTGACGGGGTACAGAGGCATGTAGCTGCTGCTCTTGAGGAACCTCTGCGGGTCGCGCGTGTCGAAGGCGGCAATAATGTCGAGGTCGGCGGCGATTTGGTCGCAGTAGCTGTCGAGCGGCAGGTCGTTGACGTCTGATCCAAAGGGGTTCTCGATCTCCTGCCCGATCATCAGGACGCCCAGGATGATATACGAGGCGGCGATGGTGGCCGGGATGGCGATCCACTGGAGCAGCGGGATCAGCTGGAAGGGCAGCAGCAGGATGTAGAGGTAGGTCGACTGGGAAATGGCAATCGAGTAGGCAATGGGCAGCGGCGTGCAGAGGACGCGCTCCGAGCCCGTCATGGCGTCGTTGAGAGCCTGGATGGCGTTGAAGGCCATGGTCTGGTGGATGGGGACGCGCAGCTGCTCGTTGGTGATGAGGAAGTCGGTGGTGAGGGCGATGTGGTTCAGGATCTCGAGAGGCAGGTTGCCCAGGGGCTTGGACGCCCTCTTGACCATCTTACGCGGGTTGCTGGCGGCAAAGGAGACGCCGAGATACTCGCCCACGCCGCGGAAGAAGCCCCTTTTGCGGCCCCCGCCGGCACCGCAGGCGACGGAGGAGTCGGCGTCGGTCGCGGCCCTGGCAAACGTGTCGAGGTGGCCGATGAGGTTCTGCAGGTCGGGGTAGGCCGTGTAGGGCTCGAAGCGCAGGCTATGCTTGAGAGCCATGGCGTAGGCCACCAGCAGGTTCATGGCGCTGAGCTTCTGGAGAATCACCTCCCGCGCGTCCGTCTGGTCGGGCCGGTTGACGGCGTGGATCCAGAAGACGCGGCCCAGGATCTGCGACGACTGGACCAGCGCGGCCCAGTATTTCCGGCCCTCGGTGTATCGCTCGTAGGCGGTCGAGGAGCGGAACGACAGCGACAGGGAGACGACGAAGCCCGTCAGGGTGAGGAGGACCGAGTTGGCGCCGAGATAGTGCACCTTGGCCGAGATGATGACAATGGCCGAGGCCCAGACGGAGATGAGGACCAGGGGCAGGATCAGCTTGGGCATGATGCTGCCGTGAAGCTGCAGGATGATGGGCCATTTCGAGTGCTTGGCGATGTCTCGGGGCCCGGTGAAGTAGTCGTCGAGCTCGAAGGACCCGCGTCGATGAAAGGACCGAGGGGCCATGTCGATGGCCGGCGACTTCGGAGTGTAGACTCTGTCGAGCGGCACCTCCAAGCTTTGCGGGCGCTTGGCCTCGTCCTGGCGCTGCTCGGTGCGCTGGGGCGGTGGCTGGCTGACGACCTCGACGGCGTCGGCCATTGCTGTTGCTGTCGATGTCTTGCAGTGTCTCTATCGAAGCATGGAATCGGCCACGGTGCCTAAAGAAAAGAGAGAAAGTCAAAGCACCGTCGAGCTCGTGCAGAGAGGGCTCGCTCGACCAAGTAAAGACCGGAGAGGGGGCAGGCAACAAGGCAGCTGTCAAAGAAAGGGCACGACTTGAAAGAGCAGAGACACGGACGTCGAGGAAAGGGGGGATAATAGTTAAGGCCTGGGTCCTGAATCAGACCCTTGTTGAGCCCAATGGCGAGATGCCGCTCACACCAACCGCCCATGCAGGGGCTGGTGGGCGCCAGTCACTTTTTTTCCGGCGCCAGGAGGGTCAAGACGCAAGGCCCACGACGGCGATGACTGCTTGATTGGACGGGGATTTCTGACAGAGCAGTGGTTTGTCCTCGGAGGTGTCCGGGGGCTGGCAGGGCCTCTGGTGTTTCACCATCGACCATCCACCGATTCACGATACCCGGGTCTGTACGACGGCAAAGACGGATGTTGGAGGCGGAGAGCCAGATGGGAATCGATGCAGACGTGGACCAAGTTGATCCGGCAATGTCTCAAGCCGTGCCGGATTGCCTCGCTGCTTATACATACTTGCTGCTCCTCGATGCCGAGTGCATCGCTCATACATGGGGTTACAAAGAGACGGCGGAAAGTTACGGGGCAGTGGCGAAACAAGCCTCTTCTTTTTTGTCTCATTCCCCTGACAGGGGTGGGCTCGTAACGCCCCGTATTTCACTCGGCCCATCCCGTCAGCGGCCCTCCTATTTCTGTCAACCTTACCGACTAAGTAAGTCATGGGGGCCGCACGAGAGGAGTCCAGACGGCGGTGCCGACGGGATTCGTCCGGGCACGCTGGGCCTGGGCCAAGGGCTGACGACGCCTCTGGCCCGTAACGTTTGAACGCGCGCGCCGTCACGCGTGTAAGAACACCGTCTAAGCGAAGCTTTCCGAAAACGAGGCCTTCGCTGATCAGTCAGGGACGAAGTCTCCACTCATTGTACGTATTGTGCTTCAAGCGAACTGTACAATGTGCTCCAAGCGTTGGGCGTGTCAACTTACGGCTGCTCGCCATGTACGGAGTAAGCCATCCCTTTATGCCAGCGCAGCCAACGGGGACACAAAGACACAAAAGAATTCACACTGTGGGTGCTGTAGCAAACGAGCCGTAATTGGAGACAAGTCCGATTTCAGTAAGTAAATGAGCAAGGGGACAATCAATATTCTGCAGGATCAAGCCCAGACCTTCATTCCCCTCCGCACAAACGGCAACGGCGTGGCAAACACATTGAAAGAGGCGCCTTGTGTGTGTCGACGAGCTGACAGCTTGCCCTCACTTGTGACAGCCATCTTCAATCCGTCGATCACGCGCATGTCAGCATCGAAAAAGCCCTTCCGCGCAAACCTCCAGTCTCATCTTCGGCAATGGCCCCAACGCTAGCCTCCTTACATCCTTCACGTGTAATTAGGCTTCTCCGGCTCTTGCGCGCCGTGTCTCACGCCCATGGCCGTGGCCTGCTCCATAGGGCTGAGGCCCAACGTCGACAGCCATGGGATGGCTGATGATGAGGCGTAACACATGGGGTATATTGACATGCTCGCCTGTAGGACAACATAACAGGCATCTGCCGAGCCGATTCGCCAAACCAAAGGCGAGGAAAGCCGTGTAACCATCTACACACATCCATCTCCGGAAACAAACGCCAGTGCGCTCCTTGGTCGGCCTATTTTTGCCTTCCCGTCGCCGGCAGCTCGACAGGGGCCACTGCGTTCCCCATCATCTCCTGGACGTTTTCCCCGTGAAGCTCCGAGTGAGCCTGTCCCGTCTTTTCGTACCTGTAGCCCGAGCCCGCCGGTGCCAGCTGCCGCCGCCTCCGCCACCAGACCAGCGCACCGGCCAAGAGGGCGAGGACGACAACCGGGATAGCGACGCCGATGGCCACCTTGGCGCCGGTTGAAAGGCCCGGCGACGGTGTTCCATCCGAGGCGGAATTGGTGTCAGTCGAGGATGGTGATGATGTCGGGCTGGCGCGGCTCTGGTCGACGTCGGTCCTCTGATGGACCATGCGGACGCCAAATGCGTTGAGGCCGCCGGGGCTGCGAAAGCCTTGCCGGACGGTCCTGGTGACGCCGTCCTCGATGAGCGTCACAGCCAGGGACGTGGCCTGGCTCTCGGGCGCGATCCAGGTGCAGAAGAGGGTGGACCAGACGTTTGTGAGCGTGCTAGTAGTGACGCACGACAGCGTGACGGCATTGTTGAGCGTTGGGCAGCATGTGACGGTGGTGAGGGACGCAACGCCCGTGTTGTCGTGACAGGCGCTGAGGTAGCCCGATGGACAGGCGATGCCGGGGGAGAAGTAGGCGTCCGAGTCGGTCTTGAAGCTGCGCGGGAGACAGGTCGAGGCGAGATCCACCATGGCCAGAAAGCTGGACTGGTAGATGCCCGTGCAGTCGGATGGCCTCGCAAAGGGAGTCGTGAGGGGGTTGGAGGGGAACGAGGTGACGGCAACAGCCGTTGCTGGCGTCGCCATGGCCACGGCTTGCGCAGGCCCTCGAGGGCGGCTAGACGACCTCGGGTCTTGAACTGGATATAACGTGATTTGACGGTTCTGGGGATGCCCTCACCCACAGTTGCCTTGCTGGGCTGGCATCAACGGCCAAGAAGTCGGTGTTCCCGGGAAGCCAACGGGCATGAAGAGGCCATGGACAGGGCGCGGCCATTGTACCGCAGCGCGCTCATCCATCATCCCCCGACCCCTGCGGCGGATTCGAAATGCGCTTAGCAGAGCGCTTGATCTGCAGGCAGATCCAGAGACGACCGTCGATGCGCAGGTCAAGGCCATCCTCGACCTCTCCTGTCTGGTTGGCCAGCGCTTTTCGTCTAGGCGTAATCCCAGACCAGAGTCTACCACCTGGCAAGAGAGGCAAATGCCCCCGAGCGTAACGTAAGCGCTAGTGCCGAGATGCCCGCGCGCTTCCTGGGCCGTCGTGTCCATTTCGGTCCCATATGGATGTCGGCAGAGCCGAAGGTCAATTGCACCCTGTAGTTAGGTTGCAAGGTTGCAGGGCGGTTTGGACGCAGACTGGTAATTATCGCAGACGTGGATTTGGCGCTGACCCTCGCCCCGTCAGCCCGGCTGCTGAGCTTCAGCTGATCGTCGGTCGCGACACGTTTCTGCCGTGATCGCGAGTCGCATTTCAACGGGATCCGCTCTCCAGCAGCGGCCTTGAGGAGAAGACAATGCCAGATTGTCCGATGAAGAGGAGAAAGTGGCCCCACCAGCAGTGACGGCCATGCGGCGGGGTACTTGACGGCATGTACCTCCACCAATCAAGATCATCAATCAGCGACTTTGCCTGCATCGTCTTCTTCCTCGTCCACCTCATCCATCTGTGCCCGTGTCCATTGCCTCTCACAATGGACCGCTCTCAGCCCGCGTCCTCCAACTTGATGGGTGAGTTTCTCCGCCTCATCTCTTTATCTGATTCTCCGACACTACAAGCCAGAACGTGTGAGAGAACGGTCATGATCGCATCCTCGCCTCACATCACCGAGGCCCCCGCCGGCGAGACCTGCGGCCATCAGCATAGGCCATCGTCGACATCAAGAAGCGGCGGCTGACGCGGCCCGCAGACATCCACAATCGCCTCATCGCCGATGTTCTCACCAGATATCGCACCCTCATGATGCTGGCTACCGTCCAGGCAGAGGGCGAGCGCAACAACGCCACGCCAGAGACCATGGCCGTGGCCGGCATTTCCATGAAGATGGAATTTGACGGACTAGTGCGTCTTTCCACATCCATCTCATATCCCTCCTTGTCTTCCCTGGAGAAACAATGCACGAGCCTTGTCCAACCAAAAACAGTACTCATCCATCAAGGAGCTCCTCGCCCTCTCCCGCCGCATCAAGGAGCTCTGGGTTTTTGGCCCTCTCGGCAAAGGAGACCCCGACCACCAGGCCCGCGAGGCCCAGCTCGACCGCGACGTCGCCCAAGTCTCGTCCCTGCTCAACGGCATCGAGGCCGCCGACATGAAGGCGCTGGCCGAGCGCCACGGCGGCGTCTGGGCTCGTCTCTCCAAGGACACCCCCGAACTGCCTCCGACATCTGCGACTGCGGCCACGGGTCATGGCGGGCGGTGACGATGCGACGTCTTTATTATTTCTCTTAGGCTGGCGTTTTGGATGGGCATTGGTTTGCGGCGACGACTGTAGATACCCATGGGGCTTCTCGACACATGCGCCAGGCAGATGTGGTCGAAGCAGACGAATTACGATGCCTCGGGCGGTTTTCTATCTCACGGCTACAAGGCCTCTCGCTGCACACCGATAACCGTGAAGGCCCACCGCATGCCACCTCTACCCCTCGCCGCCCTCGGGATCCTCGTCCTCGTCGCCGAGCTGCTTATCCACGTCCTCTTGCATCTTGCCGCCCGCGCCCTTTAATATCTCGGCCACGCCCAGCCCACCGGCCGTGAGCCACAGGAAGTGGTTCGACTTGAACTGGTCGATCTGGTTGAAGAATGCGTGGAACCTGCCAAGACGTCAGCGCTCCATCCCTTGGTTCTACAGGACTTGACTCACGTGTTCTCCTTTTCCTCAACGTCGAAAATGCGCGCGTACACGTGCTTGTCCTTGAAAGCCCGCAGCTTGTCGTCGTAGTTGTCAAAGTCAATCACCGGCCGGCCGAGCGAGTCGCGGGCGCGGCGGTTGTAACTCTCAAACACGGGCCGCTCCAGCAGCAGCCCCAGCCCGGGCGCCTTTGGGATGGCAATCTTGCGCGCGGCGTAGCTCTCGTTGACGCGCTCGAGCGGCGTCCCGCACCGCACTATCAGGCTGGCCATGCCCACCATCTTGCGGATCTGGTGCATCATGAAGCTCTGCCCGTGCACCTTGAGCGAGAGCCACTCGGTGCCGCCGATGAGCACGGGGGTCGGGTCCACGACAAACGACTTGATGTGCCGCTTGGCTGATGCGTCGCCAAACGCCTTTTGCACCGTGTAGTTATGGAAGTTGTTGCTGCCGACGTACCGGTCCAGCGCCGCCTGCAGCCTCTGCAGCCGCGAGGGACCGATGCGATACCGCCGCTTGGCCGAGATGTAGGCCGCCTTGATGTCGCGCAGGGCAAAGTCGATGGGGCCGAGCTCCCGGCTCTTGGGCTTGACCGTCTTGAGCGTCGCCTTGGCCCCTTGTTCCGTGCCGGCCTGCGCCTTTTCAGTCGCGTCGCCGGGGGGGCCCTTTTCCGCGCCCTCGGCCCCGCCCTCCTCGAGATCGGAGACGTGGACGCGCTCGAGAACGGCGGCCCTGACGTCGGGATCCAGCGCCGCCAGGATGGGCTTGACCTCCTTCTCCTCGACGCCGGTCCAAAAGTCGCCGACGTCGGCCGCGCACTCCTTCAGCTCGTCCTCGGCCCCGTGCTCCTTGGCCAGCTCGACCAGCTTCTTGCCCAGGTACGACTGCGGGTGGGGCGGGAGCAGGCAGTAGCTGGGCATGAGATACTCGTACCAGCGCGAGTCGCAGTACTGGTAGCAGTTGAAGCTGTTGTTTGTGCGCTGGATGCCCCAGACGCGGATCTGCTCGGGCAGGCGGGCGTTGATCTTGTCGACGACGTCGTCGTCCTCGATGATGAGCTTGAGGCTGATGACGTTGCCGGCGGCGTGCACGCCCTTGTCGGTGCGGGCGCAGCGGGCGAGGCTCGACTTGCGGGGGTCGTCTGCGTTGGCCTTTGAGATGGCGCCGGCGTCAACAAAGGCCTGGAACAGGTCCCGCTCAATGGTCGGCTCGTCGCCGTTGACCTGCATGCCCCGGTAGCCGGTGCCCGCGTAGCCGATCATGACGGCCACCTTGCGCTTGGGACGGCGCTCCTCGGCGGCAATCTCCTCGCGGGAGAAGGGGTTCTTGGTGCTGTCGCCCTCGACCGACTCGCCCTTGGAATTCACCTTTCGCCGCTTAAACTCGCGCCAGTCGTCCTGCTTCTTGGCCTTGCCGTCGGCCTTTTGCTGGCGCCTATCGCCGCTTGCCTGGTCAGCCAGCTCCAGTGGCCACGGGGCTTTTGGCGGGCGAGCGGGGAGGGACATCGCACTTTCGTTCGTTTCGCCCCAAGTCTCCGCGCTTCTTGCCATCCTGTCTGGCGTCGCGGCGCTGCTGCTGCTGCTGTTGCTGCTGCAAGTTCTTGTCGGCGCCGTCGCCTGCGGCACTGGGTTCGCTCGGGGCAGCAGCCTCGGCCGCAGGGGTGGGGTTGGCCTGCTCCGTGGGAGTGCCCTCGTTCTTAGGAGCCTCATCACCGGGCGCCATAGTAAGAAGGGGTCTGGAGTTGCGGTCGGCAAGGTGTCGTTGGAGATGCTGCTGAACTTTGTCCGAGCTCACCTGTATTTTTTTCCTTTACTTTTCAGTGGGGCAGCTTGGACCCGTGGCTGGCTACCCTAGACCTCGGGACGCTACGAACTGGCACAAGAGGCTGCAGCAAACGACCATGATAGCACTCGACGTGATTTTATTGCAATCGATATGTACGTTCTTGTTCTCACCGACGGTTGTCTGCTCATAATACAGGCCGCCACGGTCCCAGCGTGACGACGAAGCACGCCCTCCGGAACCTCTAAAGTTACAAAATTCGAGCCGAGGTTCACGTTTGGTCAACTTCGCTTCCTCCCTCAAACCCTTTCCAGGTCAGGTCGTCCAGCACCACTTTGCGAGCAATGCCGCCGTCGGCATTCCTGGCCGGGCAAGCAACGGTGCAGAGCCGCGTCACGGTCTCTTGATTGCCGAGCCTGAACGACGACCGTGCCCACAGACAACCCCGGAACGAATACACCTCCATGCCCTGCATCCTGCGCTCTTCGGTCGCCTCGGCCGTGGGCGTGGCAGAGCTCTCGGACTCGGCATCGCCAGCCGCCTGCGTCGGCGTCGGCCGGATGCTCGTCCACAGGACCGCGCCCGTGAGGCGGGCCATGGAGGTGCAGTCGACCGTCGTCACCGACGCCGACGCCGTTTGGGACGGCTGGACGTCGTCCTCTGCCGCTGGTGTCGGCCTGATGGTGCGAGGCGTGTCTGCGTCTGCCGTTGCTTCTACTGCCTCTCGCGCAACCGTCGTTGCCTGTGTCGACACCACCGTGATACGCTCCACGCTCCGCCTGCTGCGCTGTCAGCTGTCGTCACACAACGGCACGAGAAGGGGGGAGACAGACGTCGGAGCCTCGTGATGAATCTCTCCGCCATTGTCATGAATCTTTTCCACCACGGCCGCGACGATGAGAGAAACGAGGACGGTGATGAAAATGGACGTCAGCAGCCGGATAAAGACCGTCTTTCTCTCCCGGGCCTTTGCGTCGTATAGCAATTCCTCCTGGTACTGCGGCGGCTCGTCCCCGTACGCCGGAGGCTGCCGTGGGCTCGCCGTCGAGCATGCCGTCAGACTCCTCGAATCGCCCGTCCGGTATGTGTTGCTGGTCGACAGTCTCGGGGGCGTATATGAGGGGAACAGCGCCCGCTGGTTATCCATCATGGACCCGCGACGCCGCTGGAGTTGTTGTTCTTTGCTGCAGCGAGGCGGCGTCGGCGGTGATCATCGACGACGCTCAATTCGCACCATCGTGATGCTGTGCTGTGAGGGTGATGTGGGTGCGAGGATAGCGGGTTCACCATGGCGGCGAGACGAAGCGACGATGTGGCAGACAGTCTTGAATGCCCCTGCCATCCCGTCACGTTCAAGCCAGCCTTGGAGAGGGGGATCAGGTCCGGCCTCTCGCTGGAATGGAAACCAGCTGACGACTGTCGCACCCCGCCAACGCCTCACCAACCATTCTCCTCGATGAGACTTACTGCGGAGACTTTGGCTCTGCCAATCGACTAATCGTGGGTCACTAAGTGGTTATTGAGGCAAGAGGACGCGCACGCAGTTGAGTTCTCCGACATGTCATGACCGAGCAGCGATCCAATCACGCAAGATTGAACAAAGAACTAAACCAATATCACAACGTGCGCTTATTGCTACAATTATGGGACTCGATTGCCTTTGACAATAGAATAGGTACCGACATGGACGAAACGCTGCCGTACAAATGTTCATGGCGATGGACAAGGGATGTGTTAAATCCCAGTGGCTGGCCGTGATTTGATAAGTCGCAGGCAAGTTACGTTGCTCCAACAGAAACTGATCCAGCTGAGCCTACATATACCGCTTCTTGGCAATAACCCTCGCTGCAGCTTAGACTCAGTCGTCAGCCGGAATACCTTCGTTGTCCCCCGGCTCTTTGTAACCACCCTCCGGCTTCGCATGACGCGTACGGTCTTTCATGATGTTGCTCTTGTCAATGGCGTCTGCATCGTCGCGCGCTGTAATTCATCATTAACATATTCTATTAATGACGGCGAAGCTCAAACCATACCCAATTGCGCATCCGAGTCGGCCGTGTTGCCGTCGATGGGATCCTCGACCTTTGCGTCATCCGCCTGGACTGGAATCTCCGACTTTTGGCCTTGGCGGGAGACGTAGCTATCGTCAGTGGTCTTGAATTCGTCGGCCATTGTGAATTGACGTGCTTTGGTTTTGAGTTGAGCAGGCACAGCGATGAGCTTGTAGTATTGTATATCTTGGAGGAATTGAACATCTGAAGACGGGGACGTTGGCTTCAAACTCGGGACTCTTTATACATGTGTTCGGCAGCGGCTACCGTTCCCTTCGGCTTTGCACTTTCTTTTTCTCTTCCACGGTCGAAACGCCGTTGGACAGTAGACCCGATGCTCTCATCATGGTCTATTGATGACGACATGCATTTGCCGCGCTTCGATGAATCATGGCCAACCGTCAGATGGCCTTGGGCGCTGGCGATCGGCAGAGCACACCAGCGAGCCCGGCCCATCGTTCCGACTTGTTCGAGGCGGACAATGAATGTACAGTACAGTAGAAGAGATAAATGCCCAAGCGGTGACGAGTCGACCCCGTCGTGGGCGATGATCAGATGGCGCCACCATCACCGGCCTGCCACCCATCATTTGCTTTATCCGCCGGAAATGGTATGGAGCCATGATGATGAATTACTAAAACAAATGGACGGCTTGATTAGAATTGACGTCTTGATCGCAGAGACGTCCAAGACTCAGTCTCATTGATATACGTGAGCCAAGGTGACTGGTCGTGAGGCATCTCACTCGAAACTAAAGACATGAATGACTACCTTGACTCTGAACAACACTACGCCCAGGCGAGGTGAGAGCCTGTTCAAGAAGTGGCTTTGGTGCTTCCCTTTGTCTTGTCCACCTCCGCCGAGTCTTGCCACCTCAAGGAAGAGTGCGAGTTCTCAGGCAACTCTGCGACAGGGCAAAGAAGGAGCCGCGTCCACATGGGTAGACTCAAGGGCGCTGGGGTCCTCCGGGCGTGGGCGTCCGCCTCGTAGCTGGCTCTTACGCTTCTGGGTCTAGCTGACCATCAGCCGCTTGAGTCGATAGGCAACTGCCGGTGGAATGGGCCGTTGCCGAAGCCGAATAAGCCTCAGGACGAGGGGCAGTCTGCGAGCTACACTGACGCCGCGTGGTCGACTGAGATTCCAAGGGATTGATCGAGTCTATCCACAGAATGCATGTCCGCCGAGTGCAATGGCCGTCTCCGTCGTTGCTTGTCAAGTGGCTGATGCAATCGGCGCAGTACAAACGGCGGCCGTGTCGTGGGTCTGGTGAGCTCAGGTTGGCTCGTAACTCAACGGCGCTGTGTATTTTCCATGCGTTTCCCTCCCGGATAGGCAGTTGGAGTCTTGGACGACGGTTCCAGTTTTCTGGTGATGATTTCTCTGGTGGTTGAACTCGGGCGAGTGGAAGTCTTGGGCATCAACGTTGTGCCACCAAACCTACTCTTCACTTTCACCTCCAGTCTACTTCTGCCCATTACTCTCGAAACAACATCCATCCATGTCAAAAGCTGCCACTCAGCACGCCAAGCCGAGACTGCGCTTATGTCCACACTAGACCTCTTTCCAAGGCCCATCTCCGCCATCCGACATGTTGGCCCAAGTTGATGTCAACTGCGCCAACTACACTGGGAGTCGGTTGCTGCGTGGCTGGCCGAATGTCGGCTTCCAGTCCCATGCATGTGTCCTCAGGCCACCATCAAGGTATTGTGGAGGAGGCAAACGATGGACCCTGATTCGGGTGCCTTTCTCTCGCGGCTCAGTTGAGAGGGAGGCTGGGCCATGTGCAAAGAGTTGCGTGAATAATGACAGCAAACGTATGACGGCATGGAAATCCTTGCTCAGGATGAAGGGGGCCAGTCTTCGGGTGCCCGTTTGGAGGCGTCAAACCGAACTGCGCAAATCTCGCCATGTCCCCCACAGATCAAGAATATCGGCCAGTTGAGAAAAACCGTGGAGATGAGGCGACTAGCAGCAGAGTTACCTGACTGTTGACAGCCCGTCTCGTGAGCGTCAACCCTCGGCGTGAATCTATTGGTGTATTTCCCTCTTCTATGGAGCTGTACATGCAACTCACGATCGGGAACAGGACATGATGGCGCCACCCGCTGGGTAGTAGGACTTCAATGGCGAGTGAAGACCAACAGCCATGTACGGCTGCATGCAGGAACCCGTGGTCGCGCGGTGAATCACTCAAGCAACCTCCGACGACACACTAACAATAGCAATTTCTGCTACGTATTCTGCCATGGTTCAACATCGCCTCCCATTGGTCCATGTTGTCATTCTGCGTCACTGCCTGTGGAAACCGCAGACGGCTGGCTGGCAGCTGGCATGGAAGGACCCTCAGCACCGGCTCAGGTTTCTTAATCTCTGCCCCTTCCACCTTCTCCCCTACTCTTTCTTTTCCTTGCTCATCATCGTCAACCTTTTAAACATGACTTTCTTCTACAAAACATCTACTCGTGACGAAAAATCCACACCTCAAGTCCTCAACTGCCTTCCTCTTCTCATCCGTCAACACTCCACCGGGGCTTTGCCGCTGGCCTTGCTTAACAACCATCCATGAACGTCGTCCCTAGGGCAAAGGGGCATTGCCCAGAGCTGGAGACGCGTAACCCTAAAGAACTGGCACCGCGGGAGAAGGGCGTCCAGGCAGGGGAAAACAGAGACACCGGCTCAGATGGCGTGGCTCTACCAAGCGGAGAGTCCTCCGACGATCCCGATCGCGGGTGGCATCAGATCAACACGGAGATATGGCAACCATTCGGGCGTCACGACAGATGCTCGGGCAGATCCTCCCTAAGGACCAAGACCTGGAGGCAATCTGAGAGCGCCGGGGGATCATCCCCAAGACGTTGCAGGTCAACCCTTACAGCAAGAAAACCGTGGCAAGACCACCACAGATGCCCGATATGATACCCCCTCCGGTCCTCAATCCATGAAGCCCCCGAACCACGGCATCGCACCGTCTGCCGCGTTACTCTGCACCACAGCTTCTGAAGGGTCGACAAGGCCATGGGCGAAGAGACCTGTGGACGACGCGGGTGCAGGGTCGGCTGGACCGAGGCGCCCACACCCGAATTCGACATGCCACCCCTCCTGTTCCCGTCGACGCGTGTCATCGACCTCCCGGAGATAAGTCGCAAGGTCGCGACCGACCGGCTCCTGGCAGCAGCAATGCTGCATGCAGACTGCTGAAGATAGGACTGCCCAAAACCCCTCCTCGCTGCCAGGGAAAGAGTGGACAAACCAATGCTATCCTTGCCTCCTCCTTTTCCAAATGGAGCCGTCATCGCGATCTGAGCAGGACAATCCGCACCGGGATCAACTGTGCCCAGCATATTTCAATCTTCGGCCTGTCGGGAAAGACCTTTCCTTCGCAGCTTACTCGCTATTTCTCGCAGAAGGAGTTTCCAGCCTCTAGCCCCGGCAAAATAGCCAACGTCGTGACCGAGGTAATGGTTACTAGAGTCACTCATTCACAACCATACATCAACATTCCCTCAGTCGGGCCTTTCGATTGCTGGCGCCAGGCAGTTCGGTGAAGACGACACCGAGACCGGTCCCTTGGCACGTCTTCGTCAGGAGATAGTGTCAGACATCACTCTTGCAAGCAAAGCAGCCGGAGCAGGAGCAGCAGGCCTCGCCCAGTGTCTTTTGGTGGCGAGGTCTTTGGGCTCGAGACCTCGTTCGGCTCCAAGTTAAGTTCTTCAGCCTGGATAGCGCCACTGGCTGGATCGGACTCGTCGTCATCCTTCCTGTTGACGCCCAACTCGACAACAATGGCTTCGGCGTCCTCACACGAGTAAGTCCACCCACCCTCGACCACTTGCTTGGGAGCTCGAGGCTCCATCGCGACTGTTGGCCCGAGTAACACGGGCCAACGGGATTTCAAGTATAGACGACCCATTAAATTGGAGCGCGTGCTGTCCGCCACGGACTTGGAGATCCTTACCAAATTCCCCCGCGACGGGTTTCGATTAGGAGGCTGACAACCCAAGCCCCGCGACCCGCGACCGTTTCTCTGTGCCTGGCAAGGCGCCAACGACCCTCCCTAGTCGAGATCCGCCTCGGCGAGTGTGCTGAGGTCACCGTCGGGGGATTCGGAATGCCCTTCTCTAATCCCGGCCATGCTAGTCATGGATGGATGAGCAAACAATAAGCCCATCATCAAGAGCCTCATGCTGCTCGACACTATACAGCAGCAAGCCTTCTTCTTTGCTTTCTCCCTGCAACTGTCCAAGGTCAGGCCTTCCGTAGACCCGTCTGGACTACCGGCTCTATTTAGCTACTTATACGGGAGCCTCATGGACTAGAACCCAGACGAGTTCCAGAGCCTCATCAATACTAACAAGGGCGACTGGTTTGCCGCTGCCTGGTCCTACCACAGTGACGAGGTCCACGTGTCTTGTCGTGCACAGAGGAGCGGGCCCGTGAGGCAAGGCGACTCTGTGTGCACGACATGATAGCAATTCCCGACTTGGGTCTGTTGCTTCGCGATGGGCACTCACCTCCTCAACGAATCAGCGGAACTGCACGCCGCCTGCCAGCGAGCAACCAGAGCCGGCCCTCTCCGGATCCTCGCCGCGGCCCGGCCGTACGCCGCCAACGAGATCGCCCACTTCAACGCGCTGGACTAGATTAAATCTTCCGACATATTATAAGAGTAAAGAGTCTCTACTGATAATCGCAGCGCCGACGCCATCGGGCGTCAAAAGTGCGGCGAGACAAGCCCCAAGACCCGATCCCGACCCGCGCCACCGCCCTACCTCGCGCCTCTTGAGCCGGAACCACGAGAACAAACGGACGGCGACGCCGGTTGACCCGCCAGCAGCCAAGAACCCCCCCTTTTTACGCCTCAGCGCGTAGGATCTGTTGTGCCGACGACGACGAAGGGTCCGGCAGCTGGGGAGCCCAAGCTGGTTGAGCACCCAAGGACAGTCGACGTCCTGGTCCAGCACCCGGTCGGAGAGCACCAAGTCGTCTTGTTCGTACGCCGGCCCAAGGATGCGGAAGAGTCCCTGGCTCCGACTACCAGGCGGCGGCACTCGCCACTCGCTCCGACGCAAACGCTCCGTTGAAGGAGGATGTTGGACGATAAGAATTGTCTGACCTTTGACTTCGGCTCACAGCTGGCGGACAATTTAAAGCCGCCCGGACACAGAGAGCTTTCGCGCCGTCGTTGCTGCTACCATCTCATGGGAGGAGTACCAGACGCGGCCCGCAGCGACCAGGGAGATTCTTCTGGACCGGCCCCCTGATACGCAACATGTAACTTTGAATCAAGTCCACCACGTCTCGGAGGTTCTATTGCATCGGATGAAGGGTGTGTTTTTATAGACGTCTGTCTCCACGTAGGCATGCTGGGCCCTAGAGTAGACCCCGGACTGTCCAGACGGCCTTATTATAGCGCTTGCTTTTATATGTAATGAATGGCTGCCGTCCCTATGGCTAGATGGTGCTGAGCAGCAGAGTTGTTTGCTCTTTGTCGAGGATGGCTGTGATATACCATCTGCGGCCCCCACGATGTGCTCTCGTTACTTTGTGCAACTCAGTTGCAGAGACAAGGGGCTCAGCTCTAGCAAACGAGAGGCTAATGAGCGGACTGACGACGTCTCTTGGTGAGCAAGCGTGTGACCTTGGAGGCAAAGAGAGGCTTTCCACTCCAACAGCCGTCTCCTCGGCTCCTAGCGATTCTTGTTTGAGAGTCCGGTGACGTGACACGGCGAGATGTGTCGTAGCAAGCAAGCTCTGGAGCTCACGATGGTGACATCTGCAGCTCGTTGACACCACTGGCCATCCATCCATATGCTTGATGTATTGACCGCGAGAAAAGCGTGGACAAGCTTGGTTGCTCAAACGAACGGCCAGTTGGGCGACGAGCCGGGCCCAGACGTTGACGCGCGACGGCCTGATCATCACCTTGCTTGCCCATCGTCGGCGCCGTCCAGACAGCCCGCCAATGGCTGTGCCATGTCCTGGGTCGCGATCCGGTCTTGGGGTGTTTGCTCTCCGCTGCCAAGGAGGCGTCAAGCAGCTATCCAGGCCTCTTGTCTCGTCCGTCTCGTCTCCGGGTCAACAGCGTCGACCAGTGGACTGTGCCTCGTCATCCCTCCTCGCCTCGCCACTCCATCCCGTCTCGGTCGCGAAGCGGTGTGCCCTCCCCTTGCCATTGCCACGACACGCCTGCGCGCCGGTTCAGTGGCTCGCCGGCCTCCTCTGACTCAGGATGCGCGCAGCAGTCTTCCGTGGCGGGAGCGGTGTCAGTTTGTTTGCCCTCTCGGCAATGGCCAGGCGCAGGTGAGCACGTCGTGGCCATTCGATCCCCTTGCCCGTTCCTGGGCATGGGCGTGGCAAAGACATAAAAGGGCAACGGGGACAAGGACTGAACAGCGGTCTGAACAGCGGTCTGGTCTGTTCAACCCGGTTTTTTGGCACCTGATTTTCTCTCTTCCGGCCGGGCACCTGGCCTCCTCAGGCACCGACCATTCACGATAGCCCCTCCCTCTCCCGCCAGCCTTTTCCTCTCCTCACCCACCGTCCATTTTCCTCCCCATCATGGACGGCATTGCCTCGCCCAATGCAATCGTCTGGCCCACGCTCGCGGAAAGCAACAGCAACAGCAACAACGACGACGACGAGCGCGCGCTTCCAGACGACTGGCCCACGGCGCAAGACGGCTCCGAATGGGATGGAACCCGCCTGCTGGACCTGACGCGTCGCGGCGAGAGCCCCTTTGGCGCTGCCTGGAACGTCGAGGCCTTTATCGGCGAGGTCGAGCAGATTCTCAACGCCAGCGTCGTCGATATCCCCACCGTGTCGAGGGGAGCAAACCACTACGTACGCCTCTCCCCTTGCAGAAACTCGCCACGCCAGTGACTCGAGCAGCTCGGCGAGAAAAGGCCAAGACGGGGGGCCTGATGGCTGACCGTCTCTTGCTTCTCCAACAGGGTCTTCACGTCCAGCTCGACAGCAGGCCAGACGTCGTGGCCCGCCTCTCCCGCCACGACGTCAACAGCCCCGGCTTCCACGGTTCAGATCTCGAGGCCAAGCAGCGGCAGCTGAGCCGCTTCGAGATTGCAACCTACGACGCCCTGCAGCCGCTCGCCCGCGCGTCGCAGCCGCACGGCCGAGTCTTCGGCGGCCGCCCGCTCCACCATCGCGACCCCGTTGCCTGGAGGGCCGGGGCCGGCGTGGCTCCTCCCTCGCCTCCTTTCCCTCATGATGCCTCGGCGTCGATGCCCCCTCTGTGCCGCACCGTCCTCGGCCGCCGCCTCTTTCTCTTCGAAAAGTCCCCAGGCGAGGGCTACGACTACGTCCGCTGGCGGGCGCTGAGTCCCGCGAAAAAGGTAAGCGGACGCTCAGTCTCTTGACCGGCGCAGCAGCGGCTCAAGCTTGCCGTCGTCTAGTCATTTCTGCTTGCCCAGTCGGCACGGGTTGCCGCGACGCTCTTCCAGTACCGGCTGCCGGCCGAGTATGCCTCGACGTGGCTGCCGGTCCGCATTACAGAGCACCAGCAAAACTATGTCAGCCAGCGCGAGGTGACGCCGACTCGCGACTTTTGCGCGTCTCTGCTGCACACGAGGATCGAGGCGGCTCTCTCGCGCCTCGCCCTCCGGCTACCCCATCTGGCTCCTCGGGCGTTGCTTGTACGCCAGGACCTCGACTGGCTGGTGCCGCGGGTGCTCCCGCAGGCCGGCAATGGCCTCAGCGAGACGGCGCTGTACCGGTTCGTGCTGGATCACGGCGACTTTGGCATCCACAACATGACGATTGCGACGGACGACCATGGACGGCCGTACATCACGTCGGTGTACGACTGGGAGGCGGCCAGCATTGTGCCGGCGTTGCTCTCGGAGCCCAAGATGGTGGTGACGGCCGACCTGGTTGTCAACGACGAGGGCGAGCCGGCCATCAGTCGGTGGGGAGACGGGGACAGCATATCGCACATGGGCGAGTATCTGGAGTGGTCGAATGAATATTACAAGGTATGTGGTGCTGTGGCTGTCGAATAGAGAGGGTGGTCAAGTTAACCTCGAGCTTGTCGGGCAGGAGCTCTTCAGACAGTCGCCCGAATACCGAGGGGTGATAATGGCGAGCGGCGACGCGCGGCGGATTTGGTTTGCCATGCGCGAGTTCGAGGTGGAGGATCATCGGCAGCGACTGGTGTGGCTCTCGGGGTGGGCGAGGCGCAAGGTGGCCGAGTATAGGGCCAAAGAGGGCTTTTATCTGGTTGAATAGTTTGGCCAGCGTGAGGTCATGCATGGATTGGAGCAGACGTGTGTTGATGGTCTGGCTGTTGTGGCGATTGGCTTTTGTTGCCCATGCAGTGGGGGATAGATATACTCGGAAGAATAGAGGCCGATGCAAAGCATGTTCGGTCTGGACGATGGTCGGGTCTAGGGTAGTTGATTTCAGTTGCCGGGGCGCTCGCTGCCTAAGCACTCGGCCGGTAAATGGAGCAGCTCGTCCGTCTATAGCTTTTCCAGCACTTGGCAGCTGAATGAAGCCTTTGGCGATTCATTCCTGCCAAGAACTCGGCGCATGAAAGCGGCATCCCGGAACTTGCGCAATGGCCAGTGACAATACACGTGTTGGTGGCTGCACATGCAATGCGCCTCTGCGCTGCACCTTTCCCGAGCTGTGCCTGAGATGCAGTGGCTTTGGTAATGAGGAAGCAGGTCTCAGTTTGTGGTGATGAATGTGCGAGGGCAATCGATGACCTCATAAACCGAGATCCGCTTGCGGGGAGCTCCTCTCAACTTGGACGCCACTTGCCGAGCCAACAATCGGACCCGCTCCCAATCTCTTCTCTCGCTCTCCCACCTCCTCACATGTAAACACCGCCCGCTCTCTTCCCTCGCCGCGAATACGAATAGGACCATCTTCATCTGTTAGCGAGACTGCCACTCCCTCGGTGAGACAAGTCTCGCCGCCCCCCGACCTTTTTCCCCCTTCGCTCGCGCAACCTCGAATCAACAACAACCGAAGCAAAGGAACGGCACAGCAGGAGAGAGAGAGAGGCACATCGCCATCGTCCATCTCTCGCCGGCAGTCTCCTCCACCAGGCTCACCTCCACCATCTCCACCATCTCCGGCATCACCACAGCATCACCACCAGCATCATCAGCATCATCGCCAATCCTTACCAGCCGCCCTCCCTCGCCGACGTCATCCACGACCGTCCTCGCTCACCCCGCCGCCTATCACTCCCACTCCTGCCGCGCTTGTCCTCACGACGAGACACGCCATGGGCGAGGCCGACAGCTACCTCGGCTCTGGCCAGCCGCAATACCAGCAGCAGCCGTACGGCCAGCCGCAGCAGCAATACGGTCAGCAGCAACAACAAGCCAACTACAACTACAACGGTGGCAACCAGCAGGCATGGGGCAACAACCAGTCCTACCCTCAGCAGCCGAATTACGGCGCTCCTCCCCCCTACAGCGTCAACCCTCCCCAGCCAAACGACGACAAGTACTCGTTCGACGAGGCCTTTAAGCTCGAGAAGCCAAAGTACAATGATGTCTGGGCCGGCGTTTTGGTATGGGTCTCGCGCAGACAACCTCAATCATCTTTAGCTAACACCACCTCTAGTTCCTTCTCTTCGTCGCCGGATACGTCGTCGTCGCAGTCATCTCCATCCGTGGCTATCGAACAACTGGCGCCCCCGGCAGCGGCATCTACCGCGGCAACAATTTTTCCCTCAACAGCAACACCCTCGCACTCTTTGGCTGCGTCCTTGCCGTCGCCTTTGTCTTCTCCTGGCTCTACATCACCGTCGCCCGCCTCCTTCCGAAGCAGCTGATTTGGATCACCGGCATCCTGAACCTTGCCTGGGCTCTGGGAACCGCCATCTTCTACCTCTACAAGCGCTACTGGTCCGCCGGCATCGTCTTCCTCGTTTTTGCCGTCTTCATGGCCTTTGCCTTTTACACGTGGATCCCGAGAATCCCCTTTTCGGCCTTGATGCTCAAGACGAGTGTCAACGTCAGCAAGCGCTATGGCCACGTCTTCCTCGTGAGTCTGCTCGGCGGCCTCGTGGGCATCGTGCTTTCCGGCTTGTTCTCGGTAACGCTCGTCTCCATATACGTCCGCTTTGAGCCGTCCAAAAACAACCCAAACTGCGCCGACGGAAGCTGCAGCCAAGCCAAGCTCATAGGGCTTATTGCCTATGCCACTTTTACCATGTTCTGGATCAGTGAATGGCTGAAAAACACCCTTCACTGTACTGTCGCCGGGGTATTTGGATCCTGGTACTTTTGCGTCAATAACTTTCCCAAACGCGCGACCCGTGGCGCGTTGAGGCGCTCCCTCACCTACAGTTTCGGCTCCATCAGCCTTGGAAGTCTTCTCGTCGCCATCATCCAGTTCCTGCGCCAGCTGTGCTCCATTGCTCGTCAGCAGGCTGCCGACGATGGCGGCATTGGCGGCATGGTTCTCTCCATTGTCTTTTGCATTCTCCAGTGCCTCGTCGGCCTCCTGGAATGGGCCCTGGAGTTCCTCAACCGCTACGCGTTTGTCAATTGCGCCCTGTACAACAAGCCCTACTTCAAAGCTGCCAGTGATACCTGGAGGATGATCAAGGACCGCGGCATAGACGCCCTTGTCAACGTGAGTCTTCAGCTCAGATCGTCAAGATGCTCTGCTGACCCCCTTCTAGGAGTGTCTGATTGGCCCAGTTTTCAGCTTCGGCGCCATGTTTATCGGATTTGCCTGCGCTCTGCTGGCATACTTGTTTCTCCTCTTCACCAATCCCGAGTACAACTCCAATGGCGCCTTCACTCCGGTTGTGATGGCCTTTGCCTTCCTCATTGGCTTCCAAGTCTGCCACGTCCTGACAACTCCGCTATCGAGCGGCATCGACACCATCTTCGTGGCGGCAGGATGGGACCCCCAGGTCATGATCCAAGACCACCCGGAGCTGTACCAGGAGATGGTGCGCGTCTACCCGAACGTGCAGCAGGCCATCCAGGTGCGTTGAAGAGCGGGGGCCGGAGTGGTTCCGTGGGGAACCATGGCCTCGAGGTGTTACTCTTCTCTTGTACCCTTCCCCCTTCCTCTTTTAATCGTGTTTGTTTCGTGCTGGACCGGACTTGATACCACATTTGCGACCTATGCGTGGCCGAGGCTACCAGGCTTAGAGGAAGACGTTATGGATGGTTGTTTTGTTGTTGAAAGGGGCGGTGCCACCAGAGTGCCCTTTCCCTAAGCTGCCATCTTGTATCGGCGTGCGACGTTGCTTCTTGGCACACGTGGCTTAATAATATTATTGTCATGTTCCGCGCCCCGTGTGATCTGTTGAGACTCGTAGGCCAATGTACGCGCAGTTGGCTGGATGAGACTTGGTCCTGGATGAATTGTAACACACTTCCTTTGAAGCTCCCTTTCTCATATATGTACAGACAAATCCACACAGGCCGGCGGCGCTCGACTCGCGCTCGCCGCTGAGAAACCGACGCTGATACAAATGGCAGGAAAACTCCGAAATAGCAAGACGCCTCAACCCTGTGCCACCCAAACATGACCCGGAAACCAAGGAGTAGATAGAGAAGAGGAAAAAAAAGAGAAGAACGACGGCCACAGCCACCCTGCTCAGGCAGCCTTGTCCGTCGCGCTCGTGGCCAAGTCGCACTCGTCCTCCGCGTCCACCGGCACAACCTTCCACCTCTTTGCCGGCCCCTGCACGCCGGCCCACAGGTCCGTCGGGAGGAACTCGCCCACCTCGTGGCGGAACGATTCGCGCGCCGCCCGGTCCGCCTCGAGCAGGCGGTCGACGCCCTCGCGCGCCTTGCGCCAGTAGGCCTCGACCTGGCCGTCGACGGTGCGGCGGCGCTCCACCTCGAGCACCAGGCTGCCGTAGGCGCTGCCGTAGCCCTCGTAAAAGTCGCGCATGTCGCGCATGTCGCGCAGCCGGCCGAAGACGACGTCCTTTTCCAGCTCCCAGCGCTCGTGGAAGTCCTCCTCGGCCGCCAGGTAGTCGGCCAGGCGGTCGCCGATGTCGGCGAGCGCCGCGAACGCCTCCGACATGCAGGCGTAGGCGCGGGACGTGTCGTGCGCCTGCTCCTCGAGCGCGCCCGAGTGGCGCTCCATGGCGGCCAGGCGCTCCTGGATCTCGCGCACCACGTCGTCGACCTCGTCGGCGTCTTGCATCACGACCTTGAGCATCTCGGCGCGGTCCTCGGCCGTCTTGGGCTCCAGGTCCGACATGTGCGACTCCTGCTCGGCAATGACGCCCGAGATGGACACGCCGTCGCTGTCCTGCGACTGCGTCACCTCGGCGGCCTTGCGGCGGGCCAGCGCGGCGGCGCCTTCGGTGGTGCGGATGGCCGTCACGCACATGTCAAAGTGCTTGGTCAGCGACGTGAGGAGCTGGGCCATGGTGGACGAGTGGTCGTCCATGGTCAGCAGCAGCTGAGCCATGGGCGTCCTGTTCGCTGCACCGTCACTGTCGGGGCTCGGAAGGGGGAATTCGGCCATGACCTTTTTGAGGTTGCGGATATCGGTCTCGAAGCGAAGCAAGTCTCCATCAAAAGACTGCTGGATGCCCTGGGTGACGGGTCAGCGCCGAGTCGAAAGGACGAGGCGAGTCTTACCTGAAACTCCTCGATGCTCTTCTTCATGGCCTCCCTCATCGCATGCACGCCAGTCTCGTCGACAAAGTCCAGCAGGTTGCGCCTCTCGCCCCCGCTCGGACGCAAGTCGTCCTGCACCTCGGTGCCGCGCAGCATCTCCATGGTGGCGGCCAGCTCGCCGTCGACCTCGTCCATGGCCCTGATGAGCTTCTTGAAGTCCTTCTTGCCCCACTCATAGGTGGCGTGGATGCTCCGCCGGACCCTCATGAGGATGGCAATCTGGTCGACAATGGAGCCGCGCAGGAAGCGGTTCTGGGCGGCGAGGATGACGCTGTCCTCGTGGGCGTTGCGGGCGGCCGTGGCGACCTCGTTGGCGCGCAGCACGAGGTTCATGGACGACAGCGAGCGCTTGGCCACGAGCAGGTGGTTGACGAGGGTGTCGATGGAGATGGCGGGCTGGGGCTGGGCGTCGGCCGAGGGCTTGAGCGACGCCGCCGACGACGCCGGGCTCCGGCGCGACGACGCCGTGGGAGAGGCGGCCATTGCGGCGCGAGGCTTGCGTGGGGTACGTGGGTGTGGGATGCAATGGATGGGGCGCTACATGATGAAGAGCCGCCTGACAGATGGCAAGCGGCAGCGATTCGACCGATGTAGTTGATGATGCTGAGGAACTCGGCTTGCTCCCGGGGTGTTGTTTATAGTGCTGCGGCCGATAAGATAAGCATCCGGGGTATTACCGAAGACGGAGTTCAACCTACAGCATGGCGTGCTAGAACCATCTCTTGGCAACTCGACCATGTCCGCTATACTTTGCCGTCACTACTCGACAAGCTTGGGAGGCACCACGTTTGCCGTTACCTGCACCTTGTCAAGCTGCAAGTTATGGACAAAGTAGTCGATGAAATCCCTCGCACCTGGAAGTCTCAAGGGCAGCTTGTATCCGTCAGGGATCTCGGTCACTGAGAAGCCTTATGTTAGGCGGTACACTGGTTTGCCGTCTGTTGATCATGGCAGGAGAAGTACAACCATCCCTGTCATCTGCACCAGAGTGCATCGCTGCGTGAAGTCTCACGCCGTGGCTCAAGTCGACAGAAGTATAATAATTAATGAAGGAGCCAGGGATGTGTGGACTATGGAGCAAACACAGGACACCATTGCCGCCTCACGACATCATGCGATAGGCTAAAGCTCAAGTCGTACGATGTCTCTTCATGCCCTCACCATTCCCTGTCCACCCATTCACCTTCATGCCGTCGTCGTCCGTCTCAATATCCTTTCGAGCAGCATGGACACCCTGCCGAGCCAATTCGCCAGCTTGCGCAACGAGGAGGCATTCCCCGTCTTCAAAAATCTGCCCCACGACCTCGACCTCGACGACGACTATTACGACACGACCGGTCGCCCAATCATCCACTGGTGTTTTCTCGGCCAAGTCGTCCAGATCGACGATATCACGCGCCTACGACTCGTCGTCAAGGACAAGACCGGCCAAGTCGTAGTCGTTGCCTTTTACACGGGCCGCGACCACCACCCTCATCACCCTCAGCTGCGCGTGGGCTCGACCATTGCCATTCTCTACGCGCAGCAGCACATATTCCTCGACTCATCCGTGGGCATTCGCCTCGAGACTGCAGAGAACCTCAAGGTATCCCGTCACCGGCCCATCCTTGGTGCTTCACACACTAATAAACAGGTCATTCCCATGGGACTCGACGAGCTGCTTGAACTGAGTGATAAAATGCAAGACTACGCCATCGAGGACAACGGCGTCAAGAAATGCCAAGGCTGCGACCGAAGGGCTGCTTCGCTGCGCAACTGTGCCAAGTGCGTCCACTTCTCCTACTGCGACAAGGCAAGCTGCGTGTTCCACTATCTATCCCCATCGCCCTGTTCTGACCATGGTGCACCAGGACTGTCAAACCGTTGCTTGGAACGACAAGGGCCACAAGGCGGACTGCAAGGTGCTCCGAGACGCCGACTTTGGTGGCCTCCTCCGGCTTCAGTGGAACGTCTTTGGCGACTACCGCCGATTTCCCCTCAATCCACAAGAGTAAAGACGCAACCACGGCCGGCCAAGGCAACTCGGTGACGGCGGGCGTGCTACGCCTTAAGCGGAGAATCGGACGGACAAGTCTTAGCATGCTGGTATCCGTCACTCGACACAGGCTGCAGCTGTGGAAAGTGTACCAATGGATATCCGGGGATGCTTGAGGACCACCTGGCCAGAAGCAGCCCTGGGCGCTCTATGACAGTGACATGACGGCCTTTTGGCTAATCGATGCGTGACAAATGACATGACAGTTCCTTCCAATGGGTGGGGCACGTCTCCGAATTTCAGACAAAGCCTCAAAGGAATCTGACGAGCAAGTATGATATCCAATATGCCTGGTCTATCCATCTAAATTAGGGCTGCAACTGTACCGATCCAGGCGGCTCAATGTCCCCCCCATCTCATAAACAATCGACGTCTTCCGGCTGGTGACGTGCTGCTGGAAAAGTATGAAAGTAAGACATTGCCTCGTGCAGACACGAATAGAAAACCAACACCATGACACACAGCCATGAGACCTCGCAACTCCACGCCATTGTCGGGTCTCTAACATCTGGTGACTGTTGTGAGCCCGAAAACGCGCTTGATAGCGCCCGCTTCCTCGAGTCATTGCTGGTGTTGCTTTGTGCCCTCGACTTGCTCCTTGCTTGGCGTGGAGCAAAGTCTACGCGGCAATGGACAGCCTCTTCGTAGGATACAGAATCGGCCCGGCATCATCCTTGCCTTCGTCGGCGCGAAACCCTGCCGCGTTGGCTTGCGCATTGTCGAGATCCTCGCCCCCCTTTTCGCCCATGCCGTCTTCGAGCAGCTCCCCACCCTCCATGACGGTGAGCAGCTTCAACTGCTCGTCCTTTGAGTAGACACGGATGCCAACGATGCAGACGGCATTCCACGGATCGACCATTTTTTCTTCCTCGGTATCGTAGTCGTCTCGAGGTTGGCGGGGAGGCTGCGGCGTGAGGCGAGGCTTGCGCGAGAAGTCGTCGCTGCTGTACAGCTCCTCCCAGTCCTCGACGGGGGAGTCGGACGAGGCGCCGTCCGACTCGTCTCCCAAATGCCTCGGGCTCCTGGCTTCATCCTTGGTCGCAGGCGCAGGGGAAGTCGGACGACGGGGTGCAGGCGGCGGGCCACTGATTGGGGGCACGTCCTGTTTCTTCTCGCTCGATATGACGACAACCGAGCCTTCGGTTTTGGGAGTGTCCTGGGGTGACCCGCTCGAGTCGGATGCGTTTGTACCGTCATTGGACTTGGCCGTTGTCGTGGCATCGACCGCTTCCGCAGCCGTATCCGTGCCTTGGGATGCCGTCTGCGTGCTGTCGGGCGGAGGTTCGGTTTGCCTCTCCTCTGGGCGTCCATCTTCATCAGAGTGACGGGATTCATTGGCCTGTCGACCTCTCGCCCTCCGCTTCTTGTTACGCTCCCTCTTCTCATCATTCTTGCTTGCCTGCTTCTTCGTGACTTCTCGAGTCAAGTGACGTCTCTCCCACAGGCGACGCCGCTCCTCCTGCCGACATCTCGAGGCTTTACACTGATCGCGCTTTTTCCGCAGGTTGGCTACCTTGTCCACGTGGGCCCAGGCCTTGCTGTGTGCCAAATCATACGCGAAGCCGACGGCGGTGAGCTTTTCATTGTCCACACGCTCTTTGCACTCTCGCTTTACCACTTCCTCGACCGACGGCACAGTCTTGTCGCGCTGCCCAGTGACTTTGAGATAGACGACGTAGTTGCCCGCCGGCAGGTCGGGAAGCTCCACGGCGACCGAGCGCTTCATAAAGTAGTTGCCATGGGATCGGACAATGTAGTCCTCGGCACCCGGCATGTCCTGATTATGCAACCGGAAGTGAATTCGAAATGTGTATTGGCCTGCGAGGCCCTTGAAATATCGCCCGTCCAGCTGCGAAAGGGCCAGCACGAGCGGCGAGTCCTTGGTGAGCCGAATATGGAATTTCTCATGGTACTCGGCCTTCCACGGCACGTCGACCCCGATCCATCGCTGACAACATCTCCAGTCCTCGTCCCTGAAGAGCCGAGTCCTGTCGAGGTGGGTAAACTTTTGTAGAAGGTCAGCGTAGGAAATCCAGAAGACGCTATCGTTGCCGAACTTGTGGTTAAGTTCTTCTTGCACGTTACTGGACCATTCTTTCGACCCATCACTCCACGGACCTTCCCAAATCCCTTTGCGGATCTTACCCCACGGGTTGCGCAGCTTGACAAGCCGTTCTCCCGACTTGAGGGTGCGCGCCTCCAACACGATATAGGCATGGCCCTCTGCGATTCCATCACGCTGGCCATGGCCATACTCAAGCAAACCAGCGGAAAATCCGAATAGGAATTCTTGGTTGACCTTGGACATTTCCTTTTCCCAGAACTCGTCGGTGTCCAGAATGTCCGACGAGAGCAACTCTGTCGTAACTCCGCCCGATAGGTCCTCTATCGCTTCACCGACGTAGCCCCCATTGAGAGAGGCGTAGTCACCGTGGGCCTTGGCGTACGCCTTTTCGATCAGTGGAACCCATGTTTCGTCCTGGTTTTTGCACTGGGCAAAGAAGAGAGCCTTTGACCCCGTTTGGTAAGTTCTCCGGTAAACCTTTTCGACATCTTCGCGGTCAATCTGCTGCAGCAGGTCGCGCTGCATGCTTGGGCAGTCCCAGCAGGGGGACTTGAGATATAGCTTGTCGTCGACAATGCTGTACACCCAATCCCCATCTCGGAAGAAGACAAAGCCATATATGCCGATTCCTGCGACCGGTCAGTCATGCGCGCGCCAACGGGAGCCGGTGACATTACGGACTTTCATCATACGCAACACACAATCGCCGCACGCCGTCTTGGACGTTTGCCATGGCGGTCAGTCCAGCCATCAGCCAGCAGTCGCCCAGGCTGCCCTGCTTGACATCGCCGCCATTGACCTCTTTCATGAAGACGGGCTTGTCAAAGATTTCGTGAACCCGCTTCACAGCTTTTGGCACGGACGCGCTCGAGCCCAGCAGGTTGGACTGGGTAAGCTCGAACTTTTGGTCGCCTAGGTTATTGAGGCAGTTTCCCTTTTGGTATTTGAGATCCCAATCCTGCATTTGCCCGTTAGTTGCTGCACAAGATCTTTGTCACGTGGAGAAAGCGCGGCAGAGCGCGTGCGATGGACAGCTCACCAGATCCCAGCCTGGGTCTCTATATCTCATGTTGACCCTCTTGCACTCTTGAACAATTTTGAGAACCTTGCGCCGGCACTCGTCGGCGGCGCGCTCATAGCCGTCACTCAAGAGCTCATTGGGCCGATCCGAGGCGGCGGGCGCGACGGGGTCAAAGGGAAGAATACAGAGGGCTTTGTGGAAATTGCGACTGGAGAACTTCTTCCAGATGGCGTTGATGGACTTCTGAGGGGGAACTCTCTTCTTGCGCTTCTTCTTCTGGTTCTGGTCGTTGTCGGTGGTTGGCTGGACTCGAGGGCGCCGCGGGTCCTCGGACTCCTCAGACGAGCTGTAGCCGTGCATGTCGACGAAGACAGGATGGAACTGTTATGAGTCTAGATGCTGCTGTTCAAGCCAAGTGGCGGTCGGCAATTTGGCCTTTCGGTGAAGCAAGGTTGATTCAACGCCAAGCGAGCTTGAGAGAATTCGGGAGGTTCACGATAGAGGAGGCAGTAATAAAGAAAACGAGAGGGATGAGTAGAAAGACCGGGAACCGAGGCGAAACAAGCCGCGATATAAAGCTTGAGCCCCCTAGCCGCGACGGCCCCTTGTTGGTGGGACAGGGTCTCGGACAAGGGCAAAGTGCCAAGTCCATCTCAGCACAGCTGACTAGTCGCGGGAGAGGCTGCAAAGATGGTTGGCCGATTCTTGGAGTAGTACACCGACCATGGGATTCACCGACTCGCATCTGCAGATAAGGTGATGCTCGTCCATCAGGGCCAGATGCAGGCAGTTATTGGCCGACGACGACATGTATTGGAGGGTAGATGTACATGCCCGTCGGCATGTACGGATGCGCGGTCCGTGTTGAACGGCACGCTAGCTGAGACGTGTCGATGGCCAAGTAAGGGTCCAGTCGAGTCGGCGGCGGCTTAGCCTTGTGCCTGAATGCCGATCGTCCGTGTCCAACTCCACCCCCCTTTTTCGGCGCTTGCGACGAGTCGGAATAGGAGGAGCGCCGCTATTTATTGTTTATTCCTCAATGAGGCTCTGTGTGGGACGCGGTCAGTGTTGCTTGGTCTTTCTTTGTTGCACTCTGGGGGACAAGGTCAGTTGGGCCAGCTGTTTGGAATCGCGTGGTCAGGGGGAGGAAACACCCCAATTGTCGAGTGTGAAGCTCGAGACCGCATGGCATCCGCGTCGTGAGAACATGCAGGGTGACGGGTCCATATCCCGCGGCAAGATGGAGTGCGGTGAGGCCAGAGTGCGGCCAATGCTCACGATTCGACGGTGGTTGGACTGTGCGAAAAGGGGTGTCTTGGCACAGTATGGAGTCGGCTCATGGGCACACACATCACAGTGCCAGCTCCCCAGAATCTCCCAGCGAGGCCCCTGCCACAAGGGCTGAAGCACACCACTCCCTGTACTGTGCAGCGGTCTAGTGGCCCGTACTGTGATTTATGCAGCTCCAACGACCCCATGGACGGTGAGGTGGATCTCGCTGTGATTTAGGGGTCCAGCGCCGTGACAGCGGGGAGTGAAGCCCCGAAGCCGCGACCTCTAATCCTGCTGAGTGCAACTAATTGTATTTCCTTTGTACCCGGACTCCGACCCTGATGCTGCCAGAAGCCGTCATTGCTGGCAGAGCTGAGCATGCAGGATGCAGGCAACAGAGGTGCAATCCAGGCCACGGGCGAAATCGGAGCCGGCTGTTGGGCCACATTGTCGACACGTCCTGCGACGGTGGCGCCAAGGCCATGGCGGTCGAGACTCTTTAAGGGTCCATGTCGTCGAGACGGAGGAAAAGCAAAGAGGCAAGATGGACCATCGACATCTGCCCGGCGGGAAAGCGCGGCGACAGCCTTTGATCCTCCACCTCCACTTCTTCCTTTCCTCCGACTCTCTTCCTTGTCGCTGCATCGTGGAATTTGCATTAACTCGGGCTTCATCGTCAGCAACGCGACGCCTTGTCCCCAAGCCGCCGGAGCCAACTCGACTCCAGCCTCCACGCGCCCTTGCCACGTCCTGCCTAGGCAAACAGCATAGGGGGCCGTCACGCCGCCCGCAGCCCCGACTCGCCGATACGCCGAGTTGAATGGCTGCTGGATTCGAAGCGAGGCGTCTTACGTCCAATCTATCCCAATCTTGACCTCTCAAATGGCCGAAAAATCGACACCCACGCTCGTGGCACCATCGGCCGCATCGACCCGCCACCGAGCTTCCAGCACACTGGACAGCCCGAGTCCCTGGATGATGTGCTCAAGCAGGCGTTGTCGCTCGAGACGCGCTTCGAGGTGCCCCTTCCTCCCACGCTCAGAAGAGCCTGCCGCAAAAACACCACATTGAGTGTGGACAACCTGGGCCCTGGTGGCAACCCACCTTCTGCATATGAGTCGTGCAAGCGCCGTCGAATCCAGCCCGACGAGACAGACATGGACTCGGACGACCATCAGCGCCAGGCTACCCCGGCCGCCAGCCAGGCAGAGGCTCAACAGCCATGCGACACCTCCTCGTCTGGTCGCGGCAGCTCGGCTACATGGACGCATCTCGTCGAGACTGCCAAGGCTTCAACGAGAACGTCTTTGTTTACGACTCCAAGTGTATGTCGAGCAACCGTGTGCTTACTGCCGTGCCTCATGCAGGAGAATACCCCTTCCCGCTGCAACAGCCCGGCTGACGTGGCACTGCAGGCGACCAGCAGCAAGAGCCCGGGAGATGCTGAGGACGACACGAAAGCCCCGTCCAACCTTTCGCACCAAGGAGTCTCCACCGACAATCAAGACTCTCGCAACCCTCCCCTCGATTCGGCCACGACCTCGTCGGCATTCGCAGCCAAGCTGGCTCGATACTCGACGGATTCGATGGCTGTGCCTAGCAAACTTTCCGTGGATGACTCTTCCTCACATTCGCTCATGGATGACTTTAACAGCGTATCCGTGTCCATGAAATCGGGCTCCTGGGCCACATTTGAATGGACAAGACCGTGGAAACGGAATATTATTTACGAACTGGGCGCCTGGCTCTGTCCGCATTGCGAGCGCGAACTGACGCAGGCTGAGGGTTTAGCCGACTCGTTTGAGAGGATGCCGGGCTTTCCCATCCAGCAGAGAAAGTGCCTAAACTGCAGAAAACAAGAGTTTTGCAAGATATTTGAGTGTTTTCTTTAGGTCCTGTGGTGCAAGGCTCGAGGATGGACAATGTCTGATGAGGGACAGTCAAGAGCCATAACAGCGGACAAGTTGCTAGCGAATAGCCGCTTCTAACAGAGTCAGTTTTCAGTCCTCAGTGGTGGCTCCTGAGGGCATGACTCGTGTCCGTTACTGTCAAGTCCGCTTTCTTCTGCCGTGGTGAGCCCCTGACGATGCCTCTTCTCGATTCGCCTTCTCCAGGGCCGATAGACAAGGACGGAACCAAGCCCGACGAGGACGAAAAGGCCACAAATGCTGCCACCGACAATCTCAAAGTGGTCAGTCAAGGCCGAAAATCCGTGCCAGAAAGCGCCGCGGGGACTGGCAATGTTTTGCACCAGGGACAAGACTTGGACGATGCCGATGAAGGCAGAGACGGCAATGGTGATGGCTGTCAAGACAATGGAGTAGTAGAGGGCGGCAACGGGGTCGCGGGAAAAGGACTTTGACGTGTAGAGGGCCATCATGGATGCGCCGTCGGTCGTGTCTACCAGGCACATTCCCGCTGCGAGGTCTCGATGAGCGGATTGGCGTAACTGAAGCCAGGGGCAGTGGACTCACCGGTGAAGAGAATGGGAAAGACGAGGATAAGCCAGATACTCGTTCCCTTGGTGGCCTGGACGCTTGCGAGGGCGAGGATGGCGACTTCGGACGAGGTGTCGAAGCCCAGGCCGAAGACCAGGCCGAGCGGCCACATTTTCCAGGGCCGATCAATGGTTCTGAAGAGGAGGGCGGCGAGGCGGCCGAGGAATCCCGTGGCCGGGAGCTGGAACTGCGCCATGGCGGCATCGGCCGAGGCGTCAGCGTCGGCTTCCGGGCCGCCACGTCTACGCTCATCGAGGATGGCCCGCAGTCGTTTGACCAGCTTATACAGCACCCACCCATTGGCGAGGCACAGGACGATGAGAAAGGCAGCACTGACGGCGGTGCCGATGATGTTGCCCACGCGGGCAAAGTCCTGGAACCGGTCCTTGAGAGCCCCCGTAGTGGCGGCCACGACGATGCAAGTGACGATGACGACGGTGCTGTGCCCGAGGCTGAAAAAGGTGCCGACAGTGGCCGGGCGCTGGTCGGCGGCGATGAGGCGGCGGGTCATCAGGTCAATGGCGGAAATATGGTCGGCATCGAGGCCGTGTCGGAGGCCGAGCGTGTAGGACAGCACGGCGGCGGAGACGAGGGCCGGGTGCTGGCTGAGGACGGCGGCGGCGATGACGGCCCAGACGAGGAGGTTGACGAGGATGAGCACGGCGATGATGGCGATGCTGTTGGTGGGGATGCCGCGCAGACACCGGGGCTTTGCGGGGAGCTTGATGCGGCCCATGGTTGTTCACCTGCTTCTTTGGCTCAAGAGACGACGTAGTCGAAAGCCTGCGCATCGGAGAATGGGAGAAAGGGGGTTATCCCCCCTCCCCGTGATGGCGGATCAATGGTGGTGAGGGGGATGATGGGACGGCCAGAGATAAGAGCCGTCTATGCATGAGTGGCTGCTTGTACGTAAGCGCTGTAGCTGCTGGGATGCAGGATACGCCAAAGGGCAGTGTTTGAGAGTCTCATGGGACTCACGATATGATATGCCGGTAAGGCTCAGTCGGACCGCATTTTACTGTATGTCCCAGCACCTGCAATTGTTTTATTTATTTATTGCTCTCCAGCTCTCGACAGGACATTATGTGCCCGCACCCAAGTCACTTAGGGTAACCGAGAAAACGACGGTGACATGTTACAACCCATGAGAAGCTCCGATAAGCATGTCGTCTTCTGGCAGGTGCTCTGCTTCAAGATTGGGAGTGTGGGGAGCCCGGGGCAGCGCCGTCGCCGTCGACAGTGGGTCTATGCACTGTAGTTCGTCAGCCCGCCCGCCGCTGCAGGCCCCACCAACAGGGAACAGGCCTGTCGATGATTTCATCCGTCGACCCCATGTTTGCCAACTTCGAGTCTTTCCAAAATCATCGGCCAGACCATCGACAAATCATGACACTTGGCAAGAGCCTCGACGGTGAGCTTCCTCTTTCTTCCCACCGTATTTCCCTCTCTGCTGCCCATTGTCGAGTGCCGTGCCCATTCTCTTCTGTACCTACGCTTCTTCCTCTTGATGCCTTCACCACGCCGGCATTGCTGATTGCTAACAACCAGCTCAGCTGTCTTGAACCCGTTCCATATTCGCGACCACAGCTTCTGCCAATCGGTAGCAATTGGCTGCAGGTACACCTTTGCCAGAGAAAAACTATCGACTTTCCGCCGTCCTGCAACCGGCACACCGAGAAGGCTGGCCTAGACGAGAAGCAAGTCGGCCCCATCGCGGAGATGTACCGCATGGCGGCCTTCTTTTGTCGTAGGGTTGTGGTTCTCAAAAGCGAGCTTTCAAGGGCAAGCAGAGCCTTCCAGTGTCGTGAACCGATGGGACTGCCTGTCGTCCCCTGGTCTCCCTGCGGAACCTAGAACTGCAAGACATCCAGGTACGCGTCAGGACGCTCGCAATTGGCCCATCTCTCCCAGGAGAATGAAGATGCAATGCCTCGATGACCTTTGTCCGGCTTGACCTATTCACACGTTAAATCAACACGTCAAGTCTCCATTTAGGAACGAAACAGACATACCGATACGATGCATGTCCCATCCGTCGTCCATAGAGGGGAGGTCGTAGCCGACGTGCATAACATTGCAGACGTCGAAGCCGCTCCATAACGCCAGCTGCGACAAGAACGGGCGCTTTCCCTGATCAGAACGCTCGCTCCGGAGCCCTCGCCTTTCCACTTGTCCTCCCGCTTGACCCCGACGGCCTTGTCGTCGCGCTGACTCCCAACCTTCCACGCCAGCAAGTGATTGAAAGGTCCCGAGAGAGTTGATATAAAAGGGAATGGTGTCGCCTTTAGGGTATTATATTAGCAAGACGTACGCGTTCACCGCTTTCGCCTCGGTGATCAGGGGGCCTCTCACCGAGTCAAGAACATGGCCCTTTTCTGAGATGGTGGATTCTCCCTTGAGTTAGACGCTTCGTGGGTCATCACCGAGTCCAAAGGGAGCCTTCTCATCATGGATCAAACTGAGCAATCCCAACTAGGAGTCCTCGATGCGAACGCATCCTGGCCATGTCCGAGTTGCTCCCCACCCAGCAACTCTCCCACGCGCGCGGCCCGCCTGACGACCTGAATTGATGGTGCATTCCATCAGAGTTGCCTGCTCTTGGCGCCATATAACAAATTGTCCACGGAAACGTGTGTCAGTGTGCTGCAGTACGGTTTGTCAGGACAGACTGTCCTATCGCTCGGGCTGCTTTCCTCCAAGAGAAAAGTTGGCGTCAGAGCGATTGACCTGTTGCCGTGTTCAATTAGCATATAAAGTCTCCGCGTTTATGATGGACAGACATACAGATATCATGCATATACTCTTCGATAGCTCTATATCCATGAAGGGGAGATTGTAGTTGACGACGTGCATGATGTTGCGAACGTCGATGCCACGCGCCATGACGCAGTGACAACAAGAACAGGCTCCTTGCCCAATTGGAGGATACGTCAGCAGTTGGCATCCGGAGCTGCGTCTTTAAGAGCCAGACGGCCCAGCTGCTCGACTCGAGGGATTCAAAGGCGGGATCTTGCTGCTGATGCCGTAGCGACTAGGAGAGTTGCCGTGAGCATCTTCCTGCTCGAGCAAGCCGATGGGCGAGGGGATTCTCCCCGTAAACGGAAGAAGCCGACGACGGACAGATGCATAAAGCTTTGAAGAAAAGAAAAACGAGTCCCGAGAGGGGAGGGCGACGAAGCGCGGGTACGCGAGCGTAGAGAAGAAAGGAAGAGGGGGGAGGAAGAAAAAGGGCCGAGGAGACTTCTGAAGCCACAAGGATATTACGAACGGCTGCCGTAAACCACTGGCTGCTGCAGATTAATGGGAGAGGCCTTCGTGAGTCTCTGACAGGTGAAGGGCATGCCTGCAGCACATCTGCCACTGCGTCGTAGTGAGAGCTGGGCCTCGAAAAGGAATGTTGGGCGAACCGGACCCTCGCAGGCAAGGGGGCCAGCACATCCAGTGTTGTGTCATGCGGCTCGGAGAAAACGCCGACAGCTAGGCGGTATTACAAGGGCTTCTCATCCCACGGGCCGATGCATCGTAACGACGCGTATGAAAATTTCTAGCTGGTGCAGCCACCCCCCCTCGTGCCAGTGTCGTGGGGATTGTCACGGCTGCGCCCAAGCGGTGCGTGTTGAGCAGACCTGTCCTGGTTCGAGCCTCCAAAGGGACAACGGCAATCGCGCGTTCCAAGACGAGCAAGACGAGACTTGAATCAAGGGCAAGTCGCGTCGTGACCATCCATAACGCATTAGCTCTGTTCTCAGCTGCTTTCCATGTACATGTGTTGGCTGGCTGCTTTCCCCTGCTGGCAAGGGCCGCGCGAGAACTCGCCCGAGGAACAGCAGGACTCAAGCTCACCATTGGCTAGCTCATCGTCTTCAGCGGCTCGGCGGAAACGCGCGCGGCCTCTTGGTTCAGCGCGTCAATCTCAGCCTGCACCAGGGGAATGCCAGACCGCTCACGCTCGCGCTGAGCCAGGTGCTCCAACTCGCCGGGGAAGTAAATGCGATCGACGCCGGCAGCGGGCTCGCAGTTGACGACGCGGTCGTACAAGTGGCGCATGCGGGCTCTGAAATCCTCGGCCGACATGAACAAGTCGGGTTTGATGGCGACGAGAAAGTGGCCCACGTCGGCCGGGCGGCTGGGGTCGTAGGGGTTTGTGACGTCGCCGGCAAAGGCAGAGCCAGACAGGACGCCCGAGAAGACGTCCATCATCAGGCTCAGGGCGCTGCCTTTGGGGCCTCCCATGGGCAGCATGACGCCGGCGAGGGCCTCGGTGGGATCCTCGGTGGGACGGCCCTGCGCGTCGAGGGCCCAGCCGGGGGGTATGCGCTCGTCGCGCCGTTGGGCCTTGTAGACCTTGCCCCTGGCCGCCACCGACGGGGCCATGTCGAGGATAAAGTCGGGGCCCCCGTCGCCGCCGCCGCCGCCGGGCGCCCCGCAGGCGATGGGCGAGACGCCGAGGAGCTTGGAGCGGCCACCCCATGGCGGCATGGCGGGACTGGAGTTGGTAAAGACGAGGCTCATCATGCCAGAATCGAGAGCCTGTTGTACAAGCCAAGCGCTCATGCCAAAGTGATTCGAGTGTTTGACAACGGCGAGGCCGATGCCGTAGACTCGGGCAGCCTCAATGGCCGCCGCCATGCCGGCGTGGGCCGCCACAAAGCCGAAGCCATTTTTGCCGTCGACCTGGGCCACAACCGGGGTTACCTGCTTGACCTCCGGGATGGCTGCCGGATCCAGCACGCCCTGACGGATGCGGCGACAATACGAAGGGACGCGGTTGATGCCATGCGTGTCCACGCCGCGCAGGTCGGCGGCCGTCAGGCACCGGGCCACCAGCGCCGCGTGCTCGGCCGACACGCCGTTGCCCCGGAGGGTGTCTTGGACCAGCCGGCGGGCCTCGGGAGCGGCGACGTGGATCCGGGGCGGCTCGTGTTCGGCGCCGTTGTCGTCGGTTTGGGGGGCGGCCGAGGTCATTGCTGAGAGCTAGTTGGAGGAGGGAGCTGAAGAGCTTAAGGGAATTGCGGAGAAAAAGAGATGCCTGAACAAGAAGAGGGAAAGAGGAGGAGGAAAGAGCGCATGCATGCGGGGATTGATTATCCGACGACCGGCCGTCCCGTGACTCGGCCAATTCTCCGACTTGCCTCCAGCACCAACAAGCCATCATCGCCAGTCCGTCAGCCCGTCGTCACCGCAGGCGCCGTCCCCCTCACGTATTTTGTATGCTGCGCCAGCACAACCACCTCGTCCGCTGCCCCACCCTCACCAACCCTCACAATGCTCACCGTCACGAAAGCCAAGCTCCCCCCAACCCGCTCCGCCCTCGCCTCGACCCTCACCCAGTCTCCCGCCCGCGCCGTCGCCAGATAACTCAGGTGCATGTCCACGCTGGCCCCCGTCGTCGCCCGCCCGTCCCACGACGCAATCGCCAGCCCCGTCACAAAGTCCACCACCGTTGCCGACACGGCCCCGTGCAGGCCGCCCTTGCTGTTGGCGTGCCGCTCCGTCAACCGCAGCCGCGTCGTCACCGAGCCCCGTGACACCGTCTCCAGCTCCATGGCCAACAGCGCGAATGAGTAGATGGGGCTGTTGGCCACGAGCCGCGCCAGCAGCGCTTGCACCTGCGCCCTCCGCATGCTCTGCTCGCTGCTGGCCTCGGCGCCTTCTCGCCCTGAGGCTGATATCGGGGCATGCGATGCCATTGTCGCGGAACCGTCCCCCCTGTCTTTGACCCTGCCTTTGTGTGTGCTTGTTTAGGTGTTGTGGCCCAGCGTCGTGACCAGCAATGAGTGATGTGAATCCGAACCAAGACTGATGGCAGTTGAAGAGCTTGCGCCTTTTGGGCTCTCGAATTCGAGACCCACCGAGCGGATCCCGGCGCCAAATGGCCTTCTAGAAAACGTGCACCGACAGTTCAAATGCAAAGTAAACATCATAAAACTACCGATAGAGGTTTGCATTCCAACGCTTCCCCTGTATACATTTCAGAACCAATACATGGGTTGCACGTGCACCGGCAATCTTCATCCACGATCCCACCCCTTTCAATACCCCCTCAGAGAGCAACGACCATCGCCCAGAAAGCGCCAAAAACGCATGCCATCAGGCTAATCTCGTACCGGCCGGCAGAGCCCGCCACGACCACGGCAGGAGCCGTCTCGCCGCCCGATGGCTGAGCGCCCGTCGGGCTGCCGCCTTGAGAAGGCTTGGGGGCGCCCTCGTCGCCACCGCAGTTGGGCTTGCCCTGGCAAGGGCTGCTGGGCTGCGTCTCGATGGGCTGAGGGGCCACTGGCTTGCCGCTGTTGCCACCTGCGGGCTTCTCGACTGCGGGCGGCTGGGGAGCAACATGATCATTGCCGCAGTTGGGCTTGCCCTGGCAAGGACTGCTAGGTTGGGTCTCGATAGGCTGAGGAACAACTGGTTTGCCACTGTCGCCGCCCGTGGGTTGCTCAACAGCTGGCGGCTGGGGAACGACATGCTCACTGCCGCAGTTAGGCTTGCCATGGCAAGGGCTGCTAGGCTGCGTTTCGATGGGCTGAGGAACAGTTGGCTTGCCGCTGTCGCCGCCCGTGGGCTTCTCGACTGCGGGTGGCTGGGGAGCAACATGATCGCCAGCGCAGTTGAGCTTGCCCTGGCAAGGATACTGAGGGCTGCTGGGCTGAGTCTCGATAGGCTGAGGAGCAACTGGCTTGCCGCTGTCGCCGCCTGTGGGCTTCTCGACCGCTGGCGGCTGGGGAACGACATGATCGCCGCCGCAGTTGGGCTTGCCATGGCAAGAAGGCTGAGGGTTGCCGGGCTGCGTCTCGATCGGCCGAGGTTGAGGAGCAACCGGGTTGCCGCCCGTAGGCCGACCACTTTCGGAAGGCTGAAGCTGCTCGCCGCCGCCACAACCAGGCTTCCCGTTGCACGGAACTCGAGGGCTTTCGCTAGGGAGTCCCGTTGGCTGCTCGTCGCTGCAGGAAGGCTCGGGGCCGACCTCACTGTAGCTTGCAGTCGGCTGCTCGCTGACCGGAGGCTTGGGCTCCGTCGGCTTCGAGTGTCCGCCGCAGTCAGATCCATTGCCGGGCTCGCACGGGCTGCGCGTGGGAACATCCGTGGGCTTGGACGGCTCAGGCGTCTCTGTCTCCTCGCAAGACGTCACGGTGGCAACATTGGTCTCCGTCTTGGTAAGAATTGGACCAGGCCCCTCGGAGGCCGTGCAGTCGCCGCCGGACGGCGGGGCCGTGGCGCAAGCGCAGACTTGGCTCGCGCCTTGAATGACGGACGGGATGGCCTCGGGAGGGCATTCAGTCGCGACGCACGGGACGAGCAGCTGGGTCAGGCTCTCCTGGGCGGCAGGCTGGCATTGGCAGGCATAGTTGTTCACGTCGCAGCCAATCTTGGGGACGTATGAGCTGAAGCACTTTTGCGCGCAGCTGGGCACGGCAGACGTGGCGATGGCTCCGCAGTCAGACGCAGTCCCGGGCACGCAAGGGGCCTCCGTCGTGCCGCCCGGCGCGGACGTGACGCTGGCGGGAGAGGTCTCAGTCCCCTTGGGGGTTGTGGCGGGCTCGCTGGATCCCGTAGGGGGGGGACGGCTGGAGCAGGGCGTAGTAGGGTTGGCCGAGACGCAGGAGCAGAGAGCGGACACGGCCGGAATCACTTCGAGTCCGGTCGTGATGCCGCAGCCAGAGACCACACAATCAAAGGCGGCGTTTTGAATAACATCGATAGCTTTGCACTGGCAGGCAAAGTCGGCCTTGTCGCACTTGGCCGCCGAAACCGCGGCCTTCTCGATACAAGCCTTTGCACATTGCGGAACAGCATCGGCGTTCTTCTGGCAGGGGGATGCCGCATCACAAGTCTCGCCGGGGCGGCTTGTAACGGGCTTGGCGCTCTCCTTTGATGATTCCGAGACTATCGGTGCTTGAGTAGTCTCGGAATGAGGCGCCTCGGAAGTCTGGCTGGGTAGTGACGAGCCTGTTTGCTTAGGAGGCTGAGAAGGTTCCTTGGAGGTCTCTTGGGGCGGCGTGGAAGAGTCTGAATGATGCGGCGGCTTTGACGTCACCTCGGGCGGAACGGAAGAGTTCGTAGGAGTGGTCTGGGACGTCGGAGACGCTGAAGCCGATGAGGGCGTGGCAGTCGCGAGACAAGCACAGATGGCTGATCCGGCGTCGATGGCCGGCAGGGCCTGTTCAATGCCGCATCCGATCACACAGCCCTGGGCGGTGGCGAGGATGGCCTGTGAACTGGCAGGCGTGCATTGGCCTGCGACGGTGAGCGGCTGCTCGTTACCAGTGGGCGATGGTCTGCTTACAGCCAAGGTCCTCGCTGTTGGTGCAGCCAACCTGAGAAGCGGCGCTCTTGACGCAAGACAGGGCACAGCTAGGAAAGGCTGACGTCAAGCTCTGGCACTGCGGGTTGGCAGCGGCGAAGCGCGCGAGAGCCAAAAGGCTCAACGCCCCAAATGAGTTCTTCATGACGGAAAGGGCCGTTGAGTCTAGAGCAAAAGACGGGCGATATCAAGTGCGTGGAATCCGGGCGTCGGGGAACTCGACGAAACCTGAAGAAACCAGTAGGCCAGCCGGGCAGAAAGAGGATGGCACAGCAGGCCAGATATATCCGTCGAGAGTCCCGAGGCCCGGATCCAGTTGCTGTCGTGTTTCCCGCCTGCGCCTCCGAGCGGCCCAAGATTCCAAATTGGGCGAGGGTCGAAGAAGATGTACATACATACGAGTGGTTGCCCTTGTAAGCTTTTCAGTACCTGGCAGATTGGCAGCCGACAGAGGATCCTTGGTTCATGGTGACTTCGACCTCATGTCGACAGGCTTCAGCATAAGGTTCCATGCATTACGCAGGTCCAACATGGGGACTGCAGATGGGCAGCATCAAGACACGGGGAATGCCCAAATCGAGAGAAGGTGGCCTGGGAAACTGAATCCCTGCGATCCCGAGATGACCTCGCACGGCGACGAGCCGTGAACAGGATGACGTTGCGTGTCAAACCTCGCTTTTCAGGCCAACCGAGAGGAAGCTGGGCGACCATGGAGCGGGGTTGACTCTGCCAAGCCACATGTCGAAAGTCAAGACTCAATGCTGTGTAAAATGACACCTGCTGCCCGATAGCATAACGCGTCGATAAACAGCGTGAAGAGCCAGTACGGCAGCTACGGGTGCAGTCTGGGGCGCCGAGTTCCGTGCTAGACCGCTTGATCGACCGATGTATAGACCCACACGATGCGGAGCAGTCGTTAGTTCATTGCGGAGTGCCAGGGTGCAGGGGGTTGTAGTATCGCGACCGGGCCAGCCCGTGAGTGGTGTTGGGCGCTGGTTCAGGATTGCTTCGAAGCGGCCATGTCGAATCTGGATAGCTGGCCCGAGCCGCGTCGGAGATTTCTGGAAAGTGTGTTGGTGGACAAGTCGTCGGCGACTTGGCGACTGTGAACAGCGACGACTGACAAGCAAAGCACGGGACGTCATTATCTCATGCCTATGTGTATGGTCCGCGAGGGGGTTGAGCCTCGGCTAAGCTGATGGAACTGCAACGGCCACGGTGAGCTCGGCCGTCTCCAGGCCTGTTGGAGACTAGCTCAAAGGCTTCGACGCGGCAGAGAGCAATGCTGCCAGAAGGTCAGGCGGAGCAGGTGTGGCCGATGATTTAATCGCAACAAAGAGCTCTGCTGGTCGGAGGTGAGTAGAAGTTCCATGCTCAAAGTCCCGCTCATCGATTGCGCCACACGTGAACGAGCTTGGCTTTGTTGGGCTGCCGGTGCTGTCGAGGCAGAGAATTGAGGGGCATGGCAGGCGAGCTGCAAGGGCGAGCTCAAGATGCTGTTAGTCATGGCCCCGGAAAGGCATGGCAGGTGTTGGTTTTCTTCGCAAGGCGCAGAGAGATGCAACGTCCCGACTTGGGTCAATGTCCGTCTGTTGCAGCGCTCATTGGAAGACGTGCAGGCCGCGGCAGGTTGATGGGCTGAGAAGAGGTGGCACGTCGGCCAGGGACGGGTCGCACGCATGCGGGTTGAGGTGGGTTGAGGTGCAGAATGCAGCAATCTCCAGATTGGGTGCAACGACAGCTGAGTTGTTGTGGACAACAGTCGAGTCGTCGTCGAACGATGCGCCTCTTGTCCGCCGCTCTGCCCGGCGTCATGGAAAATCTATGAGCCGGTCAGAGTCACTGCGGCAAGTCTTCTTGCTTGTCACTCACTCCAGGCGCGAGGGCAAAACGATGCCGATGCAGCAAGACGGCATCAAATGATGGGCGGCTCAACTTTACCGTTGTCCAACATTTGTTTCGCTCCTTGCAAGCGTGTACATTGTGGTCGGACGCAGACGAAAGACAGACGGTGTATGTACAAGTCAGGGATGGAAACCAAGCGGATTGGAGCATCAAGGCGACATTTGCACTCATGAAACCATTGGCCAGCACATGTCAGCGGCCCGCCCCGCCATGTTTTCCTCTCTGACTCCGATCATCTCATCCAACACCTATGACACAGAAAAGCCGAGTCAAGGCCTTGGCTGACGTGACGACGCACCGAGCCTGGCAGTGGTGGACACTGGAAGCAGCAGCACTCGCAATGTATGGCCAGACGGGAGCCCTCCCCATTCTCGACCACATTGTCATTCTCGTGGCCCATTCGACCCTCGAAAGCCTCCCGTCAAAGCTCTCGGGTTTTTTTGTCGTGGCTCGCGGCGGGTTTCATGCCGATGGGCTTACAGCCAACAAGCTCATCCTCTTCGAGGACGGTGCATACATTGAGCTCATTGCCTTTGTCGACGGCCTGGATCCAGACCAACGACGGCAGCACCGCTGGGGCCAGCTGCCGGAAGCCGCCATCATCGATTGGGCTTACACCTTGACGCACGAGGCCGAGTTTGCAGCGGTCCAGCAGAGAGTCGCCCAGTCGCGATCGGGCCTCGTCTACAGCGACCCAGTACCCGGCGGCAGGACAAAGCCTGACGGAACCACCATCAAGTGGGCGGTAGCTGCCGCGCGAGGCTCCGACGGGAATCCAGCTCCGCCTGGCAGCATGCCCTTCTGGTGTCTTGACCGCACACCTCGGAGTCTGCGTGTGCCATACGACCAAGAGCACCGGCTGACGCAGCATCCCTGCGGTGCCCAGGGCGTGTCGTCGCTCGCTGTGTCTGTGCCTGTACACGAGGTCGCGGCTCTGGGCGAGGCTTACGATGCGATTCACGGTTCTTCATCTGACGACGGCGGCGCGTGGAAATTCAAGGTCTTCTCAGGCTCGGCGATTGGCAAACACACGGTATCTGTATCTGTGAGCGAGAGAGCGCAGAGTATCGAGCTGGTGCTGCACGGGGACTCTGCGACTTGTGTCGAGGTGGTTGCAGGCGTGATATTGCGCGTCGAGACGTGAGGTTGGAAGGCCTCTGTAATTAATGGTAGAGTCAGTGGAATTACGTAGTGTGTACCCGCCTCGGTAGGTAGGTACAGTACGGAGTACGTACCTGGTCTCAGGGTCAAGCCGGGGAGCAGCGGAGCTCATTGATTGGCCTGCTGGTTGCCGGGTGGACCTGTGTAGGCGAAAGCTCACCCCACCAATGGCGGCATAGATGGACCGAAAAGAAAGCTCCATGGCTTAAAGGAGCTAAGCTCAGGTCGGCGCTGCTCCAGACTAATTCCATCTCTGCTTGCGTTGTATGTGTTTGACGAGCGCAAAGCTGGTGACGTTCTCTTCCAACGCTCGTTTTGTCGCGCGCTTCTCACCTTCCTCTCCCTTGAATCGGTTCTTTCTCCGGAAGAGCGTGCTCCCGTCGCCATGGCTCAAGATCCTTCCGAGACCCCCGTCGACGAGACCTCGACCAACCCAGGCGGCGATGTCGAGATGACCGAGGAGGGCGCCGCTCCCGAGGTGCAAGAGGTTGCGGCCGACGGGAGCGAGCTGCCGTTCGCCGGCGAGGCCCATGTCGTCCCCCCGCGCGTCAGCTTCATGGCCTACCTCGCCAGCCCCATTGTCCACCTTGTTGTCGGCCAGGGCGAGCAGCAGACTATGCTGGCGGCGCACCAAGCCCTCCTCGTCAAGAGCCCGTTTTTCGACTCGGCCTGCCAGAGCTTCGTCGACGACGGCAGCGTAAGCCTTGCACTCTCTGCTTTGGCGCCGCGTGATGCAATGCGCTTGTGCGACACGCGCTGACCACGGCTAGCCGCGCCAAATCGAGCTCCCCGACGAAGACATTGACGCCGTCGGCGGCTTCCTCGAGTACCTCTATACGGGCGAGTACTTCCCCAAGAAGCTCCCGGGCCAGCGCACCCTCGAGACCGACGCCAGCCTGCCCGCCGTCGACGACTCGGGCGACCAGCTCCTCAAGCACGCGCGCATCTACACCCTCGCCGAGAAGCTCGGCGTCTCCCCGCTCAAGTCGCTGGCCAGCTCAAAGATCCACTGCGTCAACTCGACGGCAAAGGGCGAGATCACCTACGCCCGCTACGTCTACGCCCACACAAGCTCCAACGACACGACAGTGCGCGCCCCCATTGCCAGCTTCTGGGCCACGCGCTCGCACATGCTGCGCTCCGAAGCCGAGGACGAGTTCAAGTCTCTGTGCCTCGAGTACCCCCAATTCGGATACGACGTTCTCAGTAAGCCCCCTCCAGTCCATCTGCCATGCTGGCTTTGCTTGCCTCGCGCTGCTGCATTGCTATGCAACTCCATCGCTGACCGTCACCTCTCCAGCCCGCGTCTTGGACGAGAAGCTCAAGAGGGAGCGCAGCGACAAGATGCACCCGGCTACGGCAAGCGCTCGCAAGCGCGCACGCCACAGTAGCGGCGCTGCCTAAACATTTCAATTTTTTTTTTCATGTATCAGTCAGTGCAGTGTGTAGCAGAGTCGAGTCTAAACTGGCCGGCTTGCGTCGTCGTTTAATTTCATTTGCCTGGCATCTTCTGGTCTTGCACGCTGTCCTCTTCCCGGTAAAGCACATGGGAAGAGTGGAGAGAGCAACTATGGATAATTCTAGGAACAGGTTAAATAGATTTGAAGCCAGGCGGCCGTTATGCTGCAAATCTGGAGTCCGATGGCCCTGGTTCGCTGGCGGCGCATATTGTTCATGCGAGTCAGCCAGAGCGTTGGTCGACCCTTTGCCGCGACTGACTGACCTACTAATTGACTATACAGTAACTTACATCTCGCCGGTCGTGCTGCGGGGAGCAGTTGCGAAACGACTCTCGGGGCCGGCCAGGACGCGTCTCGTCGCCCGACGTCTTGGCGCGGGGCGCGAAGGTCGAGGACTGGTCCATGCTCGTGCTGTGGGCAATGCCAATGCTCAAGGACGTGCTTCCCCAGACATTCACGCCCAATTCTTCTTGGCTCTTCGCAATCCGCGGCTGGCCGTTGACGACGATGTGGAGAGCACCTCTGCGACCGCGATGCTAGGTGCCACCGGCTGTCTATGCACTCTTTAGAAGCCGTATGTATGGAGAGCTGAGACCTTTTAGGGCTGACTCTGTCCTTGGCACAGACGGGGGTCGCGACGAGGGCTCGGCAGCTGCTACAGGCCGAGGAGGGAGTCTCGGCACCATGTCCCCGGCTCGCTCTTTCGGTGCTCTTGGTCGCCGCTGTCGCATGCTGCTCAATGTGGATAGGCGACTGTTGGGCCCAGACGGTCAGAATCAAAGGAGACGCCGCGCATCTTCTGCAAGTCCCGAAGTTGCAGTACTTGGTCGTCACCGGTGGTCTGTCCCTGGTGACGACAGGCACAGCGGACAAGCCATTTGTTGACTTGTTGGAGACGATGAGAGAGGGTCACGGCAAGGCCTGGGACTGGGCGAATTCGCGACTGATGTAATTAAATACTGTACAGTACGAATGACGGTTGGGGCTGGGCGCTCACTCCTGGCTCAGCTGCTCTGCATGTAGGTAATTAGGTGAGTTATTCTGCGGCCGCGCATGCAGGTATGAATAATGAGTGTGCGTATCCGTATAATTATCCGTATTCCGGATTGCTTTTCCCATCCGAGGCTTAGACCGAGCTGTGGACTGAGCAGGGCAGGGAAATCTGATTACATTGTCGTCACAACTCGGATCCAGCATTGGGCCTCGGGAACATGGACAGGATGACAGGTCATTTCAGCAACGGGCCCAACAATCGGTCCGGAAAGCTGTCGTGCACCGTCTCACCTGGCACGGAGACATGCGCCCTCTCTCACCCTGCTGCCGTGTAACATGCACGGGTGCGTGGGTGCATGGGCCATGCCTTGTGCTCAACAGCGGCGAGAGCGAGCCTCCAATGCGGCTGCAAAGTGCAAGCAAAAAAGTCCGAGTCGCCACCACCACCACCACCACCCCCCTTCTGCATCCATCTGCCATCCCTCCACGCGCACACTTATTACTCCGTACGTACATGCTGTACTCCGCAATACATACCTACCTACGTACTAGGTAACTTAGTATATACACATATGTATACAACACTGTATGCCCCGGCTGCTGCATCCCGAACCATTCGAAACCCACTCTCTCCTGTCTGCGTTGCGTTGGCTGAGGCCTGGGGGGCGAAAGGTACAGTACGGAGTACACCGGGCGTCGTTGCCGTGTCCGCCATGTTGGTCCTTTGCTCCCGCCTTGTGAGATGACGGTGTCGGGTGAAAAGAAAGCGCGACCCCGTTGTAGACTTGCATACCCATACGGCCCCTTCGCCGCCCCCTTTGTTCTTCTCCCTTCCCTCGGTAACATGTCCGACACAGCCCAAGACCACCTCCCTTTGACCTCGCTTCCGTCCGCCATGTCGCCGCCTTCTCCCCCCCGCTGCGCGTGTCCCGAGGCCAAAGACGATAGACCGGCCGACAAAGACGCTGCGCCGCCGGCGGTTCCGTCCTCGCCGACGATAGAAACGAGAGCGCCGGCCATCGATGTGGCGACGCAGCCCGGGGACGAAGACGAGTTCGACATAGACGACGAGCCCTTTGGCGGCGACGGCGTCACCAGCCTCACGTCGAGCGTCTACGCCTGCACCTTCGAGCGCGGCAGACGCTACCACTGCTTCAAGAACGCGCGCTATCCAATCCCAAACGACGACATCGAAAAGGACCGCGAGGACCTCAAGCACGCCATGCTCATGGAGCTGACCGACGGCGTCCTCTTCTACTCGCCCGTCACGAACCCGCAGCACATCATCGACTGCGGCACGGGCACTGGTAAAGCCGAGTCCGCCGCACTCCCGTGCACAACCATGGGGAGCTCACCTTGGCTGACACGAGCAGCGGACAGGCATCTGGGCGATTGAAGGTCTGTCACCGTCCCGGTCCCCATTGCCCAGCCGATTCTGCATCATGGTTGACACCTGTTCGTCTTACACACCAGTCGCCGATCGCTTTCCGAGCGCACACGTTCTCGGCATCGACCTGACGCCCATCCAGCCGCTCTGGGTACCGCCCAATGTCGAGTTTCTCGTCGACGACTGCTACCAAGATTGGCTTTCCGACGAGACCGCCGACCTTGTTCACTTCCGCTTCATGGCCATTGTCCTCCGAGATATTCCGTGCGTTCTGGCTCACGCCTACAAGTATGTGCAGGCTCATGTTCACTTCCCTGTTATCCCCCTTAACGCTGCTGCCCTTGCTCCTGTTTTCTATCGCCCTTCTGACCAAGCTTTGCTTAGAAGCCTACGGCCTGGTGGATGGATCGAGTTTCAGGAGCTACAAGGTTTGCCGTACTGCGACGATGGAACCATGAGTGACGATGACTCGTTCAAGCGGCTGTATGAAATAGCCAGGGAAGCCTACTCCAAGTTTGGCATGAGCACGACAATCGCAGCAGAGCTCGAGCCTTACCTGCGCGACGCTGGCTTCACCAATATCCACTGCAGAGTGCTGAAAGTTCCCATCGGCGTCTGGGCCAGGGACGAAACGATGCGGCTCATCGGCCTTTACCAGAAGACGGCCGTCGTCGAGTTCATCTCCACATTCGCCGGCCGCCCGTTCGAGGCCTTGGGGATACCGGCGGCCGAGATTCAGTTGACGCTGGCAATGGCACGAAAGGCACTCGAGGATACCAGCGTCCACCGGTATTTTACCTACCACTTCTGGTGGGCACAGAAGCCGGGGCACGACCGGGGCAGAGACGTACGCCGAGATGACTCACCGTAACCGAGTTAGTCTTGAACAGTTGAAACTCGGCGGGCGTCCTTGGGGTGCGTGTGACGTCTGGATGGACAACAGCCTGTCTCCGACTCTTGTGGTTGAGGGAGCAGACCCTGAGTAGAACAGGTGCAAGCACTGATGGGGTTGTGGCCAAGTGGCTCAACGTGGCCTGGTGGTGAATTGTGTGGCGGGCAGGAGAGCAGACGAGACCAAGGCAGGGACGAGACGTTGGGTGTTGACGCAGGCATTGAACAGCATGTCCAGTGGTCAACCTACTGTGATTTGAACTAAATACGTGCTTGAGCATGACCAGACAAAGCAATCTAAGGCGATTCATAGTTCACACACAACCGCTGCCGGATCCTCTCACATACACGAAGCAGCAAAGCATCCGTTATTCCTTGGCGCCCGAATCAAGATCAGCAGCTGCTTCATAAACCACTTCGGGGCACAAGCTTCTCACTGTTCACCACCTCACGAATATGAAACCCCCAGCCCGCGAGGATACGTTTCTTCTCTTCCACCTCGAGAAAGGATAACCCAAAGTCCGCCGCCTCTTTCCCTTCATTACAAACGCCCACCCAGACACACGCCAACACTCAACATGCAGTACGCCTGGGATACGATTGCCGGGGCTCGAGACGCAGTGACCAACGGGGTACAGGTTCGAGCCGCAATGCCCAGCAACTGGGTGGAGAGGTTCGGGCCGCGAGAACGAACAACACGGCAGGGTCTCGATCCGCGAGACCGAACAACACTGCAGGGACTGGGTCCGCGAGATCGAACGCCAGGCATGACATCGCCAAAAAAATTCACCACCTTTGCCCGGTTGACGAGATGGTCAACAAGTACGGCACTATGGACAGCGAAGGCCGGCTCACTATTCGGTTCAGTTGCGGCAGGTGTGGTTTGAAGGAAGTTGAAGCTCTGTGTCAATGAATCGGCGCCAACGATACAGGGCGAGCACCGCACAAACCTAAATGCCATGCTCCCACATCTTGTGCGGAGCCTGCATCGATGATCGCCCTACGGGACTCTCCGATGCCGCACATGTGAGACGAGGCTGGATTGCCATCTCTGTCTAGCCAGTACTCTGCTTGTTAAGTTGCCCAAATATGTTAAGGAGCCGGGCGGTGGCGATGGATGGTGGCACAAGGTGCCCAAGCAACATGCCACTCACCGCTCCGGCCTGAAGAAACGCCTTGGCTGCAGACGGTGCAAGGCCCGAGACGAGTTTGACGACAAGATCTTCAAGAAAACCAAGAAAGTTCGGCAAGGGAATCGATCTCTAAGAGTTCGCTCTGGTGCTTGTCCAAGCGATTCGTAATGTCGAAGTCAACGAGTAGTTCAAGAGGAACGCCAGCCACCACAACGTCAGCGGCTATTTGTGGGGCAGGGATGCCGTCAATGTCATGAGCGATGATCTCGTGACAATAAAGGATGTCACGCTCGAAGATCGGCCGGCAGATTCTCGCCTTCGCAAATAGAACATTGACTGCATGAGCCGTAACTGTTGCAGCGGCCCCTACGATCAGAATCAATTTCAGGACGTGATAACGTTTCTGTCAGGACAAGAAAGGGCCTATAATACGCGTTAGTAACACCTCTATCGGGGGTGCCCTCATTTTGCATGGTGTAGCGGTATTATACCAGCTTGACAGTTTCTGATGAGGGACATTGCTGGCATTCTCCCCAAGCTGATCAAGGCAAGAGACAAATTTGTACGGGACGCTCTTCATCCCAAGATCCAGAGCGGTGGGGTCGATGTGGTCACAGCCTATTGTGAAGCAGTTGGCTTCCCTCGACTTATGTTGGTGCCAAATGGTTTTCTTGTTTCGGGCAGAATTAGAGTTGCGTCTGCACGACTGAATAGAGTATCAAACACGAGAGGAAAATTTCAAAGTTGAGACTGTTATATCTGGTGTACGTTGTAGCAACAACCTAGCTTCAGCGGTAGGGCCTATGCCGTCCGTGGCTGGGGCAACTACACCAGCTCGCGGAGACACCCATGTTGTCCAGACACCAGGTTAAGCCGCACCGTAGCCAGGGTTGCCAAAGAGGCTTGCAGGCACCGGAAGAAACAGTCTGTGAGTGATAGACTAAGAGGCCTGCTCGAGCTGTCGGCAGCAAACAGAGTCCCCTTGATATGAATATTTATTCATTCGACAGTAGGCAAACCGGAATATGACTGTTGTTCTTTCATACATTGAACAGTTTCCGGCCATCGTAGCTCGATGCCCTTAGGCCTTGCACTTGCCCGTGAAGCAGAAACCGCAGTCCTCTCTCCCCTGACCCCTTGAAGCATCCAGGCCACCGCTTCCGTCCTTGTTCTTGGCGCAGCATTTGCCATCTCGATTTTTGCTAACAGTGAGCAGTGAGTAGACGGCTCCGCCAGTCAAACATGCCCTTGAACGTCGACGTACCAGTTGTGGAACGAGTTCTGCGGCCCCAGCCTCTTTCCGGAGCATTTATCTTCGCCATTGCGCTGGCCGCTGCAGCCCTTGCGAGGCTCAAGGATGTTATCCCGCGGACCAAGGTCCTCGGGCGAGGGATTCGCGGCGGTCAAGGTCGCCAAGGTCATGGCCAAGGTAGCAAGAGTGGCGGCGAGCTTCATTGTGGCGGAAAGTTGGTTGCAAAGATGACGGACGGCGAGACTGCACTTTAGCGTACGGATGCGAGTCTTCCGACAGTTCGACCCGTCCCTTTATATCTCTTCCCTGCTAACCGGGAACCCCCTAGCTCGTGTGCTCTGAGCCTTCCCTCGGCACTTGGAATCCCTGGCTTACAATCCATGTGCTGAACAAAGCGGTTCATTGGTAAGAGTGTCTCAGTTGAGGCGTACGGAGTAAGCGTGGCGGAACCGGTAGTTTGGAACATTGCATACGCAGCACATCGACACTGGAACACTCCGTCGCGGGAGAAGATTGAAAGTATTGGGTTCCAGCTAGCAAGCGAGATTTGCAATACCACGCACGCACTGGATATGGTACCGGCGAAGACAGTCCGGGATAGAACAGGCCTCCTTCAGTTTATCGGCACTGTGGCTTATGGCTTTCTTTTTTGTCAAGACACGTTCTGTGCACGGCTTGGGCTCACAGCAACTCATTCGCGGTCCCTTAAAGGCCGCGCCGAGACAGTGTCAGCTCTGTGGCTAGTCATCACATGCCCTCTCAAGTCAGAATGGCAAGGACCTACATGCCTCTGGTATTTCATAGATACTTTCACAGACCGGAACTTGACCTTGATCGGCTTAAGTCAAATGATTATTTCGGCCCGCCGGCTGTACCAGCTCCCTTGGGAATATAGGCAAACCTCATAAGGCACTGCTATAAACAGCAACCACAATAATAACGAGGGAGCATAATTGAACAATCGCAACTTTAATTGCCTCTGTCTAAGCCTGAAGACAGCTTATCTCATGTTAATAAGTCCCGTATACTTCGAGTCAAGGAAGTTGAGAAGTGATATTGTATATTGAGAGGGCGATGACAATCATCACGACCTATGTTGGTTGGAGGATGAGACTATTAGCTCCCCCTTATGTTACGGCTTCACGCCTTGCGTTCAGTTCTCAGAAATGACAGCTTCGGGCCAAGCAGGCATGTGAAGGTTTCTTTGCGTGACCCTGCGAGTGGCTCGTAGGTGGTATTGTGGCATAAGTATCATCCCTCATGGGGTCTCATGCTGCTGACGGTTAGCGAATGTCAGTGAAGAGGGTGATTCACGGCATCTACAGCGAGTGGACGCGCTATTCAGTGATGCGCAATCAATCAGCAACGGCTTCGACAGACAGGACGCTGAAAAGGGAATTCGATCGGCACAGCCACATAGTTAGATCTCGGGCTTTTCAAAGAATATCGTTTTGTTTCCTCGATAGCATTGCTCGGGAGATCATCCCGATCTGAAAACAGGTCTAGCTTTGCGTTTCATGGTATGGCGCAAACGACGCTCTTCATCATCATCGTCATCGAGTGCTGGCTTGAGGGCATGCCCAGGTCAACATGCGATTGCCTGATCCAGTCTTGCCGCCAGTGTACGCTTGCCCCCCCTTTTTTCGCGATATGACAAGCCATGCAAGCATCACCGTCGATGGATGTGGAAATAGCCGACTTGCAAAGCTTCCGCTAACGATAGCATTGCAAATGGGTCAATATATAAACGAGTAGCCACACCTGGACCCCGTGGCCTTGGACCTGCCCATAACTAGCAGATAGGTCCAACTCGAGCGAACCTTGATCTGTGGCAGGACGAGAGCCGTCTTTCAGATTGAACGACAAGACTTTCACAACGATCCCCTAATGAAGGGTCCGGGTGCAGAATGTCCCGAATTTTATCGGTTGCTGAGCTGGATACTAAGTGCTGAGCATCTGCCGAGAAACAAACCGAAAGGACCCTGTAATCGTAGCCCTCAAGCGCGCAGAGGCACGTGCCTGTATAATATCCTAGATCTCCACAGTCTGTCGTGCGAGGCTGAGACAGGCCGCTGTTCAGTTGCGGATATTGCGCTGGCCCTGATAAAGGTCCCGCGGACATCGACCCCTGCAGTGGCGGGGGGCAGGCACGAGTCGTATCATATCTAGGCGCTGTTGTCTCGGCCCCTCTTCAAAGGCTGAAGGAATCAAACGGTTATTTCGGGAAAGACGGCCCGCACGCAGTCGCCGTGGCCGACGAGTGTCACAAGGCACGAGCAAGACTGTCTACCTCAGACCCGGCCCGTGCCGTCCTTGGGAGACAACAGAATGAGCTTGCTGTCTACGGAGAAGCATGCACCACTGGCGCATTCATAAGCCGGCACTTGGATACATGATTGCGAGGTCACGCCACAGAGCCTAACAGTGCCATCGTGTGAATCCGAGACGAGTCACTGCCCGTTGGGTGAAAAGGCGACGGACGTGACCCAGGAGGTGTGGCGATGCAGTGCCACTAGACATCCGACCGAGGCTAGGTCCCGACTCCCGAATCTTGAGGGTTCCCTGTGACGAGGCAGACGCAAGTAGTCGGCCGCCAGGAGACCGTGCTAATGAAGTGACGTCGCCAATCTAGCGTGAGCTCTCCCCTTCTACTCTCGCTTCACTGTGGTTTTCGCGAACGCAGATCGACACGAAACGCCGTCATGGCAGCTTCCTGGGCTGTTGTCGAAATCTTCCAGGACGCTGTCTTGTCTATCAAAGTCTGTCCATACAGTGCTTGAGCTGAATAATGGTCTTGCTTGGCTCTTTGGTGGTCTTGAGAATCAAAATAGCAGAGCCTAAGCCGAGACGAACTGAGAAAGAGATGATACCCCAAAATTGATATCCCTCCGGGTGTGAATGGGCCTGCTGATGAACGAAAGTCCCAGACAGCTCGACATGGCCTGTAAGCGTTCTTTGTAGCTTCCTGTTCAAAGACCCAGTGCAACGAAAAGCTCGTTTCCGCAGATTAGATTTCTATGGCATGTACTTATGCTGTCTGTTGAAGCCGCAAGTGTTACAAACTACATATAGGTGCTGGCTTCGAGGCTTTGGGGATCTCATGCATTCTTTCACATGAAACGAGGTACATGAATGCCCGCCATTCCCTGTATCTGAGCAAGGGAGCTTCTTGCCTCCCTTTGCGCCTCGTGCCGCCAATTGTTTCTCGGTAGATTGATCCGCACAGTCACTACAACTGGTGCTCAATTCAAGACCTGGTATAGGCCCTCCTTCGACGCCAGGATCGTAAGCATGGACGTCTTCAAACTGGAACCTCTCTATGTGTTGTCGTTAACCCCGGTCATCCGAGAAAGCTGCAGCTGGGCGGTGAGCGGCATCTGGGGCACTGTGCAAGTGGGCATTAGCATGAATCTGGAACCCAGGGATTGATAATAGTAGGTTGAGGTATAAAATCGAGAACTATAGTCTGTATATTATCATCATCAATAACTGGGTTACTTTTACATGTTTATGCTAAGCTTTCTGCCAGCAGGACAAAGACTTATATTAACTATACCGATGACACCTCCACTTGGGCGTGCCCCTATTTTGCTGGTAGTCAAGTGGTATTTGCATGTTTGACACTTTCGTTATAGTTCGAACCTTTGACCGGCCATGGTCACGAACTGCTACCGGATACCCGGCAGTCCTTGACCCATTTTAAGCCCAAAGTGGACAGCTAGTTTAATTATGTTAGTCCCCGCACTTGGTGACACGGATAGGAAGGAGACCAGCAATTGGCTGAAGCAACGGGGAATAATGCTTGGTGTACGAGCATAGCTTATTCCCGGCACCTTCTGGTGACCGCATTGAGACTCTCCTGGCCATTCTGTCGAAATGGCTCCGAGATGCCCCAACTCCCGTCTTCCCCTCCTCATCTCTCCCCTTTAGCTATGCCTTCGAATACTTCTATACTCTCCCGGCCACTACGAGTCAAGACCCAGACAGGCATTTGGTGCGTAGGATCGTGGGTGTCACTGGAATTTTTCCACGCTCTGGATCATGCCTCACCCACGTGAACCACCATGGAATACCTAGCTGCGCCGTAAAAAAGTATTAAAGGGAGATGTCATCTGTCTTCCACCTCGTTACACTATACGCCACGCAAAGGTGTGCTATTGTAGCCGGATGTAGCCGTTTTAATACCGTTTATATTTAAGGAAGTGTGGGATACGTAGTAAGACTGTCTATAGTTTTAATCCGCTTTACCGAATGTAGGTCACTTTCGAGCCCAGCCACCATAGGGAGGACAGCGGAGCCATTCCAAAAAACATTACTCTCAAAACCGCCCTAAGAGGTTGACTTGATATAGTCAGACAAAGGGGTAGGGTATCCTACCGTTAGCCATAAAAAGACCTCTCAAGTCCGCTTCCTATTTAACGCGTTTTTCCTTGTCTAGCATCGAAGCAATAATCACCATCTACTACAGGCGCTCTTACACTCTAGCTTTACTTTGCCTCCTAATTCTTCTCCGAGATGAGGCGCAGTATTATCACGGCGGTTTTCCTTTTAGGGAATGGGCTTACCCTTGCCGCTAACGACCTAATAGCTCCTGAGAAGTATGCAGTCGAGGAAGTTGGACGCTCGGGTACTGCTCAGGGCTCTATTAACGACGATTTGACTTCTGGGCTCAGCGGGCTTGACGACTATGGCGACGACACTAGCTATTCTACCGGGCTCCCCCCGCCCGGCCCGGCTCCAACTGAGGGGTCATGTGCTGAAGGTAAGAAACAGTGCCATGGAAAGTGCGTCGGAAAAGCCACGGTGTGCTGTGGTAAGGGCAAAAAGAGGTGCGGCAAGAAGTGCATCTCAAAGAACGAGCTATGCTGTGGTAACGGCAAAAAGAAGTGCGGCAAGAAGTGCATCTCAAAGAACGAGCTATGCTGTGGTAACGGCAAAAAGAAGTGCGGCAAGAAGTGCATCTCAAAGCACGAGGTGTGCTGTGATCACGGCAAAAAGTTGTGCAACAATGAGTGCATCTCACACGGAGAGCTCTGCTGTGAGCACGGCGGAAAGAAGTGCGGCAAGGAGTGCATCCCACACGACGAGGTATGCTGTGGCTCCAGTGGGTTTCATTGTAGCGTCGAGAACCCATTCTGCACCGACAGCCCAAGAGGATGCTCCAAGTGTTCCAAGGGAACCAGTTGCTGCGCCGACGGGTCGACCTGTGAGGGGGATACGCCTCAGTGCACCGTCGACAGCGAGGGCCAGACGATGTGTTGTGCCAACGGCCAAGTTGGATGCAGAGGGAAATGCATTCCCAAGGGATCTACTTGCTGTGCCAACGGGTCGGTCTGTGGGGGGTATACGCCTCAGTGCACAATCGACGTCAGTGTCTTCGTTGACACTTCCGGCGGCGCCGTGTCCCAGACGGTCTGCTGCGCATTTGGGCAGAAAGCTCTGGGCGGCAAATGCTATGCCGGCAATGCAAAGCTTATGCCGTGCTACCAGAATCCTGTGTGCGATTGGGGCGCCGGGTACTATTGTGCATGGAACCAGGGCAATGCGGATTCGAAGTGCTGCAAGCTGAACGAATACTACAAGGGCACCCAATGTGTTCCGAAGCCTTATTGATCGCCTTGGCTTGGCTGGGTAAATGGCAATTGGTAAGGGCAGCCCTCTTTAGGGGTCAGCCCGTCTTCGTCAGCCTATACGGGCCTGAGCTCCAGAGGCTCGGGCATATACATATAGTGCTTGTAGGTAGTTAGCTATCTTTGTATTCGTTTTGCCCTTTGTTGGGTTAGGAGTCCTTATAAACCTCTACGCTTTGCTTGAGGGGATTACCGTTACAGACTAAGGCGTAGGGATAGCTTATAGGCTAAACGCTAAAAGGCGTATCTATAGGTAGAGAATAACGGTAATAAAAGCAGCCAAAGAAATCAAAGCTAGCAGTTAATATATAAGCCATGTAGAGCATTATATATAGTTTGAAGTATCTGTTGGCGCTTCCAGCTCCTCGATGAGCTAGGACTGACGGTGGTCAAAGCCAATATATCACTGCCACCAAGAGGCTCTACTGTGGAGCATGTTATGTTCCTTTTGGCGGCAATTCAGCAGAGCAAAAGGCCGAGACAGTCATGGGTCCAAACAGCCCATCAACCACGGATAAGAAGCCCTCCACTGAACCGAAACAAGACAATGGCAACAACAGGGAGTCCGATGCTCCCCTCCAGAATGGGCGGCTTCCATTCACCTGGAGGCATAGAATCCCGGTATTGCAAGAACTTGAAGCACGCCACGGCCGTACTCCAAAATTGAGGCGTTGTTGGTACAATGGCAGCACACAAGTGCCGCTGGCCGACCAACGACGAGGGGAATATAGATGCCGAAAGCTTTGATGTCTGCATGAGTAGGCTTACAAGCTTCCATCTCCCCACCGGCGAAGCCGCCAGGTAGGAACGACTCTGTTTCCGGTTTGAACCCGAAGAGTGCGGGACCTATGTCGCAGATTACCGTGGCGACAAGACCAATGCGACGGACGCTAATCGTCTCGCTACTTTGAAAGATGTCCTATAGGTCTTTGCAGATGATTCGCCGGTTTCTGTCAGCAGGTGAGCGCTGGTAAAACGCAAATTTGGGTTTGATTCTCAGTTTTGGCATGAGGAACTGGCTTGGAGGACTCTGTGCTTTTAGACATATCGATAGCAGGTCGGACTGACAAATTCATATACAGCTTCGTTGTTGCTCGCGACTACCCCCGAAACTGCAAATAGTGTTTTATGTTTGAAAACACCGTAATTGAATTGAAAGCCTGATCAAACCCTTGTGGGGAGTATGGGGTGCTTGCTTGCCACATGTGAAGGACAACATCTCATCACGACAAGAGGCGGTTGTGCCGAGACAATAACAGGTCGACATCATCTACATGATGTGTCTGTGTGGTTGGTCAGGCGGGTTTAGTGTGGTTTTGCCTGGCAGAAACCAGGGGTATGGCATGAGAATTTCAGTTGGATAAATTCGTTATTCATACAAGTTCGTCACATGTGTGGCAAATTCGACCCCAAAGCAGGCCATTTGCGGAAGCATGAGCAGGGCAGCAGCGTTATCGGTGGAATTACTAAATTGAACCAAGCTGACGGTAAACGCCTATTCCTGGCCTTGCACCCGTCCTCATAATTATTATTGCTCCTCCATCTCAAAGGCAGAAGGTGAGCCTCGCAAGACTCCTTCATCTCATAAGGGACACCAGAAGAAACCAGGCAACAGCAGCCCTTTCGAAGAAGCGGTAACGGGAGCCTCGTTTATCAGCCACATTAATCCATTCGGCATCTGATCTTGATCTCGTAACGCGTGCAACGCGGGTAAGCGGTTCGAAAACGCGCGTCCTAACCGGGGTAGGGGCCGGGGCCGTTGGAGCACTCGGGGCGCTTATCACCATGTCGGCAGGGCCGGGGAGTGGGCCGGCACTCGGGGCGCTTGTCACCATGTCGACAGGGCCGGGGACGGGGCCGGCACTCGGGCCGGTCGTCGTCTTCGCCGCAAGGCCGGGGACGGGGCCGGCATTCGGGCCGCTTGTCGCCAGCTCGGCAGGGCCGGGGACGGGGCCGGCACTCGGGCCGGTCGTCGTCTTCGCCGCAAGGCCGGGGACGCGGCCGGCATTCGGGCCGCTTGTCGCCAGCTCGGCAGGGCCGGGGACGGGGCCGGCACTCGGGCCCGTCGTCGTCTTCGCCGCAAGGGCGAGGCCGAGGGGGGCGGGGCGTACCGCAGTTGATAAGACCCTTGAGGAGGCAAATCTTGCAGAGAGTCGCGGCGGCCTCGGCGTCCTCGACCTGCTCGGTGCCTTCGACCTGCATGAAGTCCTCGACGGACTCGAGGTTGCGCTTGAACTTGCAGCAGATGTGGGCCTTCAACTTGCACAGAGTCTGGCTCTCCTGGTCCGACATACCGCTGAGCTGCTGAGCGGTGTAGCGTTGGGCATTGACCGAGGTGGCGTCCATGTTCTCGGGCGAGGCCATGGTGCCGGCCACGAAGGCGACGGCCATTGCAAGTGCCTCAATCTTCATATTGACGTTCGGGGGTTGGTATTGCGGTTTAGTGGAAAGGGCCAAGGGATGCTTGTGGATTGAGGGCTGATGGATGAAGTTGTTCGTCAGATCAGGCGAGGACAAGATCTTTATACCTTGCGTATCGGTGCCGAGTTGGTGGGGATACTGCACACCAGCATCCGCGAGCCGCTTCATACATGCCATTGCGTGGCAACAACACGTCATAATTTTCTGATATGGACCAAGATTTTCAAGTCTCAACCTTATTGAGTGTAGGGCAAAACAAAGGCTTGAATACAAGGCGAATCACATGGGTATACCGTACTAGACCCCCAGCCAGAGCGCAAGCCTCCGTTTGTCGACTGGTAAGTAATACTCAGGATTGAACCAGTTTGCTGAAATTCCAGACTACCAGCAACGTCTCACCATTCTCGTGCTGGACAGGAACTTTGGCTCGGAAGTCGCTCGTCCTATCGGCGGCACATCGTTGAGACACACGGTCAGGAGGATTGTCTCGACCAAGACACTCATCACTTTGACGTCCTCGGGCTTGTCAACCAGGCGAAAGAAAGGATAGCTCAGCAAAAGTGGAATGCAGACTCCAAAAACGGTGGCTGCTGGCGTACTTGCACTGCTATGGACCCCGGGTCAATAAGCATTGAAGCCGATAGGACCTCAAAATCGGCGAACATGTACAGGCTCCTGCTCGGGCTCTGTTGCCGGACAACCAGGGCAAGCTTGCCTAGTCGTCCCAGGTTACGCACTTGGTGACGAGAAACTCCTCCATGCCCTCGGCGGCGTTGAAGCGGCCCCAGCCGCTGCGGTTGACGCCGCCAAACGGCAGCGCAACCTCATCTTGAACCGTCATGCTGTTGATGTGTACCGCACTACAGCCAGGCACATTCCGTCAGCGAAAGGCGCCTTGGTCTACCAGAACAGGCCACCTACCCGCACTCGAGCTTCTTGGCTAGGGCGAACCCCTTGCGAAGATCCCTAGTGAAGACCGAGGCCGACAGCCCGTACCCCGAGCCATTCGTCACCTCGACGGCCTCTTCCTCGCTTGTTACGGTGACGTAGCCCATCAGCGGGCCAAAGTTCTCCTCCCTGGAAGCATCCATGTCGCTGGAAAGGCCGCCGAGCACCGTCGGGGCGAAGTGTGCAGCTTTGCCAGGGGGATTCGGGCCTCCCGAAAAGACGTGGGCCCCCCTGGCTTGCGCGTCGGCGACCACTGACCCGAGACGCGCTGCCGAGGCTGCCGAGGCTACCAGAGGAAGAGACGGACTGGCTGCCTGGGCAGCGGCGAGGCTCTTCTTGAGGACCTGGAGGAACTCGGGTGCGATGTCTGCGTGGATGATCAAGCGATCCGTGGACATGCAGATCTGACCAGCCTGAGCTCGCATCTCGAATCAGCCGGACACGGCTATCCACGACGGATTCAGGGGTAACGACGGGCTCGGGGGTGAAGCCGGATGCAGCATTTCTTCCGCTCCCACATACATTGGCAAAACCCCCCACGATGCATGCCCTGGCGGCCTTTTCCAGGTCGGCATCCGGCAAGATGATGGCGCTATTCTTGCCCCCGAGCTCGAGCAGGACGGGCTTGAGGTTGTCACTGCAGAGGCGGGCCACTTTTCGCCCGACGGTGGCACTGCCGGTGAAGTTGATCTTTTTCACGGCCGGATGCTCGACCATGGCTCTGGCCAGATCGGGGGCGTCTGACGGACAGCTCGAGATGATGTTGACGACGCCGGCCGGCGCTCCGGCGTCGTGCAGGATCTTGCCCAGGGCCCAGTAGCAGCGCGGCGTCATCTCCGAGGCCTTGAGGACCGTCGTGTTGCCTGTTGCCATGGCCGTGGCGGCCGCGCGAACGCCAAAGACGTACGGGGCGTTCCTATCGTCGTCATCATCATCTTGGCCGTCATGGGTCCGGCACGCCTTGAAACTCCCGACCAGGCACCGTCGGGATGGAGCTCACTCACCAGGGCACAATCCCCAACACAACGCCGTACGGCTCCTTCCACACCATGGCACTCTGGCCCTCGGTCTCGACGGCCTGCACGCTGCCGCAGACGGTGGGTGCGCGGGCGGCGCAGTCGCGCAACATGGCGATGGCCAGCTCAAGCACAAGGTGGCGGGCGAAAGCGGCGTCGGCGCCCATCTCGGTGCTCATGTAGCCGCTTAGCTCGTCGGCGCGCTCCTCCATGAGGGCGGCGGCCCGGAGCAGGATGGCCCGGCGCCGCATCGGCTTGGAGGCCTTCCACGCGGGCAGCGCCGCCGCGGCGGCTTCGACGGCGAGGAGGGCATCGGCGGGCGAGGCCGAGGCGGCGTTCCAGCAGACGTTGCTGGTCGAGGGAGCGATGACGGCAAAGGTGGTCTCGTGCGTCTTTTCGGCTCCGTCGATCCACGAGGGGACGGTCAGGGGAGGGGGGGACTGGGTGGCCATTGATTCGATGTCTAGAGTCTAGGACGCGGTGCGAGCAAAGGGATGGTTTCCAAAGGGATGTGCGGGCCGTTGACTTGGGCTTCGCGTCATGAAAAGACTTGCATCTTGCATCATCCATGGACCCCGACCCGAAATAGGGCCCGACAGTATGGCAGAAGGGTCGCTTACTCTGCATGCACGATTCATGCATGCGGGGGTTGTTGGTATTAATGGGGGAAACCTTTATCACGGCATGGGGCTTACAACATGAAGTAGAGGGTTATGAAGAGGTAGAGACATATATGATCGGTGTTGATAGCAAGCCAGCTGAATTGGGTTGCCATCCCGCACTTTTCTACACGTTCAATGTTACCTTGCTATGCTCGTATGGAAATCTCCTTGCCTTGGTTACCTTGAAGCTCTACATAGTTTAGTCTGGTGTCTAACTAATAACAGTGCGCGCAATGGCCGTGTCCAAAGCGAGATTAGTCTTTGCAGACTTGCAAGACGAAACGTGCCTTTTGCATCTTATATGCTTTCACAACTCTCCAGTACATTCGCGAAACGGATAGTTTCAGCGTGCTGAAACAACTGTAGGCGGTTTGACGTTGAACATTCATTACTTCATTCCTCAAGCGACGTTGCCCTATGATACTTGTCGTCGCCAATCAGCCTCGACTTTTTCACACGAGCAAGGAAGAAACGCATCGTGAACTGATTGCTCAATAATGGTGCCAGCGGAATAAACTCCAACAGAATGAAGGTCCCGAGTCACGCAAAGGAATCATAACTTGTCGTGCATCTACCAGGCCAAGTCGAAGTTCAGGAATGTCTAGGGTAGGCCGGTAGGTCCGAGTAAGCGAGCTGCCTTCCGTCCATCTTCCTCTCCCACCAATTGATCACGAGACCCTCTGCTTCAACATCACCTCATCACCCTCAGCTCCAATCCACCATCCCGACGACGAACCGCTGCGGCGAGCGATCCCCCATCGCCATGCCCGGACCCATTCGCCTGGCCCTCTTCGGGGCCGTCACATCCGCCGCCCAAATCCCCTTGCAGCGACCCCTGCAGCAACAGCCATTGCCTTCGGCCGACTCCCTCGCGCCGCTGGATTCGGAACGCCTGCAGCACCGGATCCGCATCGAGAACCTGCGGCATCGGGCCGAGGCTCTGTACGACATTGCCCGGCGGTCCGAAGACGACTGGGGACACCCGACGCGCGTCATTGGAAGCCCAGGCGAGTCGCAGAGCACGGCTGTACGAAGAGGCCTTGCTGACCATCGCTCCCAGGCCATCTCGGCACCTTGGACTACATCCGATCCACCCTCGCCGGCCTGGGCGGCTACTACGCCGTGTCCGATCAGGTCTTCTCAGCCGTCGTCGGAAACGTGACGGAAGCCCGCCTCGTCATCGGACACACCGTCCCCAACAGCACCGCCTTTAGTCTGACGCCGCCCACCGAGAACAAGGAGCCCGTCTATGGCGACCTGATCCTGGTCCCGGGCTCCGGCTGCGACAGCGATGCATACCCCGACGTGGTGGCCGGCAACATTGCCCTCGTCAGGCGGGGCGAGTGCTCCTTTGGAGCAAAGTCAGAGCTTGCTGGCCGTGCTGGCGCAACCGCCCTCGTCATCGTCAACAACGAGGACGGCGAGCTCCATGGAACTCTGGGCACCCCCTCTCCCCACCAGGTCGCCACTTTTGGCCTGTCCAAGGCCGACGGCGACAAGTTCGTCGGCCAGCTCGAAAAGGGCCACAAGCTCGATGCAATCGCCTACATGGATGCCAACGTCGACACCATCCAGACAACCAATGTCATCGCCCAGACGCTCCACGGCAACGCCGACAACTGCGTCATGCTTGGCGGGCACAGCGATGGTGTCGCCGAGGGTCCCGGCATCAATGATGACGGCTCCGGAAGCCTCTCGGTGCTTGAGATTGCGGTGCAGCTGTCACACTACCGCGTCAACAACTGCGTCCGCTTTGCCTGGTGGGCCGCCGAAGAGGAGGGCCTAGTCGGAAGCGACTTTTATGTTGCCAGCCTCGACGATGACGAGAACAAGAAAATTCGTCTTTTCATGGACTACGACATGCTGGCCAGTCCCAATTTCGGCTACCAGGTCTACAACGCAACCAATGCCGAGAACCCCGCTGGCTCCCAGCAGCTCCGAGACCTCTATGTCGACTGGTTCGACAAGCACGGCTTCAACCACACCCTGGTTCCTTTCGACGGCCGCAGCGACTACGACGGCTTCATCCGGCACGGCATCCCCGCTGGAGGCATCACCTCGGGCGCCGACGGCGTCAAGACCAAGGAGGAGGAGGACATGTTTGGAGGCAAGGCCGGCCAGTGGTTTGACGAATGCTATCACCAAGCGTGTGACGACCTCGATAATCTCGATTACACCGCCTGGGAGGTCAACACAAAGGTGAGTGGCCGTTTCCTTCTTTCCATCTTCGGATGTCCCTCGAGAGGCCGGGAATTAATATTGCTCCAGCTCATTGCACACGCTGTGGCCGTCTTTGCCGACTCGTTCAAGGACTTCCCGGAGCGAACAGTTCCAAGGCGGGCCGTCGCGGTCTCTCAAACGCCAGCACGTCGCCGCCGGACGCCTGTGATGTGAGGATGTATTGGAGTGTGACTTGAACTTGAGACACCGGTCAAATACATGTACATGTGTTATATAGACATTTAGCGTATTTACCTGTACGATGTGGATATTTCCGGCTCAAATGTCTTGTCGTGATTCTCCCGCATCCGCTGGTCGAGGTCGTTGGGATAGAGCATGGTGCAAAGGGTTGTCATATCTTCGTAGACTCTGACGCAGGTTAAGTTGTAGGAGAGTCAAGACCCGCGAGTCCGGATGGGTGCCGTTACTCACACTTGTCGCTGAGTTGACCCGGGCACGTGTATTGCGTTCCCAATGTTGAATGGCAGCGAATAGAGGAGATTCCTGGCATCCCAGTCGTCCACTGCCAGATTCTTAGCAACTGCTGGTCTCAGAGTCTTCACACGGCTTCAAAAAAGCTACCCACCTGGCTCCGACGCCGGGAGGTGGAGCTGATAGTGGTGTATGTAGGCCTTGTTGCTGAGCCTGTGTCTCGGAGCTCGCCAGTTGCCGGTATCGTACTCGTTGTGGGCGTAAAAGCTGCAAGCGTCAAAGACGAAAGCCCGGTCACTTTGAGCATCCATGGCGCAGTTCCCGTCCCAGGCATCGCCGTGGACAAGGCATGGTTTGAGGGAGCGGCCGTCTGCTTGCAGCGGGAGAAGCAGTCGGGGAACCACCTTGTCCAACGTCAACTCTGCGATCGTGGCAAACTCGGGCCAGCTTAGGATGGGATTCGCGAGGTCAACGATGTGTTGTAGGTGGCGCTTGAATACGTTGCACCAAGAAGCATCCCACACGTCGACTGCCTGGGCGATGGGCCCGTGGCACGTCCTCATGTGGAAGCCAAACTTGCCCGTCGGCGAGTGAGAGCGAGCGTGAAGCTCCGCCAGTCCTGCGGCGAGTCTCTGCGGCTCGGCGGGCTGATGGCCTCGACTGGTGCTTAGCAGCGTCTGTCTTTTGTTGCTGGGAATGCCGGGCCTACATGCGCTGGCTGACCGACCTGGGAAGCGATATCGCGAAACTCAACCAAGAGGAAGTGTTTCTTGGGTCGTAGTTGAGAGCAGCGGCCCCAGGCATAAGGCTCGGGGCAAAACCCTGGGCTGGCGGTTGATATCGCTTTCAAAGACACAAATTCGCCTTCGCAGGTGCCTTGTCCCAGCTCGCCAAGCTCCACGACCTGAAAGCGTCAGCATATAGACGACACATCGTATCGATGTCGCAATGACGAGTTCTTCTTGGTGTGTCGCTACCTTGAGAAAATATTTGTGCCTGATTCCTGACGACAGCTGCACCGTGACCCTCGCCGTCTCTCCCCAAAGCGACTGTCCGTATCTGACACATTCAAGCAACGTCGTGTTCTTGTCGGGAAATGCCTCCGACGTTTGCCATGGCTAGTCAACAACCTCTAAGAGCTTCTAGCCGTTCGTTTCGGCAAGCTTACCCGCGACGACGTTGCCATCGAGCTCAAAGGGCCCCATGGCATGAGGCAGGGACATGGGCTCTGTGGGGGTGGTTTCAGACATTTGGAGCGCTTCGTCGATAAATTTTCTTTATGCGTATGATCATAGCCCTATTGGAAGCAGAGGATAGTCCGGATAGCACGAATGACCGACGCGTGATCCTTGAATATAAGGGTGAGAAGAAATTCAAACCTTTGGGGGGGTGGTGCTGCCTAAAAAGAAGCAGAACTGAGTGGTTGGGAAGTGTTCCTCCATGGAATACGCAAATACGGGACGAGACATGCTGTGTCACGTACTTGAAGATGATCAAGCTTTTCGTCATACCCCTTGGGCCGCCATGTCACATTGACCATTGTATCAAAGTGCTCTTGTCTGCAAGGGCTTTGAGGCTTCTGCCCTTCTTTACGATGGTCTCAGCCCGCAAAGACATGAATTCACGTGAAAAGGTACAGAGTCCATCCCTATGGATATCGAATTTGTGCAACGGGGCAACACAACACTAGTTTTGCGGCTTCAACGACTGCCTTGATTGATGAAACAAAGAGATCTAGGCGCGGCGATGGTTAAAATGACACGATAGGCTGCCGCAGCGAGATGGTTGGAGGAGAAGGTGGAGAGCAGGTGACATCAGATGTGACTGAAGAAAGTCCATTCAAAGTTTGAAAGCATCCGTAACTCGATTCTGACGATGTCTTAATTCCCGTAGATTTGAGTCAAGCGTCGTCTCATCCAAGCTCCGCATTGGGAGACTCGTCTAGGAAGTGCCCAAGGTGCCTTTACAGTGAAATATATATACGTATATATCCCGTCGTCGAGCACGTAGCCATCGGCGGTGCCCCCGCTCATGTTCTGCCGTCACTGGCAGACGGCATGCACGGAGAGTGCCGCGGGCTGCTTACACGCAGCTTTGAGTGCGGGCTGCCTGCCGGCGTTGCGGGCGGAGATGGCGTCAAGCAGTATTACCTGCACCGGCCCGGCAGCTCGGCTTCAGCTGGGCCGCTTTTTCCTGCCTGGATAGATGCGTTGCTCATTGGCTCCGGCGTCCAGAGTCGGCGGATCGATTAAGTTCAAGAGGCATAATACGGAGTAGAGCAACTGACTTTGTGATGCACCACCCGACCCCTTGAATGGACAAGGCGACGTGCATGTATGGCCCGGGGCGGAGAGAAGAAGCCCCCATGGGAATCTCACGGTTACTCTGCACCTCAGATTCCATGCCATGCACCATGTAGTAGCACTGAACGACGAGTTGGACGATTAATGTACAGGCGGTATGTAGGAACGGCGTGCCTGCATTGCATGCCGGTACCGTGGGCATCTCGCTCATGTATTATTTATATCGAGCCCACAAGAGCGAGCACGCATAATAAAGGCCATGACATGCAATTACGGAGTACACATAATACTGTAAGTTACGGATATTAATCCTCCACAGTACACACACACCTTTGCTTTGCTGGCCCGGCTCCTGCGGATCCCCCCCCAGGAGCGGCCGGAGCGGAGGACCGACCGAGTTCCAGACCCTTTCCCAGGGTGGAAGAGACGGCACGACTAGAGGCACATACCCTCGCGCCATGTCCGTGCATAAGGGGGGCATAAGGGGGGCCCGTCACAATCACAGCGAGGCCCTCAAGGCCCTCGGCGCAACGGCACAGCCCAAACAAGAAAGCATTGGCTGGCCGGGCGAACCACGTGTCGCGTGGCTCCCGGCATCGTGCAACATGACACCAGCCGCTTGGACAGGCTGTTAGGGCGCCGCCTGGTTGGCCCTTGTGGCTGACTGAGACTCGGATACTCGGCAGGCCGTCGTCAAGGAGGGAGGGGGCATGTTCCATTTCGAATCGGTTGATCCCGCCACCATACAGCATACACCAGCCTGGCCGGGGCAGTCCGGGGTCCGAGCCAGAGCCAGAGTGACGGCCAGATGCCGAATATCCGTCCCCTCGACGGGGAGCGTCAGCTTTCTTCCCCCCGTCCCCCCCCCGATCTAGTACTTGTATCTCCTGTCGACGCCGTGACTGCTGCTGCTGCCGCCGCCGCCGCCGCCGCTGCTGCTGATGTTGTTGTCTGCCGCCCCGAGGCAATGGATCTTCCAACATCTTCGTCCCTGTCCCGAGTCCTGTCTTGGCCCCAGCGAGAGCCGCCGACTTGTATAGCGCCACCCGTCTCAGCTGTCGATGCCGCTTCCAGAGCCAGAGACACGGCCATCTGAGCGGCCGAGGCGTCATTCGCCCCAAGGGAGGGGAAGGGAGAGAGCCGCCCCAGGGGCCGGCCACTCGGGCCGTCTGCCTTCTTCCCAACGCACACGCCTCGTTCTGCAGCGCGCGCGCCAACCATCTGCCCCTGGATTCGACGGCGACGACAGCGTCGTTGGCTCTCTGCGATACCCGACCACCATGGGCGAGATCCTCTCCATCACCACGGCCATCATCGGCCTCCTCGCCGTCGGCGGCCGGACCATGGAGCGCATCTGGGATCTGAACCTGCCCGCCACGAAGCACTCACCCGCCCTCTGCCACGCCCTCCAAGAAGTGAAGCAATGCCGCTCCACCGTCACCCTCCTCTACAAGACCCTGTCGCTGCTCGAGGCCGGCCGCCTGCCCCTCGCCGAGCGCGCCGCCTGGATCGCCGTCGACGACCTCGCCGCCACCTTGACCGACACCGTGCTGGCCTTTTCCGATCTCCAGGCCGTCTGCGACGAGCTCGACCAGTCGCGACACCTGGCATCCATCGCCGCGGCGCCCGGTCCGGAGACGACGTCCGCCTATGCCCAGCGGATCGGCGCCTTGTGCTCCCGGATCCGCTGGCAGTCTCTGTCGATGAATCTTATGATTACCATTCTCAAGTGGTGAGTCTTGATTCCACGCCCTTCTTGTGCTGCAACCGGTCGCTAGGGGAGAGACGATGAGACATCGAGAGGGGCATGGGCGAGACGAGGCCCCGTATGATGGATCAGCAGGGATATCATGAGTTTACCGAGATGCAAGCACACAATCTGACTCTTACCCAGTCCCGGCGAAGCCGACGCCGAAAACGCCAGGGTCGGGCTCCATCAGCGACTGACGCGAATCCTGACATCCAACACGGCACTTTCACACCGAATGCGCCTCCTCCAAGGCTCGCCCTCCAGCGGCACCATCATAGACAGAAACTCGCCTCCCCACTACTCGCCGTCCGACCCCGGCATGCCCCCGTCATCACCCCCGAGACCGACGCCGTCCGATTCCGATTCCGCCCCGCCGGGCCTCGCGGACCGCCGCCGGGCCGCGTCCCCCTTCTCGGACTACACGCTCGCCGACATCCCCGTCATGTCCATTGTCTCGCTCCCCGTCACCACCGACGAGCTGCGCGACGGCAGCGACGTCTATACGGCCGCGTATGCCCGCCGCATGGGTCGCCATCTGGGAGAGCTGGCGTGGAGGGCCGAGGCCCAGAACGCGAGCAGGACGCTTGAGGGCATCCGTGGCCGGGCAGACGCCGACCACAACCGCGACAGCACGGCTGGCACTGTGGGCAGCCACGAGGGCGGCGTTCCGGCACACGCGGCGGCAGCGAAGAAATCCAGGTTTTACAGCATACGGGTCAGAAGGCGGTGTCGAGCCTGACGCCAAGTCTTGAAGAAGCTGGAAACGGTGCGATGATTTTTCCTTTCGGGTACATATATGCAACAACCGTGAACCAGGCGTCTGGAGGAGTCGAGGGATCCTCAAGAGACTGGCACACGAGTTGTAACAGGCGAGTTCCAATGTTTACATTGCGTACCAGGATATTTTCTCCGCTCAAAATACTCTTAAAAATGGTAAATCCCAGCGTTCCTTGCTCAGCTCTCGTTGATGTACGTGATTACAAAAAGTGTGCTCAGTTAGATACAGGTAGAATGGAAGAAGTCTGCTCGGTTATGTCCAAACAAGAAAAGAGCCCGTCGTTGCGCAATGTACTCGGCGCAAAAGACGACCTGCGCCCCTCCTGTGAAGTGTAAAGGATATCCAAGCGGCAAGAAGAAGCGTCAAGCAGCCCTGGGCTATAGCAAGAAGGCGGCCAGGGCAGCCGCTGCCGCAACGAGATTGACGGTGACTCCGGCGGCGGAACCCCTCACCGTAGGGTTGGGCAGGGTCGTCTCGAAAGGGATGAAGCTGTTGGGCGGGGGACTGGAGAAGCCGCCGGCCGGGTTCCCGGAGCCCCAGGATCCGGTGGCGCCGGGGCCATACGACGCCGAAGTGCCGTTGAAGCCGGGCGTCCACGAGTCCGACTTGTCCGGCCGCGGCAGGTTCTCGTACTGCTCGCAGCGCGCGCCGGGGGCCAGCTTGCAGGACTCGGCATCGACGCAGATGGACTGCAGCTGGGGGCCCTGGGTGTGGATGACGTCGACGGGCGGCGCGCAGCGGACGTTGAAGATGGTGTTGAGCGCGTTGGCGATGGTGTCAATGTCGTTTCTCGCCACCCCGAACGAGGCCGCGGCCAGGCCGACTTGCTGGATGAAGTACGAGACCTCGGCATGGTTCAGGCCCATGTATTTGTGGACTTGGTACATCGAAGCATGGCCGTTGTAAAGGTTGAAGCCGGGCCCTCCCTGCATGCTGCATCTCAGGAGGGAGCCGAAGAAGGTGTACAGGTGGTGGAGGAGGAAGCTGTCAAGTTTGAGGGGGTCAGTGTCTCGCATTTTTCCTTTATCAAAATGCATCGAGTTCTGGCGGTCCCTCAGGGAGATGAGGCACTTACTATTGTCTGGAATTTTTGTTGTTGGCCGGCAGGTTCCTTCGCAGGGGGTCTGCGCCTCCACCGTCGAGGAAGGACACAGACTCGCCTCGACCGCTGCCGGTGTTGGTGGACTTCAAGCGGCCGTCAAAGTACGGCAGCAGGTCGACGTGAACGCCGTCGACTTGGCCGGCGGTCAGGATGCCCGGGACTTGGACACCGACATTGGGGAGAGTGTCTATCACGCAGAGGCACGGGGTCAGGGCGGCGTCTTGCAAGCCGGTGCGGGGATCTACTTACAGTTGCCGATGACAACAGTGTTGACCAGCACAGTCAGGAGCGTGGCCTGGTTCTGGGGCGTGTTCTCGTTGAGCAGGGCCTTGGTGTAGTAGTCGCAGATGGACACGTCGTCGGGGCGCTCGGCGTGGACGGCCGTGACGGCCGCGGCGAGGGCAACGCGGGAGAAGCGCATTCTGACGAGTGCCGCGAACGTCTGATTGGGAAACTAGATAGCCTCTTGTACAGGTTGCGTATAAGATGAACGTGTTCGTTTTCTCGTCGCTGGGCTGGGCTCTGGAATGGACTGATTCTCGCAATGGGGATGCTCAAGGTGGAGATGAAAGAGAGTGTTTGACCTGAGTGAGAGCGCGCGAGACAAGAGAGAGACTGACGTTGGGAGTTATCCTCTTATGAAGCAAACTATTGAACCGAGGGAAGCTATTCAACATCCAACATGCACTCGCATTGCCGCCTTAACTGCCTCTCCTCACCGTGTAAGCCATGTCTCACAGTGCCCAGCAACTCTGTGCCTACCCTTTACGAGGGAGCAACCTCCCAATCTGCGCCTCCAAGGTCCCATCACGCTCCGAGGAAATGCGCCCTGGACCCCGTGTGCTTGGACAAGGGCACGACGAGAGGGAAACCCGGCTCTGGAGAGTCCGGCCGAGACACAATGCTACTTCGGCAATCAGTGCATTGTTGTTGGTGATGCGGCCAACTGCGCGGCCTGCAGGGCATCCGGCTTGGCCCGAGACGTGGCGGCCGATCCCAGCTTGGTCGCTGTTTATAGATCAGGGCGAAGAAGTTGAGTCTGCTCCCTTGTGCTGTGAGGAAATGAGCTCTGAGGCTGCATCTCAACACGCCACGCCGTCCCATCCGGGCGGTTGGTTCGTCTGATTGGTCTTTGCAATGCACCAGGTTATTCGCAAGTCATCTCCAGATGAAGATGGCTTCTCAGCACCACTACGCCCTCTATATGTACCGTGGTTTCTCTGGGAGAGAACTCTAGGCCGATGTCTTTTCCACCCGCCTCCGGTTCTGTTGCTCACTCACCCAAGAGAACAGAGGCTTTGCCACGCTTACTCCGATGTGTTCATTGTGTCCCCACGACGAGAAAGGCGAGAGCCTGCATGAAGGCTGTACCGGGACAAGTCGTGGCTGACGAAATGCAGCCTTGCTCAACATGCCGGACGACCGCCAAGAAAAGGGCGTCAGCGTTGGTTAGGGTGAATGACCTGGTGAATCAGACCAAAGACAAGGAGGGGGCTTTCCGGATCAACAGCCCAACTTACCATCCCGTCGATCCTAATGCGGGGAAGAGTCGCAAGCCCTCGCACCAAACTGCTGCCATGATACCGTCGTCGCAGCCTGCAGACGCTTCATCACGTTACTCGACGACTCATGCCAACGTAGCCGTGCCTTTCCGAATGTGTAGACTCCGAAGGCCTCTACGCCGCCTCCCCGAGGGGAAACTGGTCCTCCTCAGGGCCATCAAGCTGCTCACTCTCGACACTCCCTTGAGACTGTCTCATGTGTCGTCGACCAATGGCCTTGATGGCGTTGGCAACCACGTCCGCGCTCGAGCCACTAACCGACCGCCGGATGGCTCGCCCTTCCGGACGCCCCTTTCGCGGATGGGGAGCTTCCGTAGCAGGCGCCGTGGAGGGGTGGCTGCTCCCTCATCACCGAGAGCCCTGTTGGCAGCTCCCTGATTTGAAGGCGCTTTGTCCAATGATCATGCTCGGATGACGAGTGATGATCTTTATCATCCGCTGTCCGATTGGAGAGGCTTGGGTGAACCAACGCAGCAGCGAGAAAGGACTTGTTTGCCCATTTCATACGGAGACGCAGCTCAGCCAACCTGGGCGGCATGAGGCAAAGGGCGAATATTAGACGGGCAGACATTGTAAAAGCTATCCAAGAGCAAGGCGTATGGCGCTGGGATGCCCCGTGCCTTGCACGCTCTCAGCCATACCCTCCACGCCTTCAAATCCTACTCGGGCCTGTTCAGAACCTGTATGTTCAAGGAACTCATATTCCCATGACCACATAATATGCTGAAGTATCGCCTACGCCACAGACTTGACTGAGGACAGCTCAGGCTCGTCTTCTGCAGTTGCGAGTCAGCTCTACATTTAGCTCTACATTTAGTATGGACTTGCTTGATGTCGGTTCAACAGCATTATGTGGCTGCTAGACGTGGAACCGTTCCTTCATAGATTCGTCCATCGGCATTGTACGAAGTGGAGCACCAGAACAAGACAAGTCGAGAGAGATGCAGTGAGCGCGAAGCAAGGGGGCGCGGATGGCCATTGATGGTCTCGTCGTATAATATGCACGCTCAGATGTAATCTTACGGCTGTATCTATACGTGGAAGCCTCAGGGATCCCGTTGTACTTTGTTTGCGTCGTGCTGTTATTGTCCTGCTTCACAGCCGCGGCACTCCTTGGAACCTGACTCCTGACAGCCTTGATTCAACAAGTCATCTGTTGCAACTGTGCAAGTGACTTGCCTTTAGCTCCTACGACTTCGCCTTCGCTAAGTAACCATATCCCATTCTCTCTTCTTTGTCCACAATCGATCCCATCACCGCCGCCTTTTCTTCATACGTGATTTCGAACATTGACCCCTGGGCACGCTTCAGCATTTTCCCCTCAGAAGCTCGATCCCTGGTCTCTTCGCCGGTACCCCTCTCCATTCAGGAGCTTCTCCTCTTGCCTCACAAACGCCTGGGGCCACGACAAGCCCACGCCAAAGAGGACAAAGACGGCCCACTTCCAGCGGAACGGGTTGATGGCGACGCAAAAGGCGAACCACCAGAGCAGCTCGAGGTAGGTGAAGAAGTCAAAGGCGCCAATGGGGCTGTTGCGCTTGAGGAAGCGCGTCATGTCGATCCAGCGCTTCATCCAAAAGGGGCTCGGGCGCGTCAGCGGGTCGATGACGAACATGAGCAGGATGCGCGTGTAGATGCCAATGTGCCAGTTGCCGACGCTGCCGATGCCGGCCAGGTACGTGCAGTTGATGGCCGAGAGCGACGGGTGCTGGGGCGGGAACGTCTGCAGGTACCAGTTGGGGCTCTGGTAGGGCTCGACGAAGCAGTCGTCCGGCAGGAAGGACAGCGAGGGCCGCTTGAAGCCCGTGGCCATGACGACGACGTCTGCGTCGATGGTCTCGCGGTGGCCCGGCCCGCCCTTGGGGACGCCCTTTGCGCGGCGGTTGACGACGACGGCGGCGTCGGTGAAGCCCTCGATGTCGCAGCGGACCCATTCGGCCGAGCCGTCGCGCAGCTTGGTCATGATGTCCGAGTTGACCATGGGGGTGTCGGTGAAGAGGCCCTTGTCGGCGGGGGCGAGGTAGTCGAGGTCCTTGTAGAAGAAGCGGCGCAGCAGGAACTCGGGGATGAAGGACAGGCTCGTCTCCTGGCCGAAGATGTTGAAGCTCAGCAGCGTGTTGACAATGATGTCGCGCGGGATGATCCACTTGTCGGAGCGCGAGAGGACCGAGACGTGGGCGGCGTCTGCGGCGTGCGCCCACTCGAAGGCCTCTATGGCCGAGGCGCCGCCGCCGATGACCACCACCTTTTTGCCCTTGGCGTCTTTTCTGCGTGGCTGTCAGAGGACCGAGAGCAGGTGAAGCTTCTTGGGCAACGGGGGTACTCACCCGGTCAGCTCGCTCGAGTGCAAGACGGGCCCGCGGAACTTGTCCACGTCGGGGATGTAGGGCATGTTGGGCTCGCCGCAGGTGCCGACGGCGGCGATGAGGCCCTCAAAGTGGCCGTGGGACGGGTCGTTGATGACCCAGCGGCCGGCGTCGTCCTGGTAGACCCTGTCGACCTTGAAGTTGAAGCGCGTCTTGTTCTGCAGCCCGTAGCGCTTCCAGAGCTGGCGCACCTGGCCGAGGATCTGATTGCGGTTGGGGTAGCCCTGCTCCCACTTGACCGATGGATGGAACCGATACATCAAGGAGTGGATCTGCAGGCCGGACGTGTCGTTGACTCTCTGGGGGGAGGCGTCAGCCCTGCTCGTTGGGACATGAAGGTGGTGGTGATGATGACGGAAGACGGAGCTGTCCAGCTCGGCAGCCCGCATCAAGGTATAGCACACAGAGAGAAGAGTCCTACTCACGCTCCAGATCCCCCCCAGCTGCTCCTCGGAGCCGGCCTCGAACAGCACGACATCGTACCCGTGCCCGCAGATGTGCGACGCGGCCGTGACACCCGTGATGCCGGCGCCGATGATGGCGATGCGGGGCCTCCGCAGCTGGCCGTTGGGCCGGGGCGGGCTCGGCGACAGGGCCTTGTCCAGCAGCCATTGGATGACTTGGTAGAGGAAGAGCAGCGGGCTGAGCAGCGGGTTGGCGAGCTGCGACTTGGACGTCATGGCTAACACGCTGGGACTCGGTCCCAAGTGGAGATGTCCCGAGGAGAGAAGGGGGGCGACGAAGAGGAAGAGGTCCCGAAGAGAGGGGACCGAGAGGAAGATGTCCCACGAGAGGGAGCAAAGATGAAAAAATGTCCCAAAGAAAAGGGGACAAAAAGGCCATTTTACTTGTTCACCATCCCTCTCCCTCCCTCTCTCCCCCTCCAAGCCAGGGGGGAAACTCTCCCTCTTTTATCAGCGGGCACCGCCAAGGACACGGCAACGGCGCGGACACGGCACGGCAATCGGGCCCGGCCAGGCGCCGGATCCGTCGGCCTGACGTCACCCGCACCACTTTCACATGCGCGCGACACAGCACACACAGCACACACAGCACACACAGCACACACAGCACATGGCAGAACGAGATATTAATAAAGAGCTCCTTTTTTCCTCTGCATGGATGACCTGTCGTGATAAGCTCTCCGACATGTGAAGTCGCCTGACGTCGGGGCCTTAATCCCCTCTCTTTTCCCCTCCCTCCGATCCCCATTGTTCGCGGCCAATTCTTGAACTAGCCTTTTTTTATTTCTTCTTCCTAGACACCCAATTCCTTCATTCATTGTAAAGGAGACTTGCTCGCCGCCGCCGCCGCCTCCTTCAATTGCCGAGCATCGACACCAGAGCCTCTCCTCGACTCTCGCTCTCTCTCCCCTCGCCATCCTCCATCCTCCCACGCATCAACTCTCCAGCACAGCTCAGCAATGGAGCATCCCGGTATGGCATCATCATCATCCACTATGGAGCACCCTCCCATATCCATGCGGGCACAATGACATAATGGCGTCAATGCAGACCCTGGCTGACCCTCGCAGTCCGCGAAATCGGCGCCGTCATCACCACCCTCACCACCGGCAGCCCGGCCGAGCAGCAGGCCATCCTCCATAACGTCTTCCTCTCCGACGCCTCCTTCTCCCACCCCTTCTGCCGCGTCCCGTCCTTCCCCAAGGGCACCATCCCGCTGCTCCCCAATGCCGACTCGCGCTCCGTCCTCCTGCAAATCTACCGCTGGTATCGGACGCTGAGTCCCAACATTGACATCACCATTGACTCCGCCGGTGAGTCGTTTCTTTCTTACGTAGCTTGACAAGCAAAGGAACAGGACTCCTTCTTCAAGTAGCTGACAACCTCCCTCCCCTTCCCACCCCCCCAGTCTTCGACCAGCGTACCGGCCAGCTCTTCGTCTCCATCCGCCAGACCTTCGCCATCTGGTTCGTCCCCTTCTACAAGGCCCCCGTCCGCCTCGTCACCGTCCTCCAGCTCCGCCAGCGCCCCTCCCAGGACTCGCCCTCCCCCGAGGCCCGCGAGTCGGCCGCCCTCGCCGGCCCCGGCCAGGAGCGCACCCGCTACTTCATCGCCAGCCAGGAGGACCTCTACACCTTCAACGACTGCGCCCAGTTCCTCCTCCCGGGGCTCGGCCCCTTTCTCTGGAACCTCTGGCAGCTCTTGAGCACCGCCCTCTGCGTCGTCGGCTCTCTCGTCTTCCTCCCGCTCTATCTGCTCATGAACAAGGATGCCACGGCCAAAAAGATCCAGTGATAGGAACAAGTTTCATACTGGGCATGCCATTTGCTAGAATAATCAAACACCGACCTTTTTCTCTTCCTCTATTCGAGCCCACCTTCCATGGGCATCTTCCAGGCCTCCGTGCTGCACGTAGATCCCGAGTGTCCAGCCATCAGCCAGACACCGCGAAGCTGCTCATCCGCCGAAAGGGCCCATCCAGTGTTCCCTGTTCTCAAGTACACTCCCGTCTATGCCTCAGCAGCCCAACCCTGCCTCGACATGCAAAACAGTCCATCCCAATCCCAGGTCCATCTTCAGCGCCCTGCCAATCGCTACACCGCCCCACAAGAATCATCGTCTCCGTTGCGCCTCGCCCTTGGCCCGCTCCATCTCTTCCAGAGCCTCCTTGACAATCGCCTCAGCCTCCACCATCACGTCCTGGCCCTTCCGCCATGTGTACAGCGCCACGCCCTGCTTGTCCAGCTCCTCGTGCGCCCTCTCAAGCCGTCTCAGCCACAGGTCCAGCTTCTTGTTCACCACCTGGGCGCCCAGCACGGGCGAGTCCGACGGCGTCGTCTCAGCGGACCGGGGGCCCGACGAAAAGTAGCTCATTCCAAAAGACGTTGGCGCCGGCGCAGAAGGGGGCGGCAGCGGGTCAAAGTCCACGTCGGAATTGGACGATGGCCCGCGACGGTGGACGGAGAGGGGAGGGCTGAGGTTCCTCGACGAGGAAGGCGTCGCGGCGCGAGATCGGGGAGGTGGCGGCGGCGGCTTTGGCGTGCCCGAGCTTCTTGCGGGAGCATCTCCAGGCCCTTGAACACTTCCGCGTGAGGCTGACCGCTGCAGTTGTGACGACGGTCGGAGGCGCCCTCCTTCGATGCCCGCTGCAGATTTCCTGGTGCGAGGAGGTGGTGGTGGTGGTGGAGGCGTTGCCGCGGTGCTCGGGCTTGAACCGTCCACTCCCGGACCAACGGCCTGGCTAGGTTCTGCAGTCGACGATGGCCTGCTCCTGAGTGCCGCCGGCTTCACCGGTCGCGGAGGCGGTGGCTTCTTGCGCTCCAGGGGTAAGTCCGTGGTGCTTGATGTCTTCTGCCGCGAGTCTGCCTGGATGGCTGCAGACTTGTCGACGCCAATCTCCTCTGGCTCCTGGGAAAAGTCGATAAGCGTCCCCATCGCCGGCCCAGTCGCCTTTGTCGAGACCCTGGAGCTGTCGTCGCTGCCGCTCACTGAGCCGCGTGCAGAGTCCCGCCGAATCATGCTCGCCCTACTCGACGACCCTTCATCGTCCGGTGTCTTGCTCGACGTCTTGTGCCGAGCCAGGTCGAGTGCGGCAGAGTCGAAAAAGCCCGTCTTCTCCGGAGGCGTCGTCACGTCCCGGATGAAGATGGCCAGGATCCGGCCTGGGTTGGCCAGGGCCAGCTCCGTGTAAACCTCGAGGTCGGCCTCTCCGCTGTCGCCCACGAGCAGAAACTTCCTCGTCGGAAAGTCCGTCATGAGGCGGTTCAAGGTCGTCTTCTTCCTCTCTGCGACGGGCTCAAAGATGCCTTGCAGCATGCCCGAGTACTGCTTCAGGTGCAGCGACCCCGGCGGCAGCCCGCCCAGCTTGAAAAAGGTGGCCAGGACGGGGAACAGCTGCCAGGGGCTATTGGAGCAGTAGTGGATGCTGACGCCGAGGTCGTGCATCTGGCCGTACCATTCCTGGACGCCGTCGACGGTGAGCTCCGCCAGCTCCCGCACAAAGGTGTTGCGGAAGATCTCGCGCGCGCCTGCCGAGATGTTGGAGTGCTTGACGGTGTCGTCGACGTCGCTGATCAAGCTGACGCCGTGCGGTTCGGTGACCTTGACGGGCTGCGTGGCCGACAGCCTCTCGTCAGCCAGCACCCTGACGTGGGTTGGCACAAAGTCAAGCTGCGCTCGCACGAGAAAGTGGCCCGCATCGTTTGTCAAGACGGTGCGCGACTGCGACTCTGTGTCGTTGTAGAAGAAGATGGTGATGGGCATGGCCACCAGGGGGTAGGTCAGAAAGGGCGCGACGCGGGCCATGAGGTTTGCGTTGGCCAGAATCAGCTCCGCCTCGCTAAGCTCGTGGACGCTCGGCCCCTTCCTGGCAGACAGCGTTGGACTCGCAGCCCCCGAGTCTGGCATGCGCTTCTCCCCAAGGCGGGCCGCGTGACTGTCGGCGGTGTTGCCGCCAGCATCGACGCTGGGGCCGCCCTTGTCCGGGGGCGGTTGCTCGCTGTATCCGCCGCTGTAGGCTACCCGCTTCTCTTCCTGGCCCCGCTGCTCGATGAGGGCCGCTTCCTTGGCAATCTTTTCTTGGTCGCGCATCTCTTCTTGCATCTGATGGTGGCCCGGGGCTTGTCGTTCGGGCTGGGCGGTAGAGGCCGCATCTACCCGGGTGGGCGCTGATATCCCGCTCAGCTGGCGGGCGAGGCCGATGAGGATGCGATTGCGCCTCGTCATCGGGCCAACTTGGGGCGAATAGATCCATCCGCGGACGTCGACATCGACAATGGCCTTTTCGTCCTCGTGCCTTTCCCACTCCTGACGCCAGTATTCCTCGTCCTTGGCAGGTCCAGCCTCCGGCACCTGGGACTGGTCGGCTTGCGTGGCTTGGTACCAATGCTTCCTCTCATGCCTCTTGGCATAGGAAGGGAAGAGGACCATTTGCTCGTCATCATTCGACACAATGGCCACGTCGGGAAAGGCGCCCGGAATGTGCGGGCTGCCGGTCGGTTCCGCCGCCTCGCCATCGGGCCCCCTGGCTCTCGATTGCGCGTAGCTTTCCCGAAGGTCGGTCACGGCCTGTTGCCCGCTCCTGTACAGATTCCCGGCCATTGCGGCAAGCTTCCGCCTCCTGTACCCCCTCTCGCCCCTCTCGCCCGTCTCTTGCGATCCATCTGCGGCGACTCCCGGCACATAGCCGGTGGTCAGTCCTGCGAGGGTAGGCATCTGTGTTGTCGGCCGCGGGCCCCTCCCATCCTTGGCCGCTCGGGACCTCGGCGGACCAAGAAGCAGATGTCGACCGTGCCTGGCAACGAGGTCGATGACGCGGCCCTTGTCGGCTCGCCGGCGCTGGCGCCGGACGATGAAACGGTGGATGCGCGACTGGACGCCGTGCTTGATGTGGGGAAGGATGTCGAGATGAAAGCTCAGCAGCCGCTCACGGTATCGATCTCGGACGGCACGGGGGAAGAGAAAGCGGGCGAAGCTTTGCGTATGGCGAGGGTGCGGCCGCAGAGCGCGAACGGGGCCGAGCCCAAAGAATCTAAAGGGAGCCAGCTTTTGCCACCAAGATGCTCGGCAGCCAGCGAAAGGGGCAAAGTACCGTGGGCTGCGCGTCTTATACTGTACACCAGCGTCTCTCCCACGCCTCCCCGGGCAGAGTCGCCCGCGTCGTCCGCAGGCAGCCGGCTTCTGGGTCGTGAGCCCGTCGTCTGACTGGCACAGGAGGGGTCAGTGGCGGTACCCCGTATGCAGACAGTCAGGCTGTGCTGGGCCGGCACATGCAGCCAGGATCGGTGATGCGCACAGCTGACTTGCAGCTTGGTGGGCGAGCAGGTCTTTTGGAGCCGAGACGGATTCTTTCCTGCTGCGAGACAGAGCTCGTGATCGGCCGTGGAGGCGATGTGCCTGCATTATGTCATCATCACGTCCGCAATCGGGTCCCCCTTTTCCATTGTGCACCTCTACGCATGACCGTACCAAGTGAGTCAGGAGCCGGCAGAAACAACCGTCGACTTGATATCCTCGTCCAACTCTTCTGTATCTAAGTTACCATCCAAGTGTCTTTCTGCAGCTCTGAGCGGTTTGGCTTTTTATAGTCTGTGCGGGTAGCCCGTTAGAGCGTCCCAGGCCATGCAACATTCAACTAAACAGTGCCACGACGCAAATGAGCCACTCGACGGCTTCACACGTTCGTGCCGCTGCCCTTCTACCGCTTCCCTCCTCTGCCCCCCCTGCTCTTGCCCCTGCTCCCACCCGGCGCCGCCCTCGGCTTCCCTCCCCCGGCCTTGGAGCCCTTGCCCGGAGCCGGCGCGCCGCTGTTCTTCCCCTTCCTCCAGAGATCGCCATCGGATCGGAGAGCCTTTGCGTCCAGCTTCTTCTTGTCCTTGTTGCTCAGCTTGCCACCGCCTTTTTTCTTCATCGACTCGCGGACCCCGTTGAGCTCGGCTCGTCCCGCCAGCTTGGCCTTTTCCTTGTCGTGCTGTGTCTCGAACCACGTGCGTTTCGGCCGCCCCTTGATCTCGGCCTCGTGCTCCAGCAGGTTCTCTCCTTTCATCACCTGCATTTCTGCGTGTGCCAGCTGCTTCTCCTCCTTCTCTTCCTGCATAATCTCCTTCATCTCGTCTTCCATGTCGTCAACCCGGTCCTGCCATTTGTCGGCATCGGCGGGGGGGATGATTCGGCTGGCAATTTTGGCTCCTTGCGCCTTGCCTGCCCTTACGGCCGCCTTGACCACTTTTCTGTCCCCCTCGGCGGCTAGAGTGACGGCCGTGCCTCTTCGTCCGGCACGAGCAGTACGCCCGACACGGTGGACATAGATGTCCAGGGACTGGGGCGCTTCGTAGTTTATAACCGTGTCGACGCCCTTGATATCCAGGCCACGAGACGCCAGATCTGTGGCCAGCAGGTAAGAAACCTTTCCGTCGCGGAAGGATTCGACGCTTTGGATACGCTGCAACAAAGTCAGCCGGAGGCAAAGAAACACGATAACCAAGCGGGTGTCACCAACCTGTGTCTGGTTCATGCTGCCGTGCAGCTCCGCACAGGACAGGTCGAGCAGGCCAAATATGACGCGCGCGCGATGGGCTTCCTTCTTTTGCCGGAAAAAGATGATGACCCTCTCAGTGTACAGCACTTTACACAGGTGGACGAGGTAGCCCATCCGTTTCTCGTCCCGGCCGGGACGCAGTCGAACAAATTCTTGTACCAGGGTTCCCACCGTCTTCTTCTGCGCATCGACCATAAGTCTGACGGGCTTGTTCATGCCGACCCGAATGAGGCGGTCCACCGTCGAAGTCATGGTGGCGGAGAAGAGCATGGTCTGGCGTGACTTGGGTAGCGTGTTGAGAATCTCATTCAGCTCGTCCGCAAAGCCATCCTCCAGCATGCGATCTGCTTCGTCGAGGACCAGAATCTCGACCGTGTCGACGTTGAAGCTAGCCGAATTCCTCATGTGGTCGATGAATCGGCCGGGTGTTGCAATGACCACGTCGGGCCGCCGCCGAAGCTCCGCCTCCTGGGCCTTGAGACTGAGACCTCCAACGGCGAGGGAGAATTTGATGTCAGTGTGCGAGGCAAGTTTCATCGCCACGGCGTGACACTGCATCGCGAGTTCTCTGGTGGGAGTGAGAACCACCACCCGAGTCGTCGGGACCTTGTTGGGTCTATACAGCAGCCGCTCTAAGATGGGAATCATGAACGCTCCCGTCTTGCCCGAGCCAGTCACGGCGCCGCCGACGACGTCTCGGCCCATGAGAGCAATGGGAATCGTCTTGGCTTGAATGGGAGTAGGCTTGGTGAATCCAACGGCCGCAAGTCCCCGGAGAATGGGCCGAGACAAAGACAAGGCCATAAAGGTCGATGCGGGGTCTCCCTTCTGGCCCGATCTTCCCAGCCCGTCATCAGGGGCGAAAAAGGCATCGCGCTTGGCTTGCTCTTCAGGATCTTCTTCACCGTCGTCACTGGCGTCAGACATTGCGCGGTCGTCGTCGTCAGGGTGGCCAACGGGCGTGGCTACCGAGTCATCATCGCTTGCCGAAGCGGAATCGCTGTCGTCATCCTCGTCTTGCTGCTTAGCCTCGTCCCCAGATTCCTCGGCGTCGGAGCTCATGTTCATGCCAAAGGCGTCCTCGGCAAGGACTTGATCGTCGTCGTCATCCATACTGACGTCCACGGCATCTTCGTCAAGGTCGTCTGCGGCGTCGCCATCCGGTTCCGCGGCCGCATTGGCGTCGTCACCGTCGTTCTTCTGCTTGTTCCTTCGCCGTTGTATTATGTCGTCGACATCAACAATCTTCCTGTTAGAGGAGATGCCCTTCTTGGCACCCTCGAATCCCCAGCCTTCGAAGTCCTCCTCTTCTTCATCGCCGCCAAGACCACCTTGGTCGATTAGGAACTCAAAGTCGGAGTCTATGGCGCCATCGTCTCCATCCTTACGTCCCCAGGGGCCCTCTGGGGCTTCGCTTGCATCCTCTTTCCCCCCTTCTTGGGATTCGTCATTTCCTTCAGAGGCTTTCTGGGTCGCCTTTTTGGAGCGCTTGGCCGGCTTGGCCTTGGCTGCCGTCTTGGTCTTCTTCTTGGGCGGCTGAGGCGGTAGCTCTTCTTGTCCGAGGGGATCCTCGCGGCCCTCGTTGTCGTCGGAGAGGGTGTAGACGAAGTCGTCGTCTTCCGTCTTTCTTTTTTGCGGCGCCATCCTGATGCTTGCCTTTGCACAGTGTAGTTGGGCCCTTTTTTGCGCAGGAGCAAAATTGCTTCACGAGTAGTTTTCTGCCGACTTGAAATTTTGGCGGTGAGGGGGCAAATGCTGTTTGGGGAAGCGGCGCTTGTCTGCTTTGGGTTGTGTACGGGACATTTACAAGTTCGGTACGGAATAAAGTCCGTATCTCTTCTTTTCAACGGCTCAGGTGCCTGTTTGCCCGATACCATTAAACAGCTGCCTGGAACATACAAATTGGCATTGGAGCATGACAAGCTTGACATATTTTCATTTCCCCTCTGCTATTCGAATTTGCCCTTCTTGCTGACGCTGAGTCTGTCACGCTCTCTGATTGGACAAGTATTTGACATGTGGGCCGCTGTTTTCCCGCCCGAAGTCCCCACGGTTGATTGGACGACCAAGTTGCTCTGCCCGCGAGTGCCTGCTAGCGATTAATTTCTCCAGCTCCCTTTTCAAGTCCATCCATCGCCGCCTCAGCCCTACCCACGCAACTCGCTTTCCCTTGGTCCTGCCCTGTCTCGATACCCGCTCGGTTCTGGCTTCTTCTGCTTTCGCGCTTGCATCCTTGCCCTCTGAGCCGCCTCATACCGTCGCATCGAGAGCGCGCCCGCCTAAACAGTCGGCCTCCTGAGCAAACACAGCAAACATGGGCGAGTCCAGGTTGGTCTCCATCGTCTGCGCAGCGTCTATCGCCACGGGGCAATCCTCCCTGACTGACGGTCCGCACCACAGACAGGAGCTTGTGCAGTGGCTCAACAGCCTGCTCCAGCTCAATATCACAAAGGTTGAGCAATGCGGCACTGGGTGAGTCTCGACGGCTACCCCTCCCCCGCTTTACAACGCACGCGTGCCTGCAGCCGCGCCAACGTCGGATTCATTGGATGCTCGGCCTTGCAACCGTCCCAAAAACCGTTGATCTGACTCGACACTCCATCTTCAGAGCGGCCTTGTGCCAGGTGTTTGACAGCATATACATGGACGTGCCCATGTCCAAGGTCAAGTTCAACGCCAACGGCGAATGGGCCTACGTTCAAAACTTCAAAGTCCTTCAAAGTACGACTACGCCCTGCCCCGGAACAATAGCCTCCTTTTCGCATGCTGACGATCTGTCCCGCAGACACGTTTGCCAAGCATCAAATCGACAAGCCGATCCCTGTGCAAGCCCTCATGAAGTGCAAAATGCAAGACAACCTCGAGTTCCTGCAGTGGACCAAGAGGTTTTGGGATCTCAACTTTCCCGATCACGAGTACGATGCCGTAACACGGAGGAAGGGGGGCACGCTTCCCAACGCGGGCGCCGCGAGGGCACCTGTGACGGCGGCAGCTGGTGCTCGTAGAGGAGGCACCACGCCTGCGGGCGGTCCACGCGTTGCCAAGGCTGCCGGCGCCGGTCCCGGCTCCGCTGCACTGCAGCAGGAGAACGCCACACTCAAGGAGACTGTTGCCGGGCTGGAGCGGGAGCGCGACTTTTACTTCAGCAAGCTGCGCGACATTGAGCTGCTCATCCAGCAAGCCGTGGACGAGGACCCAGAGCTCGAGAAGCAGGAAGAGGGCCTGGTCAAGCAGGTCCAGGCGATTCTATACTCGACCGAAGAGGGGTTCGAGATTCCCGACGAAGGGGAGGCTTTGGACGACCAGGAGACGTTTTGAGGGAAGCCAGCCAAGGCGTTGCGAGGTACCACGAAAAGGGGCCGGGGAGTTGGGGGTCGTGTAGCCCATGTTTCACGGCTGTATAACGCGTAATGAAGGATTTGGACGAGTCGGGAGGCGGACAGTCGTCGACTCACTTGGGACATTGGGAACTTGGGACCTCTTGACAGAAGCAGAGGCCCAGATAGAGCAGCTCAAGAAGCACGTTGGACAGTCGGTTGGCAAGCTTTCGGTCGCGTTTCTCCATGTGTGAAACGGATGTATGTCACAGGCTTACAACCTGCTGGGTCTGATGGATGCCGAAGCATGAATGATGTACGAAGTGGGTGGAGTTCAGTCAATACTGGCTTCGTCTGGCTATAGGGTAGCTCAAGCATTTGGGCACAGTTGAGGTTAGACCCCAAGACGAGACTGCATAAACACAATCCAGGGCGGGGAGAAGCCGTCCGTTTCCGTGTGGACTCTAGTTGCTCTTGTGGTTTTTTGTGTGATGATGGGAGGTATCTGCGGCTATGAATTGTCCAATGTCGACTTGTACTTGCAAAGCAAATGCTCGTCCCGGGGGTAAAAGGCGGACCAAACAATCAGGATGGGCGCTCGACTGGTGTGGATGGACAGGGTGCAGGGCCCAGAGAGCTCGAGAAAGCCTTGATAGTATTGTACCTTTTCATGACATTTTCATCGATTTCCTGTCAAGGCTGAGGCTCGAGTTAAAAGCCGTGACTGACAGGTATGCGGCGAGCTGGATGGCGGGAGAGACGACGGCAGGGGCTGGTTTTCCGAAGCTGCCTGTCCAAAACTTGTAGTGTTTGATCCGCGCTAGGTAGGGGTGAGCAAACAGCCTCATGGAGCCAAGCGTCTAAAAATATCATTCATGACAGATCCAAACTCGGGCATGTTAGATATTCACTTCCCATGCGTCTATACTATGTGTCCGTACTATATGTTATAGGTAGAAAAGCCTTCGGAGATAATTATAGGGAAGACAGACAATTGCGGGCAATAAAAAACCCAGCTCCACCGCGGGATGCTGCATTAGCAGCCCCGTCATTGGCCTGCAGCGCATATAACATATACGGTATACCCCATGACGCTGGCCGCCGCAGGCCTGAGAGCCATTGTGCGGCGGGCGAGTGACACTCCCCCGCGCCCCCCTGTGCCTTAGCCTCCCTCAGCTGGCCAACCCGTCATCCCGTCAGCAGCTCCCTCTCGCCACAGGTGCTCAACGGATTTTGACGCCCTTCTTTCCACACCATCCATATAACACTACCCATCCCATCATTGTCGACCGCAGTAAATTTTGCTCCTGATATCGCCGGCCAGCGGCCTCTCGGCGCCACGACCCGCCAACACTCGACGACCATTCCAACCACCGCTCCGACCTGCATCGAGACGACACCACCGCCGCATCGAAACCAAAACCCGGGGCCAAGCAGACTGGAAGCCGTGGCGATGGCTCCGCCCCCCGAGATTGCGATACCCTCGACGAGCGTCTCCGACGAAGGCGCCTCCAAGCCCTTTACGCTCTACAACATCACCCTCCGCCTCCCCCTGCGATCCTACGTGGTCCAGAAGCGCTACTCCGAGTTTGCCAAGCTCCACAACACACTGGTCGAGCAGGTCGGCAGCCCGCCCCCCGAGCCGCTGCCCGGCAAGCACTGGCTCAAGTCGACGGTCAAGTCGGCCGACCTGGCGAGGGGCCGGCAGCTCGGCCTGGAAAAGTACCTACGCACCATTGCCGAGACGCCAGACCGGCGATGGCGGGACACGTCGGCCTGGCGCGCCTTTTTGAACCTGCCCAGCTCCAGCAACGCCAACTCTGCCGTGTCTGCCGCCGGGAGGGTCGGCAGCACGGGGGCCGGGGCCGCGGACCCGGGGACGTGGCTGGACATGCACCGGGAGCTCAAGCAGGGCCTTCTCGAGGCGAGGCAGTGTCTGTCGAGGAGAGACGGCGCCGCGGACGGGGGGGACGGCACGGCGGTGGCCGAGGCTGGCGCGGCGGCCAAGCGGGCCCTCGTCAGGGCAGGGACATTGCTTGCCACGCTGTCGGACGGCCTCCGCAGGATGCAAGAGTCGAGCCGGCTTGGCGATGGAGAGCTACGGCGGCGACGAGACTTGGTGTCTACGGCCCGCATGGAGCGAGACGCGCTGGAAAGGCTGTCCAACAGCATGCCCAGCTCGGCATCGGGCGCCGGACGAGGGAATGGCGGGCAAGGACATCCGTCGGCATCGGAGAAGGCAGCTCTGCTACAAGGAGGCAGGCCGGGAGGCCGTGTGCTAGGCGCGCCGCTGCCGGAGACGGACAAGACGCGGGAGCTGGACAACCAGGGCGTGCTGATGCTGCAGAAGCGGGAGATGCATGCGCAGGACGAGCAGGTGGAGCAGCTGGCGGCCATCATCCGGCGGCAGCGGGAGATGGGGCTCAAGATCAACGAAGAGGTGGAAGCGCAGAGCGAGATGCTGGAGCGGATGGACCAGGACGCGACGCGGGTGCAGGGCAAGGTGACGGTAGCCAACAACCGCCTCAAGAAGATGTGACTGGCGGGCGCCGCGACGCGGGGGCTGCGCGCGGCGGTGCTGGCGCTCGAGCTGGCGGCCTGCTGGCTCTGGCTGGCGGCGAGGCTGGCGGGCGGGCTGTCGTGGATGGGACGGCTAGTGCTGCTGATGCTGGGGCTTGGGCGGTGACGATGATGAAGCGTGTGCTTTCTTTTGATTGAAGACGTCATGACTACTGTACTTGGCGTGTCTGGCAGCCGGCTCATTGTACATGTTGTCTCCCCCTTTCTCAAACGTTGGCGCTCTCATCTGGCTGTTCAATGTCCTTTTTCTTCTACAGTATGGGATATCCATGAGTCTCGGCGACGGGTCACAGCGAAATTGTTTCTTTTTCCCCCCTCCCTTACTTTTCTTCTTCCGTCATTGCGGTCCTCTGATGTCGCAGACTCGCATGAAGACGACGTCAACGGCGCGGGAGAGGTAATACAAGGCAGCCGAGTCGTGAAGAGAGCCCGGTTCGGGGCCCCCCAGACAACATGACACAGGCACACGTGCACGCGCGCACACGCAACGGCCGTTACATTCAACAGGCTACTGTACAGTACTGCACATACTGTAGGCAGCCGAGTCGAGTCTGTGACGCGGGCTGCAGAAAGGCGGCACGATGCTCGTCTGGTGGCGCGCGAACTACTGCTGCTTGTCGTGGCACTGCCGCGGCTCGCAGGACGCTCTCCCGGACGATCAAACCGCCCCTCTCCCTTCCCCCGCTCGCTCTCGCCCTTTCTCCTCCCCCCGAGTCCTCGGAGTCGGGGCGCGTAGTTGCACACGGGCAGCGGGCTTCCGGGTGCTGGGGATGCGCGGCGCGGCAAGCAGCAGCGTCGGGTTTCTGCCGTCAAGGTCTTTGGACGGATGAGTAGGGAGGGAGAGGAAGAGGCCAGCAGCCGTCGACGGAGAGCCAATGGGTGTCGGCGTGTGGCGAGGAGTCGAGTATCACCGCTTGCAGGTACCGAGGAAGGTACTGTAGAGCTCCGGGGACCGGAAGCTGAGCCGACCCCTGCCCTGTAGGCAGCCTGGAGCGCACAAGAAACGGCCCCACGTTTGCGGCGTTGCAGCGACGCCATCAAAGTACAGAGTACGAGCACATTGGACGTGTACACAAACTTAATGGGAGAACGACGACGACGAGCTGTCAATTCATGGATCCAATGTCCAAAGCAAAGGGCCAATGCTTGCGCTCGTGGCCCTCGTTCAAGACGGTGCGGAAGTGGTGCTGCTTAGAGGGGACGTGACGGATGCCGGTGTTGACGGCTAGCTTACTGTACCAAGCCCCTGGTTGCCAAGGCAACGCGGCGTCGGCGATAAATGGCCCAAATTTCAAACCTTTTTCGCTGGGGAGAGCTCATTAGTTGAGATGCACCGCGTCCGGGGGAGGTGAGGGGGAAGAGACAAGAGTAACTGTTGAGGTTACGTTGGGGGGGGACCCTGCTCGAGCCTTGACCGCCAACTGCAAGCATCGTGGTGGCCGCGAGGGTGCTCGGCTGAGGGGCGACGATGGGGGCGAGCGAGGGGGGTTGATTGGGGGGAACGGACGTGCGGCACCGGTCTGATTGGGCACAGGCGCGTGATGGCCTCGTGATGAATGATTGGCATGGTGTGATGCGACGACGGTGGCCATGGTAAACAAATAGGGGGAGATCAGGCGATGATTGGCAGCGAGAAGCATCGAGCACGGCGAATGATGGACCAAGACGGACGTGTGCAGTCCTTGTTGGCTCAAGGCAGCTGGAAATGTGATGCCAACGTTGGCTGCGATATCGGCGGTTGTGCTTGTTGCCAGCGCAGGGCAGTAAAGTCAGCTTCATGTACAATGTAAGCACAGTATGTTTGATTTGGCTTGCCGAATTCTCTTCACCATCGCAAATTGGGAAATGGAACCTACAGTAATACCTACCTACCCTACCTACCTATAGCACTAACAAAGGAAGCTGTGCATGTCGTCGCCAAGCTTCTTGGGAGACGTGACGCCTGTAAGCCTCCCAAGTCCACTGTGACCGTCACCTAAAATGGACCCCTCCCGATCATGGCCTACCTGCGGCACTATCCGCCGCGCGCAGGGGACCTGAACTGGGGCGCCTTCAGGCTCCAGCTCCAGCTCCCCCTCTGCTGTAACTACTGGCTGGCCATCCAATTCCCGGCAAATCACAGGCAATCAGCGCAATCTTTTTCTCCCTCTTCTTTTTCTCTCACTGTCCCACCCCCCCGCGCAACAGGTCACCAGTACTTCGTGAGGTCACGAGTAAACACTGGGGCACCAGCGACTCTCTTTTCCCTCTCCTTTTCCTGTCTCCCCCCCAAGGCCACTCGCCTCTATCCTCGGGCCTGGTCCGCTTCCCTCTCACCAACCTACTTACCTCCTCTGGCGACGTGCAGCTCATGCCGTGCGAAGTCGTTGGTCGGACTTGAAGCCTCTCTCCTTGTCAGTGTCCGTCTGCATTTTGCTTGGAGCCTGGCGTTTGTTTCCCTCGGCCGCGCCTATCCGTCTGTCTCTGCCCGTCCCGTCGTGGCCGCCTGCATCGGTGAGTTCTCTGGAGCCCAGCCCTCGGCGGCCCTGCAAGGCTGCCATCGGCCCTCGGTGGCAATGAGGTCGTCGTCGAGCGAGCTCGTCTTCGTTTCTGCCGCTTTCTCAGATCCGTCACCTTGCTGATATCAAGTAGTCCGTTAGCTTTGCTCTCCCATACGAGCCCTCCGACCGCCTCATGGCTTTCCCGTGCTCCCCATAGATCGACCGAATCTCTCTTGCTGCGGCCTCGTCGCCCATTCCTTGCTGTGTGCTCTGCAACATGAGTGGCCCTCCGCCACCGCCGCCCCATGGCCACGCCCCCAGGTCCTCGGGCCTGCCGCCTGGCAAGTACGACATCTTCGTCATACCCGAGCACTCGGCCGGCTCCGGCTTCCTCTACCTGCCCTCCCTGCGGCCCAGCCCAAACAGCTTCGCCGCCGGCTTCGCTTCCGCTCTCATCCTCGTCGCCCTCTTCCAGAGCATGGCCCCCGCCTTCATGGTCTGGTGGGAGAGCTTCCAGGGCCTCGGCAACATGGGCATAACACTCCTCATTGCCGGCGTCGGCTTCGGCGCCTGGGCTCTCGGTCGTGCTCAAAAGGACCCCCCGCCTTCGGGCCATGGGTCCGGCGCCCAACATCGAGGCGGCGGCCAAGCCGGCGGAGGATTCAACGCATCCACTTCGGCGCCACCTCCAAACCCCGGGAGCCCGCCGCCTCCGCCGCACGGCAGCAACACGGCTCCTCCACCACCCCCTCCCCCTCCTCCCCCGCCGCCTCCCGGGCCCGAAGACGCCGCTTCTCCGCCGCCGGGGCAAGAGAAGCCCAAGTCTTCGTGGCAACGGCCGCCGCCGCAGCCCGGGACCTCCAAACCCGAGACGCCAAAGGGCGCCTGGGAAAGGGCCCGCGAGGAAATGAGGAAGAAGGAGGAAGAGCGCAAGGCAAAGGAGGCGGAGCAGAAGCGGCGCGATGAAGCGGCCAAGAGACTGGCAGAACTGCGCGCCAGGGAGGCAAAGGAAAGGCAAGAACGAGAAAAGGAAAAGGAGCGCAAGGAAAAGGAAGCTCGGGATAAGAAGGCCAAGGAAGCAGCCGAAGAACAAAAAAAGAAGCTGGCCGAAGAGCAAAAGAAGAAGCTTGCCGACGAGCAAAGGCGAAAGCAAGTCGCAGAGAGGGTGGAGAAACAGCGCCAGGAAAGAGAGGCAAGGGAGCGCGAGGAGCAGAAGAAAAAGGAGGCGGCCGCGGCCGCGGCTTCCGAGACAGCGTCGTCGTCAACGGCAAAACCACCAGCGACACCTCGCGCCGGGAGCTCATACGCCTACTCAAGCGTCGGCGAAAAGACCAACATGTGGCCCCACGGCCGGCCTAACGTGCCGTCGCAGGCCGGCAGCTCTGCCTCGAAGAATTCCCCGAGCTCCGAGAAGCGACCGCCTGCACCGACGGCCAAGACGTACGTCAGCAACGACGAGGACGCGTACTCGTATCGGCCATACGATCAACCAGGCAAAAGGTCCGGGCGAAGGCCGTCGGCGTCGTCAGTCGGGGGGTCCGAATCCTCGTGGGCTCCCTCGCACACGACGGCTCGGACGTCGGCGCCGCCATCTGTCCGGGGGCCATACACCACAAAGGACCCCGACAAGATTGTCGTTCAGGCCGTGTACCTCTTCATGAACCAATTCGCCAAGACGCCGGCCAGCCAGCTCATCTCGGGAGTCGGGTCCGTTACCGACGGCCTGATCCTGCGCATTACGACCGAAGGCCTCTTCATCGATGACGACGTGCGCGGCGTGCCCCAGCGGGAATGGGACGTCAAGGCCTGGACCCTCAAGCACGTCGAGGCGTGGTGCCCGCCACATTGCCTCAACTCGGCCGCGGCTCCTTCCACCAACGCGAGCGCAAAGAGCCCGCCGCACTTGTTGTACAAGATGGCCACGGCACGCCGCAACGCCGAAAAGGACAAGATGCTGACGGGCGACGACGCCGACACCTACCTGACGGAGATGCTGCGCGCCTGTAAGGAATGCTGCCGGCTTGGGATGTGTGATCGCAAGTTCAAGGACACCAACATCCAGTCCCCGTCAGGCCAGGCCGGAGAGTGGAAGGACAAGGGCCTGCACGTCCTCCGCGCCACGATCCGCGACCAGGAGGGGAAACGCTATCTCTTCTTGCTGGACGAGACGGAGGGCTGGAAGGTTGCGGTCGGGTTGCAGCGCTTGCGGCGAGGCACGCAGGTGCGGCAGCTGGGGGTGAGCGGCATGGCGCCTTCGGAAGCTCGGGGGACGCTGGAGACGCTGGGGTGGATCGGATGAGGAGAGCGATGCCGAGATTGAGGAGCGACGACGACAGTCAACTTGTTACGCCAGCAATCGGATGAGCACGGCGAAGACGAGGAGCAACCGCGCGCAGGACACATATGCACCTTTATTGCAAGGGCCGACGAATGCCAAACAACAACAAAGGCGGTCAGGGGCACCGGAGCCCATGACAGCGTTTGAGGTGGATTCTTGAGTGCGATGCGCTAGGGGGCGGATGGAATGGAGGGGGGGGGGCAACTGCATAGCGAGACAGGAGTACCGGGAGGGCGAGGAATACTTTTGCGCCGAGAGGGACGGATTTTCTTTGAGAATGGCTTTTTGTAGCATTCCATTCGCTATTATACCCCCATGTTCATATGGATATGCATGGCAAAGGTCAGGACATGTAGCTGCATCGAGGACGGGGCCTTTTCGCTAGCCATGTGAAGCTCTGTAAGAGGCATGAAGATGATGCTGAAGCGGGTGTCGTGGTAGTCTGGCTGCTCCACGAGCATGACTCGCCAAGAAGAGTCGGCGGTTGTCTGGTGAGCCCAACGTGTAATAAGGCATCAACAGCAGCGTGCAAATCGTGGTGGATCACGGTTGAGCAGCGATTGAGTTGTTATTTCTTGTACTCGGTGCGATGTCAGTGTCTACAGCACATGTGTCTTGCTCAAATGTTTATTCCATTCAGGCACGAAGAGGCGTAGGAGAGCTTGCTGTCAACTGTTTCTCGAGGCTCGTGAGGCTCCCGAAGCAAAAGAGAGTGGACCGGAAAAGTGCACGGACTGGCGGGGAGTCCGGAGAAACAGTGTATAGCTCACAATTAATCCCTGACATTCACACTCGCGGCCCATTAGTCTAGGGGTTAGGACGTTGGATTTTGATTTGCTTGAATCATAATTTTCTTCCAAAGACGCCAGTTCGATTCTGGCATGGGCCTAGGTTTTTTTTCTTTTTCCACCGCTTTCCCTGTCTCTAGGGTAGGTGCAGCCCAATTTGATTATCATAAGCTTTCGCCAGCAGACTTTGTGAGTGATGCTTGTACCAACTATCGTCTTGTCCCTGAAGCGGTGAATAAGGGGGCATTCGGCCAAAACATCGGCGGCTAAACTCCCATGTGCTCTTCGCCCGATGAACCCGTTTCTTTTTTACTTCCAACCCATCGTCCAGATGGCCGTACACGTACAAACAAACGCCCTGCCTGACCCTGCTGGGATCTGAATCCACACCAGCCCCTGACTCCAGTCCGTTGTGGACAGTCGGCGATGCGCTCAAGGGCATCCCCTCTCCCCATACGTTACAAACGTCTCCTTGGTCACCTGGATGCCATCCGGGCTCTGCAGGCCCTGCGCGTCAAACCCGCTGCCCGTCACGGCATACACGGGCGGCCTCGCCCCGGGATACAGGTCGCCCAGCCCATCGATGCTGTCAACGTCATTCTTGGCCTCGCTCGTAGTCACCGACGACGGCGCCGCCTTGGCCTGCTCGGGCTTGCGCGCCCACAGCTGGGCCTCGTCGTCGGCCGGCGACTCGTCGCGACGGGGCATCTCGTAGCTGTGGCCGTAGAGGGTGCCGTTGCTCGACGACGCGGCGGTGCGCTCGCCGGCGCCGTCCTTGGTCATGGCGTCGGACGGCTCGGCGGCGGAGCGGTCGTGCGAGGAGCGCAGGCGCGAGACGATGAGCACGGGCAGGTAGCGCATGAAGAGCGGCTTGAGGGCGGCGAGCGAGGCGCACACGATGCCGGCGTTGACCTCGACGAAGCTCCAGATGAACTGCTCCGTCAGGTCCCACGAGTAGTCGGGCGACGACATGAGCGGGGGCATGATGAGGGTGCGCTTGATGGCGGCGGCACAGACGCTGGGCCAAGTCAGCTTCCCCTTCATCCTTGGCGTCAAGGGATCAGGTTCCCGGGGAGCAGGAAAGGGGCACCACTTACAAGCCGCCCGTGGCAAAGAGCAAGACGAGGGAAATCTTCTGCCGCAGCGGAATCTGCAGCGGCACAATGACCTTGACGGGCAGGAAGAGAATGACGAGGTCGATGACTATGTTGGCAATGCTGAGCACCATCATGGGGATCAGGTACTCGATGCAGGTGCCGCCCTTGATGGACAGGTCCCACGCGGCGGCCACCGGGTGGCAGCGGAAGACGATGACGAAGATGTAGGTGACGGTGTAGGCGGCGACGACGCCGAGCAGGGCGTAGACGGCGCGGCGGAAGTGTTGGTCGGGCGAGACGCGCAGGTAGAAGGCGAGGATGGAGAGCTTGGAGAAGGAGATGGAGATGGCGTAGGTGAGGGTTGCGCCGACGGTCGTCTGCGTACGAGCTGCGTTAGCGAGCGTATGGATCTCGAGCGGAGGAACATTAAACACATGAGAGGAAGCGTGAGTGGCAGTCTCCGGAGATGCTGAAGTCGGAGGGCTTGGTGACTCGGCTTCGACGGCTGCACCGGGGGCAGTGGGAGAGACGGATCGCGTACCTGGAGAAAGCGAGGGCTGTAGTCGGAGAAGAGCACATCCCACATGTGAAGGCCGGCTCCAACGGCGTATACTGGCAAGTGGTCAGTGGCCTCGTATGAATCTCGCCAGTCCAGCCCGGGACTGACATACGATGCCTCCCGACAAAGAAGAAGGAAATGGAAAAGACCAATGCACAGAGCACAAGATCTAGACCCGGAACCATGTCCGTCAGCACGGCCTTCAACATCCCTCTGTCTTCTCGGCGGAAGACTCACAGTCATCCCATCCCAGATCCCCAGAGACGACGTGCACCCGCGTAAACACGCGCAGCGCCACGCACACGCACGCAACAATCGTCGCCGCGATGCCCGCCGGCACCACCGCGCCGCCGCTGCTGGGCGGGTTGACCGGTGTCCGCACCTGGCCCGGCGGCGGCGCCATGAGGTAGACGGGCGCCGAGGCGGCCATGTCTGTGATGGGAGGAGTGGTTGGAAGGGGAGAGGGCGGCGGGGAGGGATGACTCGTAGGACAGGGCTCGGCGAGGGCCTGTATAAGATGGGGGCCGGGTCAGCCCTTCAAGAGAGGAAGCAAAGCTTGGAGTAAAGTGTGAGAGAGGGAGGGGAGTGACGAGACAGCCTCAGGAGCTGAGCCAGGCGAGCCGAATCACAAATCGGCTCGTGGCATAGAGTGGTGGAGTTTGTTGACTCTATGCCATCACGATGAAAAGACGGAGTCTTTCGAAACGTCCTCGAGGCGACTCTTTATTTCAATGCTTTAAAGACATAGAAACTTGGCATCACCCTCGCTGCCGCTCAGGTCTTTAAATTCACTGCACACCGACCCCCGTCCATCTGCTCCCATCCGCATACCCAGATCGACCCCCGCGCCCCATCCCCACCGGCAAGGGACGACCAGGGGGGACGGTTTAACCAGAGAATCGAAGACCAACTGTGGAACCAGGACCGGCACATCAGGCATGTCATCCAGCAGGGCTCTCTCTCCGGCCGAGTCGCAGCCTCTTGCCTCGCTGGCGCACCCCCCTTGCCCGGCCCTGCGGTCCAGGGGAGGGGAGACACTGAAGAGAGGCGAGGAGGAGAGGCTCGGAACCAAAGAATGAAGTATCCGTCCCTGGGTGGGCCTGAGCAAGGTGTCGAAGGCATCTAGGAAGCAAGGGGGAGAAGGCGGCCCAGGACAAGACGGGAGCAAGGACAGGGGAGTCGGTACTGCAAACAGGGCTACAGAATTACTCACTGCCTTTAACGCCGATGAGGGCGTTGCCCAAGGACCAGACGTACTGTACATATTATGCACGAGGGGATGAGTGACGGCCGCGTCTGATGGTTGGGGGCATCCGTACGCTCAAAGACGTAATGGGACGGCAACACGCGGCCAGTGGATTGCCGCCCATGTATGAATGACTTACTGCATGTAGAGACAGGCCTGCGCATGCCGGGCCGCATGCAGCTGAGATGCGCCCATCGACGAATGTCATCGTCACCTGCTCCGGCGGCGAACCAGACGGTTATTCTCCGACGGCCAATCCGGAGACTTCCAACAGCCTCCTGATTCTACCCGAGCCTCGGATTCGTCCAGTCCCGGTGCAATGGGGTGTCGTGGCTGTCACGGAGTTGCAGTGGAGAACAAGCCAGGGATCGAGACAACTACCCGCAGGAGCGCAGCTGCGCATGGAGAAGAAAGTACTTGTACAGTAGCATCGAGGCATCTCTTTGCTAGTTTTCAGTCTCTCTGTGGCTCTGCCAGGTGGTACCTCTGAAGTTGGCTCCCCAATATGAAAGGGTCTCTTACCACGCAACTCTTGATCAACTCTCCCTGTGTCCGGGGCACCAGCACATTCTCCATCTCTGGGGACGGCCATTAGGTGCAAGTCATATAAACAGGCTTCGACCAGAGGCGTCAGCCAATGCCGTGCCCCCCACGGTTCCGCCGGCCGGGGAGCCATGCATCGTACCTCCGGCAATGTAAACAAGGGGGGGCAGGGGAGCAAGACGCGGCCGCGGCTCAAACGTCCGCCAGCCAGCCGATCCGTCGCCCCGACCCGTGGGAAGGGCGAGCATGGGACGAGACGAAGCGGGAGAGAAGCAAAGTAAATGAATGGCGTTGCAGAGAGGCTGGCGCCGCACGCCAGAGATTCGATGTCGACGATCCGGGGGAGCGGCCCGTCCTTTCGTTAGGCTCACGTTTTTCACGCTCATGCGTGTCATTGAGAGGCTTCTTTGTCCTTCATTTTATTTTGGCGCAAGGGCTGCAAGCCATCGAGGCTTTGTCCGAGTTGTCGCAAGTTGTCGATGGACCGTCGCTTCTGTCATTGCTGCATCATTCGCCGATCAAGGACAAGACCGCAGCGCAGTGCTGTCTCTGAGTACGAAGAAACTCGATATGCACATCCCAGAGCCGCTCCGCCTCGGCACCGGCCCAGCGTCAACCGAGGTTCCGCAGCCGATCAGGGTTCTGCCATTGACACGCCTCCGCGGCCGGCGCATACCGTACATCATGCACAGTAGCTGAGGAGGTATAGGCATGCAACGCCGTCTTTACTTGGTCTCAACCAGTCATGTCCGCCGAAGATCGAGCTGATGGATAGCGTACGCAGTTCGGGCCTTGGACAAGACTCGTGTCTCGGTGACCGGCGCCCTGTCTACGCGACAGAGAGAGCAGCTGGACTCATGTGCGGCATACAACGTGGAAGATGGATGCCAACTCCGTAAACCAGGACCTCAACGACCGGAACCGTTGGAATTGACGCAGATGGAACTAGGCGTGTGTCCAATCACCTTGTGCAAGTTCCCCGGCGGCTTGCGTCCTCGAGGCGCGCCGGCACGTGCGTGTTGCCAGCGTCCACGACACATCAGCGGTTGATCCAAAAGATCAAACGCCTAGGTTCCTGACCCTGTACTTCGTCCATTATTTATTTCATTTTGCGGAGGCCGGTTGTCCGGATCCTTTGCAAAAAGGGACATAAACCGAGAAGAAAGAAGAAAAAACACGGGGGCCTGACGAGTCCCAAGCTCTCCCGCCCTCGTCCTCGTTCCGGTAACAAGGCCCATCGTATATCGTAATTCCCCATCGCTGCCGCTTCGAGCGCCCGCCCATATGTCGCGACTGAGCTTGCAACCGCCGGTTTTGTGCTCGGCAGTGGGCAGAGGGCACGGGGGTGAGAAGAGTCGAGCCGACTTGCGGCGGAGGCGCGCGCGATGAGCGAGGCCTGCTCGTCAGTTGCGATGCTCACGATACAGGTGTAAGCTCGAGGAGCTATCTGTTGAATACCCAGCTTCTCAAAAGGGCCACTCCGGCGGTGTGCCTGACACAATCTCTGTGCCGCCCAATCGATGCGCCTCGGGCCCTCGGTCGATGCCGGTGCAACTCGACGTGCAGAATCTGGCACTCGCTGCCATCGAATCACCCGCTGTGCAAGCGGGGGACAAAATAAGGAAAAAAGAGAGAAAAAGGAGAAAAGGACGGCGCAATGGGGACGAGCCCCTGACAATATAGGCCAATGCACGCCGGCGTCTCTCCCTGGGATCGTGGAACCTGCTCAAACCCCTTCTCGGGGATTATTATGCACGCAACGCTCTCGAACCAGGAGAGGCCGCCTTCTCGAGAGCCGGGTGTTTCTCGTGTGCGTGCATACGTTTCGACGCATTTCCAGTACAGACATGTTACAGCACATACGTCTATCCCGATACACAGGCACGCACGAGAAGAAGCCAGCGACTGGGTTCCCCCTTCTGGCCGTATCCCCGGCTTGTCATGGATCGTGCGAGGCCGCTTCTGTCAGCACGACGGAAAGCCGAGAGGTCGAATCATACCTTGTGCTAGCTGCTGCGAGGCGTGACCAAAGGTGTATGCGTATAAGCGAAAAGAAAACCAACTTGATGGAGCAGCGAGCTCAGGGGAGTCTCTCTTCCGTTATTCTCAAGAGGTCGGTCGAACACTCATATTGAAGTAAACGGTAAAGAGATGAGCGCCTCTACACATGTATAGCGATAAGGGAATAAAAAGGAAGAGCCGAGGACAAGAACACATGGCGCAGCATCGGGAACTGGTTTGAAGCTATTCTAAATGCACTCGAGAATGGGCAAGGGAAAACCCGCAGAGGTCGCTTGGTCTGGTGGGAAAAGGAAGCCGCATGATAAACCCCCCGTTTTCATTCTTCCTTCCACGGTCAGCGCCCCCCTGCCTTGACCAAGGCCCTGTAGAACCACTGCTTGATATGTAAAGCTCAGAGTCAAGTCGTCATTCGCCCCTTGGATCAGAACATGGCTGATGCTGGACGAAGACGCAGCGCCAGCTTCTTTCCCTTTACCAACTGTCTCTCGACGAATCCTCTTCACTCCTAAGAAATAACAACATCCAACTCCCCCGAGGCATCGGTTCTTCGTCGACAGAAGAAGCTGAATGTATGTCCTGTGTTCCAGGCTGGACCAGGCAAGCCGTTGCGACCTTCGCCCTGGGCGAGGACCAAACGACTTCGCCTGATTGCCCGGCGGTAAATATATGACCCTGTCCGTTCAGAAAACCCAAGGAGCATCGACGATGCGAGCTACAATCAAGAGGCTGGGACAGTCAATGCTCTGGCACTTGTCCTTAACGTCTGGTTCTGTCTGCGCCGAGCATCGTCGGTTCTAACGCAACGGTGATGGATGGCAAGGCCTACTCATTCATCGACCTCCTTATTGCCCAACAAGCCCTCACGGCCACCCCTTAACAGAACCGGACAGCCTTGAGCCAGACATCCGAGTCAACGGCAGCTTGTTCATCGTGCAAAGGTCATCAAGTACAAGGTCTCCGGCACTCACTCCTTTCCCGTCATCAGTCGTCGGGCTGCTCCCGTTACGCAATTGCATCCAACACGTTGCCACGGCCGTCCCCCGTATGCCCCTCGTGACTCTGCACGTCAGCCGGCCCTCTATGCATGTACGGTGCGCCTGTATATCGTTTGACAAAACCCGCAAACACGTCAACGCTCTGTCTCGGCGAGACTGCAATGTGCGACAAGGCAGAAATCGCAGCAAGGGAAAACAAAAACACGAGCCTCCCATACACTTGGTAGTCGTTACACGTCTTCCGCCCCCAACGCCTCGTACCCTCCTCGCGTGCGGATGCCCGTCAGCCGCATCAGGGGCGGGCTCTCGTACATGGCCGTGTAGTCGACCTTGCCGCCGCCCAGCAAGGCGCTGCCGTTCTCTCGCTGGCCGAAAATGGGCGCGGGATCGCACCAAAAGTCCTTGCAGTTGGAGAGGCAGCCCCGGCTGTACGGGTTCTTCTTCTTGCGCCTGTTCTTGCCTGTCGCCGCCGCCCGCCCTGCAATGGTTTCGATGAACGGGTCCACGCCGAGCATTCGGCTCCACTGCTTCAGCATGCCGCCGCTTGCCTTGTTCCTGTTGGCGGGGCCGCCTGCCGCGTCCGTGGCCGAGGCGAGTGGCGGAATGTTAGGGTCCAGCGGCGTGCCTGTCGACGTGAGCGCCCTGGATGTCGGCGGGCTGAGATGGATGCCAGTCATATTCTCATACGTCGTCATGGCGCGGGAAACTTGGAAGAACTGGGTAAAAACGAGCATAGTGACCCAAACCAGCTGCAGCGAGACCCACGCAGCAAGGATGAGTGTGTACGAGTCCGCGTTGAGGAGCTTGCATAGGCTCGCCCCAAGGACGTTGCAGGTCTCGGAGGCATTCGTCGATATCTTGCCATAGTCTGTAGATAAGTTTAGCCTCCGTCCCCAGCCAGTAACGGAGGAGGAGTGACCCTACAGTCATACAACAGCCAGTCGTAGGCAATAATGCCGAGCGTGAGGCAGATGAGATATAGGAAGAATTGGCGGTGGTTGTTGATGCCGACGCAGTTGTACACCCACGGGCAGTGGCTAGGCGGCGTCAGCATGAAAAGTCCAAGACTCGGACGAGGCATGACTCGACTCACTGATCATGCTTGGCCACGCATCGCTGACACCTACGGCAGTGCTTGCTCCGGAGCGGCGTCCTAATCATGCACGTAACGCAAAAGTTGGACTCGTCGTACTTCCACTCCTTAAGCAGCTCGTCGATGGCGGCCCGCTGCTCGGCAATGCCGTTGAGCTTGGGCACAAACCCGGGATCATATCTCATGTTTGCGGCGTAGAAAAAGGTCGTGAGGCAATACAAGACGGCGAAGACAAAGTTGAGGAAGAAGTGGGTATCTGTCACCCCGTTGCCCGACCGGGTTGTGGCTGGCAGGACGACAAAGAGCCAGTTGAGGCCCACGAGAAAGAGCGAGCCTGCAAAGATGCCGGCCATCCAGGGCTTCACCCAAGTCAGCCTCTACCCGAGTTTGTCCGTCTAGAGCCAGACCCACCGTCTTGTGAAAGTGACGCATGTCGGATGGCGCGTACTCCATGACCTGCTTGGCGCACGACATGACGCCGAAGACGATTGCGCCGGCTATAGGAAGGCCGAGGAAGATGGGAAAGCGAGACAGGGCGAAGAGGACGGCTCCAGTGAGGACAAAGGGCCAGAGGAAGAGGAAGCGGGTGGCAAACATTCTCTTGTCCTTTAAGAAATAGCTCGCACCGGGCCAGGGCGGCATGGCCGGGTGGCCGTCGACGTCGTAGCCGCACTCCCTCAGGGCGCGATGCCAGACGGGCTGCGTGTTGAGCTCGCTGGCGGTGACGGCGGGCGTCTTGCCCGTGTCCGTCTTGGCGAAGCGGTCGGCGCCGTACTCGATGAGCTTGAGGACGCAGCCGGGGTTGCCCTTGACGAGGGCCCAGTGCAGGGCGGTGAAGCCGTGCTCGTCGGTGGCGTGGACGCTGGCGCCCCAGCGCAGGAAGACGTCGACGCACTGGGCGAAGCCCTTGTAGGCGGCCCACATGAGCGACGTGTGCCCATAGCTGTCGAGCACGTCGACGGGGATGCCTTGGTGCAGCAGCAGGACAATGAGCAGGACGTTGCCGTTGAAGGTGGAGATGTGCAGCGTGTTGTAGCCCTGGGCGTCGGTGATGAGCGGGTCGGCGCCGTGGTGGAGGAGCAGGTTGACCGTGTAGTAGTGGCAGCGCTGGGCGGCCCATTGCAGCGCCGTGGCGACCGACTCGCCGCCCTTGCGGTTGATCTCGGCGCCGTGTTCGAGGAGGAACTTGCACATGGCATACTGATTGTTAATGGCTGCCCACTGCAGAGGGCGCGTCAGTCGTGCTTTTGCCTGTCGACGGACGGCTCAGGTTCTCTCACGTGCAACGGCGTGATGCCCTCGTCATCGACAAACGTGGCATCGTACTCGCCCGACTCGAACAGCTTCTCCATGGCCCCGACGTCGCCCACCCTGGCCAGCTGCATAATGTCGCTCGCCGGCTCAGCGCCGTCGGCGGCCGGCAGACTGCCCATTTCCATGTCCCTGTTGAGCCTCGGGGCCGCGGCCGCTGCCTTGGTCGAGGGCTGCGTCGGGGCTGCGGCGGCGGAGGGGCCGGAGGCAGCGGGACTGCTGCTTTCTCGGACAGGGCTTCCCATGTACGACCTGGTGCAGGGCGAGAGGGAGGTGGAGGGTCATCAACCGGGCCCCGGAGAGAGAGCGCTGAGGTTCGACGGCGCGGTCAACGGCGCGGTCAACGGCGCGCGGAACAGGGGAAAAATATGGAGACGAGGACGCGGGAAGCTCGCTACCAGCAGAGCGTGACCGCGATGCGGCTGGACCGATTGGAAATGATGCGATGAAGATATGCTCTGGAGGAAGAAGAGCAAGGAAATCGGCGGCTGCTCCATGTCAGGATCCACCGCCTCCAACCGCACTCGGTGTGCTCTCGCTGAGGCTGACCAACGAGGCTGAGCTGCTCCTGCTGCTCACGCGACACCAGATGTCCTGTTACATCTGCAGACTGTGGCGCAGGAACATCGCGTACTCCGTACACGTGGTGTGGCAGAGCCAACCAAGTACGTACCTCTCGGCAGGCTCCGTCCACCCTGGTGCTCCGACGATGCCCAGACGATGCTCGCCTACGAGCGTTTTCAATGCAGCTTCCTGCGCACAGCAACTCACGACACTCTCGCCCTTCGGGCCTCCACTGACCCGAGACCTCGGGCCTGCCGCTGCCGACTGCAGCGCGGCGCCTTGGCCTGGCATCGTCCTCTCGCCGAGTCTGGCCCACGCCCATCGACGCCCTGATCTGCTCCTTGCGCCTCTGCTGCCGCTTCTGGCGACCGTGACAGCATGGCATCCTTTACCGAAATAGTCGAGGCCCTCATGACGCCGTCCCTCCCCGTCGTCTTCTTCGGCCTCCTCGTCATCATCGGCGCCCCCGTCATCCTGCACCTCATCCTCTCCTCGTCGGCCACCTACACCGTCCCGCCCGTCGTCCTGCTCCTCGGGCCCGAAAACGCCGGCAAGACGGCCCTCGCCACCCTGCTCGAGCGCGGCACCAAGCCCGCCCCGACGCACACCTCGCAGGTCACGCAGTCGGTCGAACTCAATGCCTCGACAGACTCCGACCTGAAGCAGTCGTTTCGCAACCACGACGACGCCACCGGCACCTACACAAAGTTCCTCCTCGTCGACACCCCTGGCCACGGCAAGCTGCGCAACGTCGCCATGGGCCGGCTTGGCCGCTCGGCTGAGAAGCTCAAGGCTATCGTCTTCATGGTCGACGCCGCGGCCCTCGGCGAGCAAGAGACGCTGGCCCCAACCGCGACCTACCTCTACGACGTGCTGCTGCACCTGCAGAAACGGGCCGGCGACAAGTCCAAGCCAAGGGCTGCCGTCTCGGTCCTCGTCGCCGCCAATAAGATGGATCTCTTCACGGCCCTCCCCGCCGCCATGGTCAAGTCGCACCTGGAGAATGAGCTGACCAGAATCCGTGCCTCGAAGAGCAAGGGCCTGCTCGACTCGGGCGTCGGCATGGACGACATTGGCTCCGAAGAGCAAGACGCCTGGCTCGGAGAGTATGGCTCCGACAAGTTTTCCTTCCGACAAATGCCAGAATTTGACATTGACGTCGAGGTCCTCGGAGGCAGCGTCATGGCCGACGACGCCGACGTGGACAAGTGGTGGTGGTGGATCGCGCAGAGGGTGTCGTAAGCCGGCACAAAGCCCTGCTACTGATGAAGTGGCTGCAATCACGATGTTTTATGCAGTGCAAGTGCTCATCAGCCTCCATACCCCGATTGCCACCGCTGTCTATGGCCCATATTGTTGGGCTATCTATGCAACTGTACATAGCTGTAGATGTTGAGTCTACTAGCCAACCTTCTAATCCCATAATCCTTGGGTCACCCTCTCTGCGCATCCCCAATAGAACGCTCGGTTGTTGATGTCCAGTCGAATGCTATAGATCAATCACTTGACTAAACGCAATCACAAAATGTTACCAAAAGAACAAGACAAGGAAATACAGTCAGATCATTGCCGCCTGTTAACCATCCAGGTGAGCAGGTCAACCTTGGTCACCACCGCAATGGGCTTGGACAAGGTCTTGGAGTTGCCGTTCTTCTCCGTCACCACGGCAGCGCTGTTCCACTCAAAGAAGCTGCTCAGGGCCGACAGGGGCGTGTCCATTGTGATTTCGACAAACCGTCTCTTGCGCTCGGTCGACGACTGGCCCGTGGCGCCCTGGCGCAGGTCGGTGACAATCTCGTCAAGGCGGCTGAAGTCGAACATGACGTCCTTAACGGGGCTCTGGCCCGTGGCGCGGCCGCGTGAAATGTAGCTGAGCAGGTTGCCCAGCGTCACCAGACCGACCAGTTTGGACGAGGAGAGCACGGGCAGCTGGTCGAAGCCCTTGTCGCGCATCGTCTCAATGGCCTGGGAGCAGGTGGCGTCGGCCGCAACCGAGGTGACGGGCTTCAGACGGAGAGACGCGACCGTAGCGCCTCGGTATGGGTCGGCCGACTTTTCGTGGCCGGCTGTCTGGGCCACGGCGCTGTCGACGGCCTCGACGCCGTTGACGGGCAGTAGGCCGTTGGCGGCCAGCCAGTCGTCGTCGGCAAACTTGGACAGATAGCTTCGGATGCTGTCGGGCAGGATGACGACGACGACATCGCCCTTCTTGAACCCGAAATCCTTGATTGCCTTGAACGCGGCAGCCATGGCGGAGCCGGAGCTGCCACCCACGAGAAGTCCCTCCTCGGAAATGAGGCGCCTGGCGAGGTGGAACGACTCCCGGTCCTCCGTCTTGTACCACTTGTTCACCAGCTGACGGTCGAGGACGTCTGGGACAAAGTCGTATCCGATGCCCTCGACCTGGTAAGACTCGTTGACGTGCTCCTGGTTGAGGGAGTCGGGAAGCGCGAGGATGCTGCCTTGGGGATCGGCGGCGACAATCTTGACGTCCTGGCTGTGCTTCCTGATGCCCCTGGCCAGGCCGGTGATGGTGCCTCCGGTGCCGGCGCCGGCGACGACGGCATCCACCTTGCCACCGGTCTGCTCCCAAATCTCCTCGGCCGTGCCGTACTCGTGGGCGAGGGGGTTGTCCTTGTTGCCGTACTGGTCGAGGATGTGGGCGTTGGGCATCTCCTTTTCGAGGCGGCGAGCGACTCCGATGTGAGACTCGGGGCTGTCCCAGGCGGCCTGGTTGGGGGTGCGGATGATGGTGGCGCCGAGGGCGCGGAGGACCGAGACCTTCTCCGCCGACATCTTTTCCGGCATGGTGATGATGGTCTTGTAGCCTTTGATGGCTCCCACGAGGGCGAGACCGATGCCACTGGGGCTGTCAGCTGGGGTCGAGAGGGGGAGGCCGGCGAGACTCACGTGTTACCACTTGTCGGCTCGATCAGGGTGTCGCCCGGCTTTATCCTGCCGCTCTTCTCGGCCTGCTCGACCATCCTGAGGGCTATCCGGTCCTTGACGCTGCCACCGGCGTTGAATAGCTCGGCCTTGACGTAGACATCGCATTCGACGCCCAGCGACTGCGGCACCTTGTTGAGCCGGACGAGGGGCGTGTTGCCGATGAGCTCCGTGGCGGAGAGGACAGTCGCGGGCTTGCGGCCGGCGTGGGGCAGTACCGAGGTCGCCATGGTGGACGGTTAGCAGCGAGACGTGGGGGACGTGACGACGAGGGTTTTGGAGAGGTTGTTTCTGGCAGGTCAAGGCATGACACGAGTCACTCAATCAAGTGGCGACAAGGTTTTGCGCCCCGCGCCGAAGCCGCGCCTAGCCGCGGGGCTCGGTCGCTTGCGGAAGCCACGACGGGCAGGCGATTAATTATTAGGCGATGCCGGAGGAGGGGGAGCCAATAGAGGCGCGGACCCCCGCGCCTTTAAAGTCGGCGCGGACGTCCGCGCCTGTTATGTAAGCCCAGGCGGAAGATAGTCGGGCCGCCCCCTGACCTGTACTCTCCTTTTCTATTGCATGTGGCAAACTGTCGCACAGAGAGCCAGCCTCATATAGCATACCATCTGCGCTCAGAGTAGTTGTCCGCGGAAGCGATGCTATAATCCGCATATTAAGGTCGAGCGCCTGCATGCGTGGTGCTTGGACCCCATTGAGGCCAAAGCTCAAACGCAGGCTGCATTAAACCTCGCAGGCGGCCTCGGTTACAAGGGTTCTGCACCACGTCCACAAAGCAGGAGTTTCCTTTCCTTTGTGTATAAAGAGCTGCTCACTGTCGTGCACTACAGCTAGCTCTTCAAGATAATTCCAATATGGGGCTTACTGAATTCCCTGACGATTGCCTTCCTCCTGAGGGCCAGTTCGACTCGCGAGAGTCTCTTCTTGCCTCAATTAATGCGTGGGCGGCTCCAAGAGGCTATGCCTTCACCACAGGCAAGTCCACGAGAGACCCGCGGTCCGGAAGACGCACAGTCATATTTGCCTGCGATCGTGGAGGTAGACTTGGGGCTCATACAAGCAAGGACCAGAAGCCAGCTGATCGGCAACGGTCTACAAGCTCCCGTATCACTGGATGCCAGTTTTCCATCAATGCGAAAGAGAGCCTTGATAAGTCGTACTGGTATGTCAGGCATCGCCCAGGCGAGGAGAAGTCGGTCCACAACCATGAGCCCAGTCTGCATATTACAGCACATCCAGCTCATCGTGCCCTCTCCTCAACTGACCAGTCAGCTATTGGGAACCTCTCAAGCGCTGGCATAGCACCAAAGGATATCCGGACATATATGCGCCAGAGCTCTCAGACTGCCCAAGGAGCGACACAGCAAGACATATATAACTGTATCGCACAGCGCAGACGAGAGCTCCTTGCTGGCCAGAGCACAATGCATGCCCTTGCCAATGAGCTTGACAACGAGGGGTTCCAGAGCCGCATACAGCTTGATCATGATGGCCGAGTCACAGCAGTCTTATTCGCACACCCAGCGTCTCTAGGATACCTCAACGCATACCCAGAATTACTACTGCTAGACTGCACATACAAGACGAACAAATATAAGATGCCACTGCTCGATATGATCGGCGTTGATGCCTGTCAGCGGTCATTCTGTATTGCCTTTGCCTTCCTCAGTGGTGAAGACGAAAATGACTATATCTGGGCACTGGACCAACTCCAATCGATATACGAGTTATATGACATTCGCCAGCCATCGGTTATCCTGACAGATCGCTGCCTCGCCTGCATAAACGCAATTTCCCGGTGCTTTCCTGCGTCCAAGTCTCTGCTTTGCATCTGGCATGCGAATAAGGCGGTGCTTAGCTATTGCAAACCAGCTTTCGACCGTGACGATGAGGACTCTAATAGTGATGAGAGGTGGGCTGAGTTCTTTGGGTATTGGCACTCAATCGTGGGCTCGAAAGATGAGGAGACATTTGATCAACAAGTTGAAGAGCTCGAGAAGCGCTTTGTGCCACGATACGTCAAGGAGGTTAGCTACATACGGGAAACCTGGTTGGACCCGTATAAGGAAAAGCTCGTCAAGGCCTGGGTCGATCAATATGCTCACTTCGGCAATGTGGCTACTTCCCGGGTGGAAGGCATCCACGCATTATTGAAGAGTCACCTTAAGAAGTCAACATTAGACCTCTTCGAGGCAACGAGGGCAATCAAGCAAGCTCTCCTCAACCAACTGGCCGAGCTACAAGCCAACCAAGCCAGGCAGCATATACGGATGCCAATTGAGCTCTCTGGAACCGTATATAGCACGGTACGTGGCTGGGTATCACACGAAGCCTTGCGACAGGTTGCAAAGCAACACAAGCGCCTCAACGAGAAAAACACCCCATCTTGCACAGGCAGCTTCACCAAGTCTCGCGGTCTCCCTTGTGCGCACGCATTACAGTCTCTCATAGTGGAAGATCTGCCCCTCCGGCTACAACATTTTCATACACATTGGCGCCTTCGACGGGATAACAAAGAGATTGGTCAGGTCCTCATAGAGCCTCGTCGGCGACTAGACCAACTTGTCGCCGCATCAAGGATATCACAGTCATCCACAGAGCGAGCCAAGTGCATTTGAAGCCATAGAGTCAGATCTACGGCCAAAGGCGCCGCCTACATGCAGCAAATGCCACCAGCAAGGGCACATCATGACATCTCGCAATTGTCCTTTACGCTATAGCGACATACTGCAGCGGGCAGAGGCACGGGCGGCACAGACTGCAGAGACTGCAGCAATTGCAGGGACTGCACAGACTGCACAGACTGTACAGACGGTAGCAGTTCCAGAGACTGCGCAGACTGCAGCAGTCATGGAGAAAATGACAGTTGCAGTCACTACGGTCTCTACAGTCTCTACAGCAATTGCAGAGACTACAGAGACTACAGAGAATCTATTATATGATGACCCACGAGCCATCTATCAGAGGTATGTCAGGAAAGAGACTCTTGGTATAGAGCACAGCCTCGCGGCAGTCTCAAGACCAACCAGGCATACCGAAAGGCAATGGGCTTGCCATTGCGCTACAGCAAGACTGAATATGACTGGTGCCTCGACTGGAAGCAAATGTCAAGGAGCTGCGGCTCGAGGCAATGGACCAAGGTAGAGATGATGGCATACCTTGATTGGGATAAGGCAGAAGAAGAGCGATTAGATGCCCGGGTGGCCGAGGAAATTCAGGTGCAGCCTTTCTCACGAGAAAGAGGTACTGCAGGTATATGGGCTGACTGCGAGAGACTCAGAGGAACAGCAGGCATTTTATTCACATATATAAGTGGTGATGATGCCGGCGATGCGAAAATGTGAGGCAGATCGTGAGATCACCGACATGCACCGGCGTGTAGCACTGTAGCTGGCCAATTTTAAGGCGGTGAACTTCCGCGCACCCTCCTTGCCACGCAACAGCGGCGCCCTTTGCGTCACGTCAATCTACCAAATAGGGAAGGCTATGGGTTCGAACCTAAGGGATATCCTCCTTTGCAATTAATTGAAGCTATATGTATGCAGCAAGCATGCTGTATCAGTGAGGCCGACTGCGAGCGCAGTTGGCGGCGGCCCAAATGGCCTGCCAGGCTTACATAACAGGCGCGGACGTCCGCGCCGACTTTAAAACGCGGGGTCCGCGCCTCTAACGTAATCCACCCCTTCCCGGTCAGACCCCTACTCGGTCAAAAATTCCCACCGACTAGACCCGCACCTTACGCGAGACAAACGGAGCACAATACCACGACATATTTACTCCAAGAGACAAGTAACTCGATTAGGACTATCTATTACACGTACGGGCAGTGTGTTCAAAAGACCTGCACTTACTACACCGTGGTGGTGCACGCTGTCTTGGGACACTCAGCTCTTCTATAAGTCGTTGGTCCCTCCCCTTCTTCCCGCCGTCGCTTGGCCCGCTCATCTTCCTTTGCTCTCTGTTTCTTGACCCGCTCCTCTTCCTTTTCTCGCCGTAGCTTGAACCATTCCTCGTTCTCTTGTCGCCGTCGCTCGGCCCGCTCTTCTCCTTCTTGTCGTCGCTTGGCGCTCCTCGTCCTTCTCTCGCCGGCGCTTAGTCCTCTCCTCTTCTTCCACTCTCCGTCGCTTAACCCGCTCTTCTTCTTCTTCTCTCCGTTGCTTTATCCTAACCGTGCCCTCTGCAACCGATAGAGTACCGCCGTCGCCAATGTATTCACGGCGCTGTTCTTTCTCTGCTTTCGCCGCTGGTTTTCTGACCGAAGTTGCCGGTTTTCGTCGGCAAGGAGGGCGGCGCTGTGCATGGCCATTTGACATCCTTTGATAAGCTGGTTGATAGCTTGTGAAACTGGCGAGTCTGTATTTTGTGGCCGGCGTTGAAGAAGCCTTTCGGCGTGAGTGGTAAGCTGGTTGACGTTATGCGGAGTCTTGGCTGCTTCAGGCTCTTGTTGGGACTTGGAGTATTCTTGTCGCCGTGATCGTTACCGACTTTGTCAACCTGAACTTGTAACCGCGATAATACTCTGTTTGGGTCAAACGGAAAAAGGCCTGTTGCCATAAATCCGCTTCGGATATTCGACGGCGAAAGTGCTTGTCGGCGAGCGTCTAAGTACATGGGAAGGAAGTCCTGCTTGTCGATATGATGGATCCCAGCGAGCATTTTCTCTTGAACCTTTCGGCCGTATATGGTTTTCAACGGCGAAAAGCACCCGACATCAAGAGGCTGCAAGAGATGTGAGGAATGTGCAGGCATTTGGAGTACTACGATGGAATTGGCCGTACAGTACTTGTCAAATTCCGGCGTGACGTGACTGCCGTGCCCGTCGAGAATAAGAAGTCGATGCGTACCAACCGTACGGCGCCGTGTATTCGGATCAAAGACTTCCTTTAACCAATTCAAAGCAAGGTCGTCGGAAGTCCAGCCATTCTCACTAACGGCGATATGCCAGTCATCGGGCACTCTGATTCGTACCAGCTTGCTTGGTGTAACTTGCCCTGGAAGATAACCTTCGCCGGTAAAGCCCAACCTTGGCAGTTGATAGACTCGATCACAGTAACCCATTCTCGATTTCCAGGCTGCGTGAGTACTGCCCGACCTCGCCGGTCAGACCGGGTAAGGACTCTCGCCGTTGCAGCGACTCCATTTGAAACCCCGTCTCATCAAAGTTATAGACATCCTCGTCAAGAATCCCCATTTCTGTTTCGTCGCCGCGACTCGATCGTACCATCCTTGGATCTTTTGGGGGTCTTCGCATTTGGCTCGTTGGTAGTCGTATCGGCGAGAGTACTTTGCCTTGATTTCGCCGTGGCGGCCAACAAACTTCCGCACCCAGTTTTCCCCGACAGGATCTTTGCCTCGCTCGGAAAGCAATAAGTTGGCCATCCGACGAGTGTAAGCCACTGTCGGCGGCATCCTCGCTCGTCCATCGACAAGATCCATTGTACCAGGGCAGTCTCTTCCGTCGCCGTCAACTTCAGGTTGTTCATCTGAGCGTCGCGTCGGCGAATGACACCGCGCAGTCGATCAGATACTGTCGATTGAGGACGTCGTATGCGGCCGCAGCCTTGCGGGTACTTTTGAATTGGCCCTGCTGATAGGCCCTGACGGCGAGCAGGACCCGTTCTTCGCGTGGAACCGATTGGTCTCCCGTTGCCGTCATAGTGCTCGGTTTGTCTTGCCATAAGTGTGGGTCGCCGCGTGGAGACTTTTTCTGACCGAGTAGGGGGTCTGACCGGGAAGGGGGTGGATTACGTTATTGGCTCCCCGGAGGAGGAGCCGGCTTAGTCAACTCGTTGCACCCCGGAGCTCGGCGAAAATGCCGCCGAGCCGGAGCTGTTCCACCGACTACTTGAAATAGCCTCATTTTCATCGTCATCCATGGCATGATGGCTGGGGGCCTGGCTGCAGCCCTATGGGCACCAAGTCGGCATGGACAGTGCCACCAGGAAGCCTTGGCCCGCCTAGATGAGTTAACCTACTGTCAAGTTGGTAAAACTACCGCCACGCCAGGCAAAAGCAGTGGCACCGCCGGTGGAGGGGCTATTGAGTATTGACGCGTATTACAAGTCCATTCTCCGCTCTGGCAGGGACTTATAATACGTGTCAACAACACCGGCACGGGGGATGCCCCTGTTTTGCCTGGTGTGGCGGTAATTTTACCAACTTGACAGACCCTCCAAACAGCGACACGAGCCCTTGGACTTGCGCTGGGCCATGCATCCCGGGCTTCTCCAAACAAGCTTCTGGTTAATTAAACCTCTTCTGCCGTCTTGTGGAAGAAGCCTAAATGCTTATTCGCACTAGACACTTGGCTAAAGGGCTGGCTGCGCAGATACGACAGAGCCCACGCTGTAGTGACGTTGCTATTTAAGATATCCGCCCAATATCAGGATGGCGCTTATATTTCTTCTCCCGTACTCATCTCTTGTGTTCTTTATTCCGCACATTTCCTGTTCACCCCCTTCCTCGTCTTCCGAAGCACCCAAGCGCTCGGTTCCGCCTCATTGCCAACATGAAGCTCATCCGCAACGTCCTTTGGATCGCCCTGCTTGCCGCCGGTGGAGCCGAAAGCCAGAGACCAATCCTCTATCCTGGAGATGTGTCCAAGGAAATCTCTTGGAAAGAACTTACATGGCACATCGAGGCCTTCACCCGCTTTGCGAAAGTCGAGGGAAGCCGCTCTTTGGGAACCTTGGCCTTTCTCCTGTCTGCAGATTACACCGTTCGGGGAATCAACCACTGTGGGACTTTCGCCAAGCTTGAGATCCGGAAACACCATTTTATCTATTCAAATACAAGCAGCATCTCGCTCAAGGGCCCGGACGGCGACCCTGTGAACGTCACTTCGGTGAAATACAACACCCGCACGTGGTCTAAAGGCTTCCGCTCAGCCCTCGCCGCAGCCCCGGTCGATGAAAAGCGCGGATCCGGCTGCTTCGAGGACCAGTGGAAGGGTATCAAGTTGAAGGGGAGAATAGCTCTCATCAAGGGGGGACATTGCAAGATTGCTGACAAAGTTGCGCTGGCCAAGGAGCGTGGAGCCGGAGCCGTCATCTTGTATGACCAGCCTCCTCGCTCGGCGCTCAGTTCCGAAACAGCCGGCAAGATGATCCCTGTTGCTGTCGTCGACGTCAAAGTGGGCCAGAAGTGGAGCGAGCGGCTCGGGGCTGGTGAGAAGCTCAAGGTCAAGCTGAAGGTGGAAGCGACGAACGAGAAGCTCGAGGCGTTCAACATGATCGTCGACACAGCAGTCGGCAGCCCAGACGATGTCATAATGCTTGGCGCTCGCCTTGACAGCACGGCTGGTCCTGGGATCAACGACAATGCCTCTGGCAGTTCTGCACTCATTGAGATATTGCGAAGGATTCACGTCTACAAGGGCCACTCAAGGCGAATTAGATTCGCATTTTGGGGAGGGGAAATGGGGTCGGCACAGTATTTGGCTCAACTCAACGAGACAGAGGCCGCCAAGATCAGGATTTACATGGACATCAACACGATTGGAACTCACAACCCGACTTGGACGGTGTTTAGCGATGACGCCAAGGACAGGTTCGCCAGCAAGGTTCTCTTCAACTATCTCAAGGACACAGGAGGGGTCAACGTCACATACAGGTAGTCTCAACCCGCTTTCCCCTGAACACGTTGGTGGAGACGACGACTAATGAAGACGACTTGGAATCAGCGAGCCCAAGAACAATTCCGACTCGGCGCCTTTCCGAAGGCGGGGAATTCCCTGCACCGGCATTACCACAGGCGCCGATAGTTGCCAGAATTTGGCCTGTGATACTCTAACGAATATCAACATGGAGGCTATATACCTAGCTACACAAGCCGCCACTTTCGGAGCTGCCAGGCTTGCCACCCCGGGACGGACCAAGACGAGCTTGAGCGACTAGAGCAGGAAGAAGTGTCGAAGAGTCTCGCCGATGTACCAGGCATGTAGGGGGCGGATTTGCGCTACGACTGTGGAAGGAACGGGCAGCTGGGGGCGATGACCGGTGGTTGCGATGGTGCGTAAATGGGAACAAGCTCAAGATACCTTAGGTAGTTGATCGAGTTGCCCGTTTCCTGTCAGTTCTCTGTGTTGCGAGCCGCAAGAAACGTCCGTAACGCAGGACACATATGTCAGGTGTAGACACGCCGAAGATTTTGCGGTTTCCTCGGGTTCTTGATTGGGATTGCTTTATATGTCGGATAGCGGGCGCCGCCTGGGATGAACTCAGCTACTGGGGGCGGATAACGCGGCGTCTTGGGTCGATGCTTTGAGGACAGGCTGTCTGCAGACAAAGGCTCAGCGTAGGTGTCGCTATAGTAATAGTACGTGTAGTCGACAGCGGGCACCGCGCGTGCCTTCCGTCGATGGGCCCAGCAGATGCCGCCGGCCAGAAAGACGACGGCGACGGCAGCGATGGATCCCAAGATAGCGCCGAGCTGCAGACTGGACAGACCGGGTTGAGCCCCGTAGATGTGGGCGTCGGGACGCACAGTGCTGGCGGGGGCAAGGGTGACGACGGTGGTGAGGGTCGTGGCTTGGCGGAGAATGGTTTGGGTGACGACGTGCTGTTGCTGACGGGCCGCGAGGGCGAGAAGAGGCGATGGTTTGTCTGTGGGGGAGGACATGGGAGGCTTTACTTGGGGGGGAGATTAGGGGAATGGCGTTTGGCTGGTGCGCGTGGATGGTCTGGCCAGCGAGATTCGCTTGCGGGAGAACAAAGGGCATTGCCCCGATGGGATCGTGTCGAGCAGACGCTCTTGATGATATAAGTCAAATGGTGCTCAATGAGTCGTGACAGCCGCCTCTCGGACACCATGCAGGCTGGTGAGGGGAACCAAGCTTGACGAAGCGCACCCCTCTCTCCAGACCCAGACGCCGTTGGTTGCGCAACACAAGGCGTGAGAGCAGACTTGGTCGAGATGGCATCCTTTGGGAAGAATGTGTCATGTGCGGCTTCCGGAGCCGCACCCGCTGCGTGGTCACATGCGAGTGTGGTGGTGGGCCAATGGTGGCGGGAGCTGGAGATGCAGTTGGCTCAAGTCGCATCCAACGCCTCACGCTAGCTTCCGCTGCCTATCCAGTCGAGCTAGCCATGACGGCCCGCGGCAGAGGGTGTGTTGCTGCCTTTCAAGGCTGCCGCGTGGGTATCCAGTCCAGAGCGGTTCTTGTTGCTTCCGCCTAGAGACAACGTGGGAGGTGGTTGAAGGAGCCAGAGCACACTGGCGGCAACAGCGGCACCGGTATTTATGGAGGGACATGACGGCGGACAAGCCGAGTCTCCGAGGGCCATGGATTCTCTCCATCCGTCGGCCTCACCCCGAGTGCTGGCGCCATGATTTATCAATGCGTCCCACGTCCACCAAGAGCGTCGCCGTCACGGTCGTCGTCACCGCCCGCGACGACCTCCCTCGTCTTTCCCCATGAAATGTCGTCCGATTTGATGAGGGAATAAACCAAGACGATGATGTTCATGAATGGTGACGTGAAAAGGTGGAGGACGAAGCCGACCATGTATTGGAAACGCTCGAGGTTGTTGCGCGGAAGCCAGAGGACGATCAAGAACGAATAGACCTGCGGTGAGTTCGTTAGCCGGCCTGAGTATACTGGACGTGTACAGACGATGGATGCAGCCTCTCATCAACATGACATGAGGCCTGAACTTCTGAAGAGGAACTGGAGGCATCGAGGATCCTCGGGGTGGAAGATGAGTCAGCCAAGTAGGCGCCCTTAGTCATCACCACCCCATTCCGGGGAGCCAATAGAGGCGCGGACCCCCGCGCCTTTAAAGTCGGCGCGGACGTCCGGGAGCCAATAGAGGCGCGGACCCCCGCGCCTTTAAAGTCGGCGCGGACGTCCGCGCCTGTTATGTAAGCCCAGGCGGAAGATAGTCGGGCCGCCCCCTGACCTGTACTCTCCTTTTCTATTGCATGTGGCAAACTGTCGCACAGAGAGCCAGCCTCATATAGCATACCATCTGCGCTCAGAGTAGTTGTCCGCGGAAGCGATGCTATAATCCGCATATTAAGGTCGAGCGCCTGCATGCGTGGTGCTTGGACCCCATTGAGGCCAAAGCTCAAACGCAGGCTGCATTAAACCTCGCAGGCGGCCTCGGTTACAAGGGTTCTGCACCACGTCCACAAAGCAGGAGTTTCCTTTCCTTTGTGTATAAAGAGCTGCTCACTGTCGTGCACTACAGCTAGCTCTTCAAGATAATTCCAATATGGGGCTTACTGAATTCCCTGACGATTGCCTTCCTCCTGAGGGCCAGTTCGACTCGCGAGAGTCTCTTCTTGCCTCAATTAATGCGTGGGCGGCTCCAAGAGGCTATGCCTTCACCACAGGCAAGTCCACGAGAGACCCGCGGTCCGGAAGACGCACAGTCATATTTGCCTGCGATCGTGGAGGTAGACTTGGGGCTCATACAAGCAAGGACCAGAAGCCAGCTGATCGGCAACGGTCTACAAGCTCCCGTATCACTGGATGCCAGTTTTCCATCAATGCGAAAGAGAGCCTTGATAAGTCGTACTGGTATGTCAGGCATCGCCCAGGCGAGGAGAAGTCGGTCCACAACCATGAGCCCAGTCTGCATATTACAGCACATCCAGCTCATCGTGCCCTCTCCTCAACTGACCAGTCAGCTATTGGGAACCTCTCAAGCGCTGGCATAGCACCAAAGGATATCCGGACATATATGCGCCAGAGCTCTCAGACTGCCCAAGGAGCGACACAGCAAGACATATATAACTGTATCGCACAGCGCAGACGAGAGCTCCTTGCTGGCCAGAGCACAATGCATGCCCTTGCCAATGAGCTTGACAACGAGGGGTTCCAGAGCCGCATACAGCTTGATCATGATGGCCGAGTCACAGCAGTCTTATTCGCACACCCAGCGTCTCTAGGATACCTCAACGCATACCCAGAATTACTACTGCTAGACTGCACATACAAGACGAACAAATATAAGATGCCACTGCTCGATATGATCGGCGTTGATGCCTGTCAGCGGTCATTCTGTATTGCCTTTGCCTTCCTCAGTGGTGAAGACGAAAATGACTATATCTGGGCACTGGACCAACTCCAATCGATATACGAGTTATATGACATTCGCCAGCCATCGGTTATCCTGACAGATCGCTGCCTCGCCTGCATAAACGCAATTTCCCGGTGCTTTCCTGCGTCCAAGTCTCTGCTTTGCATCTGGCATGCGAATAAGGCGGTGCTTAGCTATTGCAAACCAGCTTTCGACCGTGACGATGAGGACTCTAATAGTGATGAGAGGTGGGCTGAGTTCTTTGGGTATTGGCACTCAATCGTGGGCTCGAAAGATGAGGAGACATTTGATCAACAAGTTGAAGAGCTCGAGAAGCGCTTTGTGCCACGATACGTCAAGGAGGTTAGCTACATACGGAAACCTGGTTGGACCCGTATAAGGAAAAGCTCGTCAAGGCCTGGGTCGATCAATATGCTCACTTCGGCAATGTGGCTACTTCCCGGGTGGAAGGCATCCACGCATTATTGAAGAGTCACCTTAAGAAGTCAACATTAGACCTCTTCGAGGCAACGAGGGCAATCAAGCAAGCTCTCCTCAACCAACTGGCCGAGCTACAAGCCAACCAAGCCAGGCAGCATATACGGATGCCAATTGAGCTCTCTGGAACCGTATATAGCACGGTACGTGGCTGGGTATCACACGAAGCCTTGCGACAGGTTGCAAAGCAACACAAGCGCCTCAACGAGAAAAACACCCCATCTTGCACAGGCAGCTTCACCAAGTCTCGCGGTCTCCCTTGTGCGCACGCATTACAGTCTCTCATAGTGGAAGATCTGCCCTCCGGCTACAACATTTTCATACACATTGGCGCCTTCGACGGGATAACAAAGAGATTGGTCAGGTCCTCATAGAGCCTCGTCGGCGACTAGACCAACTTGTCGCCGCATCAAGGATATCACAGTCATCCACACAGCGCGAGCCAAGTGCATTTGAAGCCATAGAGTCAGATCTACGGCCAAAGGCGCCGCCTACATGCAGCAAATGCCACCAGCAAGGGCACATCATGACATCTCGCAATTGTCCTTTACGCTATAGCGACATACTGCAGCGGGCAGAGGCACGGGCGGCACAGACTGCAGAGACTGCAGCAATTGCAGGGACTGCACAGACTGCACAGACTGTACAGACGGTAGCAGTTCCAGAGACTGCGCAGACTGCAGCAGTCATGGAGAAAATGACAGTTGCAGTCACTACGGTCTCTACAGTCTCTACAGCAATTGCAGAGACTACAGAGACTACAGAGAATCTATTATATGATGACCCACGAGCCATCTATCAGAGGTATGTCAGGAAAGAGACTCTTGGTATAGAGCACAGCCTCGCGGCAGTCTCAAGACCAACCAGGCATACCGAAAGGCAATGGGCTTGCCATTGCGCTACAGCAAGACTGAATATGACTGGTGCCTCGACTGGAAGCAAATGTCAAGGAGCTGCGGCTCGAGGCAATGGACCAAGGTAGAGATGATGGCATACCTTGATTGGGATAAGGCAGAAGAAGAGCGATTAGATGCCCGGGTGGCCGAGGAAATTCAGGTGCAGCCTTTCTCACGAGAAAGAGGTACTGCAGGTATATGGGCTGACTGCGAGAGAGACTCAGAGGAACAGCAGGCATTTTATTCACATATATAAGTGGTGATGATGCCGGCGATGCGAAAATGTGAGGCAGATCGTGAGATCACCGACATGCACCGGCGTGTAGCACTGTAGCTGGCCAATTTTAAGGCGGTGAACTTCCCGCGCACCCTCCTTGCCACGCAACAGCGGCGCCCTTTGCGTCACGTCAATCTACCAAATAGGGAAGGCTATGGGTTCGAACCCTAAGGGATATCCTCCTTTGCAATTAATTGAAGCTATATGTATGCAGCAAGCATGCTGTATCGGTGAGGCCGACTGCGAGCGCAGTTGGCGGCGGCCCAAATGGCCTGCCAGGCTTACATAACAGGCGCGGACGTCCGCGCCGACTTTAAAGGCGCGGGGGTCCGCGCCTCTATTGGCTCCCCCCATTCCGGGAGCCTCAACTTCATCCCACATCATCACAACATCTCTTCAATCAAGCCTGAACGACTCACGTATCGAAGCAGCAACACGCTGATGAGTCCCAGAAAGAGGCCTTCGCGGAACAGCTCTCGGCCTCGACGGACCACATGCACGACGAGCTGGGCCACGGCCGCCATGATAAAAGGGGTAATGGCCCACGTGGTCACGGCAACCAAGCTCTGAATCCTCTCCACGAGAATGATGCCGGGCCGGAAGATCATGACCCACTCGTTGCTGACGCTCCCAAGGGCCCACCTCTTCCGCTGCTACAGAAAGACGCGCCAGCTCTGCGGCACAACGGTAAAGGCCTTTGCCCCCAGAGCCTGCGCCGTCTGCCGGTCGGGGTGGAGGCTGAAGATGAGGGACGCGTGGATGCTGTCTTCCGAGTAACTGCCCATGATCTGCTTCGTGAGGACGTCGTTGGGCTTGGGACAGTAGCCGAAGCGCTCGCGAAGCACGGCATCGCCAAACGTCGCCTCCTGGACTCGCAGGAGCTGGCAACAGCCGGGCAGGCAGTTGACCTTGCCTGTGATGCGCGACTGGAACATGCGCCGCAACCCCTGAGTCTGCGAGTACTCCACCGATTGGTACAGCGACCAGAGCCCAAAGTTTCTCCCGGCGTAGTCGACGCAAACATGGCCGCACACCCCGACGAGCTGCGGCCGCCGTCGGATGGCCCGCATCATCTCGGCCACACAGTGCTCATCGAACACGGTGTCGGCGTCCATGCCTACCAGGTAGTCGACCTGGTCCACGCCATTCTGCACCAGTGTCTGGCAAACGTAGTCGAAGAGCTCGTTGCTGAACATGGTGACGGCGTTTTGGGTCCTCTGCCTAAAGTGAAAGAGCAGTGAACGCGCAGCGCAAAGCGAATCTCGCTTCCCCTGGCGATATCTCTTGGCCATCAGGATATACGGCACACCCTTGTATCGACCCGTCTGTGTCTTGACCGGCATCAAGAGTCCGTCCCGCGCTCGGTATCCGTTTTCGAACATTTTTTCTTCGCCGCGCTCTAGGACGTCTTCCGTCAGGTAAGCCTGAGTTGTCTTGTCCATGCCCGGCCCCCGTACGTTACCGTCGACAACGACGAGTATGACCCTTGGATGAATATCGAGACCATTTTGTGCGACGAGTGAGTCCAGAGATCTCGTCAGCTCCTCGCGCGTTTCATTGTAACACGGGAGAAGCAGCACCAGTTTCTCCGGGGCCGTCGGTCGTGCTCCCGCCCCCCTCCTCTCCCGCCGGCGCCGGCAAACGCGCAGGGTCCTCGTGAATAGAAAGTGGCCCGCGATGCAGACAATCATGAAGGCCTGCAGCGCCGTGTTGGTGCTGAGGAGGACGACGGAGAGGTAGTAGACCTGCCAGAAGCGCAGGGAGACGTATATTAGGGCTCCGTTTAACAGCGCCAGCCCGACGATGAGGCTCCATTTCTGGAGGCGAAGCAGGCCCTTGGACACGCGCTCCAGCTCCTCGTCGGCATTCCACCGCAACTTGGCCTCTTCCTGCGAGAGGGATGAGGAAAACGACAGGGTCGAGTCGGCCCCTGCGGACGGCCACGAGACGTTGGAGAGGGGAGTGTGTGATCGGGGTTGCAGGCTACTGTTGCTTCTGCGTCCAAGCGACTGCAGCAGTACAGACAGGCATGGAGCCTTGTCAACCGCTGACCTCGATTGTACCGTCAAGTTTGTGGCTGGGCCTACATACCGAGTCCCGAGAGCCGGGATACGTGGCGGATCTCAGCTTTCCGAGAGAGACTGGCGGTGGCAAATGCTCTCGCGGATTATCTTTCTCTGGTTGATTGTCTCTCTCCAGCGGCCTGTCCGTTTCCAACGGTGTCGACGGTGCGAGAGGAACGTCCTTTGTCTTGGGCGACTTGGTGAGCTTGGCCATGATGAGTTGTATATATAGTCTAGGGTTGATGTCTAATTCGAAAAAAATAGCAAACGAACAAGAACAGAAGCGGCTGAGTTTTAATAGTGTGTGTTATCAACGAAAGATTACTGCGTGAGGGACGGAGCAGAAAGCGAGGGACGAGGAAGCAAGTGTCAAGCTTCAAACGAGCGATGTCCAGACATGCATGCCCAGATCGAATGGCACGAAAGACAAGTGATGATCCAAAGGGCGAGGTCTTAAAGCTTGGAATAGTCCCATTGCTCCAGTTGAATGGCCTCAGTTGGCTACACGACATGAATCTATCCAAGTGCATGTAATGGGAAAGCCTAGTCATCCTTCGCGCCGTTGTGGACGGATACACTGAGCCCATTACGAAACGATATGCTCTTTTTGGCCCCCTTCCCGGAGCCCTCTATGCACTGTATCGGGTCTTGAAGCCACGGCGGTGAGAGGTGCGCTTGACCAAGCCCCTGATATGAGCGGCGGCATATTCGAGGGAGTAGCATGCGAAGAGGCTGCAGCTTCGGGTGAGTGTCTATCAACCGCCTTGGAGCGATGGCTGGAAGTGAGGGAGAGTCTCTGGTCGGAACCCGGATGGATACGACGTGACGCAAGTGAATCGGAAGAGCATCTGTTTACCTGGAAGGCGGAATGACTTTGTTAACTGTGGCTACGCAGCTTTCGGAACGAATCTCGGGAGGACGACATGGCCCGGTCGACCTTGGTTTCCGGGCTTGCTGCAAGGAGGGCTGGCACAGGCTTGACTGGCCGGGCGAGGCCGTAGAAAGCTCCGCACATGATCCATTCACTTATTGGTGCGTCATCGCGGGGAACGAAGAAGTTGTCGTGGGCCTTCGTGTCGTGATGGCGTCGACGAACTGGGCTCTTGCCACCCGGCTGCGTTGCAGTCGTTACACGGTTCGTATCATGCACGAAATAGCACCTGAAGGCTGCTGTTGGTGGCGAATAGGGTGCAACGAGAACATGCAAGCCGTGGTATCCCGATGAATGCTGCGACTTTGGTGTTTTGGTTCATACAAAGGCGAGGAGGATGCGCTGAGAATACGACAATATCTGCATGATTCAAGTCACCACTGCATAGAGTGGTATCTGTGCCTTTTGTCTCACGTTTCAGTTAAAGCTATGGATACAAGACGGAAATCTGTGCCATGCTCCAGAGATGCATGATATCTGCTGCAACCGGGGCCGAGGCCGTGTAAGACAGGTCAAATCCCACAAGCACCTTTTGCGCAGACCCGCGGCGCAAGTCTGCAGATGCTCGCTCAGCGATACGAAGGACTCTACATATCAACATGCAAGTACCGCAGCCGGCAGTGCCGTGTCTCTGGCTCCAACTCTAGTGACTTACACGCCGCTCTTGAGCCTTTCGGAACCGCAACCTGTCGGGACGGTGAGCTCCGTACATTCTGCACGGCGCCGGCAGCTTGTTGAACCCAAGAACGCTGCACCTCGACCGTTCTGGCCAAGGCATCGCTCGCATGTGCAAGCACCGCCGTGACACAGCAGGCCTGCGGGTGAGACATGGTGCACAAGACGTCGGCGTGATCCGGGCTGCTTGCGGTCCTGTGCCACGGGTGTTCCGGCCAAGACGGGGAGACGAAAACGGAGCGCGTCCACGAGCTTAACCGGCTCAGACTGTACCAGGTAATTACTGTGCAAAGCTCCATTATCCAATATCCTCGACGTGCTCGTAGGCCTGCCCCGGAATGAGGGAGAAAACAAAGTTCCGACCAATGCTTCGCTCGACTTGCACACATCCACCATCGTCTGCGGTCCGTAACCAGTCAATGAGAGCTTCCGCATTCCCATTCGCCAAACTTTCCTTGCTCCTTGGATACGACCCCCTCACGCCTTGCGGTACCAGTTCTCTTTCGGATCGCCAAGACACTCGCCCACCGTCAGGAGCTCGTAGCCCCGGTTCCGCGCCTCGTTGACCATGTATGCCGTGAGGTTGGCCACGCTCTGATAGTGCACGTCGTGCGCCAGCACAATGTACCCCTGGGCATTCGCGTCCCGGCCCACGGCGTCGCTGAACCTGGCCCTGGAGTTGGCGATGAGGGCCGGGTCGTCGTTTTCGTAGTCCTTGGTGTCGCTGTTCGCCGAGATTATATGGTATCCGTATTCCTCAAGAAAGGCGCGGCATGAGCTGCCGCAGTCCAGATACGGCGGCCGAAAGTACGTCGGGAAGAAGCCGAGGATGTTTCGAAAAGCCATTTCGTTGAACATGACTTCCGTCCTGCGAACCGCCGGGCCGAGGTCGCGGTTCTCGTGCCGCTCAAACATGAGCAGCGCGTCCAAAGACCGGTGAGTCCACGTGTGGCTTCCCAGCTGGTGCCCTGCGCCGTGCATTCGCCTCAGCACTTGGGGATAGCCGCTGCTCTCCTCGTCAATGTGGCCCTTTCCGTTTCCATTTCCCGTGATGAAGAAGGTGGCCTTGACTTTGAGCTCGTCCAAGAGATCGAGCAGCTGGCTGGTGTATTCCCCCGGGCCATCGTCATAGGTGAGGGCCATGGTCCCCGGCCTGCACTGGTCGATGATGGCGCCATACGGGACGTTGCCGATCAAGGGCCGAGGGATCCTGTCCGTGTCTGCCCCCTTTGGAGCAAAGCTAGCATCACTCAGCTGCCTGCCCCTCCTTCTCTGCGTAAACTCGGTGGTCCCGGCTCAGAGGCTTTCGGTTACTTACAAGGTATCGCAAGAATCGCTATACTCGAGCTGGCATTGTGATCCTTTGCAGTAGTCTTTCGAGTCGCCGCAATAGCCCGCCTCGGAGCAGCATTTATGAGGAGGGCAGCGTCCCGGGCTTACGCTGTCGAGGCCGCACCGATTGTACGGATCTGGAGGCGTCTCTCCATCTTGGAGAGGCACGGGTGGCTGGATCCCGACAACGACCGTGGATACGGAGGAGAGGAGGGAGACGTATGTGAGTCTCTGGGCGAGTCCCAACCTCATGGTGACGCTGAGCGATTCACTCTCTGATGGCTTTGCCGGCGAGGGACCAAAGAATCGTTGTAAAAGGGGGCCAGGCACTCAACTCGAACGGTGGCGACGAGAGAGAGAGCCTCGCCGAGGAGACAGTAGCAAAGTGTATTCTGTATTAACCTTGAAAATGGCCGCGGGACAATTTGCCGTTCCCTTTGGCGTGGAAAAGTGTCCTCAGCCGGTCTTTAGGTTTCCGCCATCCGCCTTGAAGCCCCTCATGGCGACCCGATGACCACACCCAATGCAGTGCGCGGGATTTATCTCCAGGCGAAACTTGGTCGAATGGTCGAGTAGCCTCTGCGGCCCTGAGGCGGACATGCATGTGCCGAGCCGCTGCGATGTGATGTGACGTGATCAGAACCGACAGAGCATGGATGAGTGTTTCCATCCTGATGGGCGAATGCTGCCTCAAAGTTTCAACCTCAACTTCAACGAGAGCTCCCAAGCGCCGCTCTACACATTGACGGCATGGCGGAGACCTGCCACGGTCGGGGGAAGCCTTCGTCAAGCCCGCTGGCCTCAACACTCCAATCCCCGTACGAAACCGTCGTGGAGGCCTCAAGAAGGTTCACGGCCAAACGATGCTGTTCGCGTCGTACAGCAGCTTTTATTGGACGCCACCTTACCGATCGCGCGATGGCTGACGCCGCCGTGCCGTATTCAGGCCTGAAGGCACTCGGCAGGGGCATGCCTCAGCCGGCTTGGACCCCAAGCGCCTCTTGACTGGGATCTCGTGGCAGTTGGGCCCAGATCCCGATATGGTGCGACTCCATGTACGGCCTGCTCGAATCGGGCCCTGCCTCTCCGCACAACCGTTATCGTATGTACATCTAGCCCGCATACACGAGGCGGAACAACAGGCAGTGACGCGAGTCGATACTGTTCCATCTTGTTTGCATGAATCGTGCTGCATCCCCACAAGCACCACATGGTCCCCAGCATCCAGCTTGTGGGAGCTGGAGAGCCCAAACGACAACATGGATGCTCGATCCAAATCACGGCATTCTGGCACCGCAGTAGCGGCAGCCTGCATCGCAACCATGGTCAAAGGGCGTCGAGCTTGGTGGCTTGCCCTCGGCTGCCAGCTCTGCCAAGGACCAGTCGTTACAATGCCCGAGTTGACGGCGCAACTTGGCACGATCTTGTTCGCGGCCTCACAGCCATTGCTCCAAAGCTGGCCGCTGGCGAAAGCAAGTAGACGTAGACGTACAAAGATGACTTGTCCTCCGGTAGAATCGATCCGGCACTTGAATGGCCAGATGTCTCCTTAGTTGACGCTTGGGTGTCTCATACGATCAGTAGGATAATAAACCGGCATCACCATGCTTCCTCTTTTCAGGCAAAGCAACTTGTCGCCATGGATAGCGGTCCAAGACGGAGGCCAGAGACACAAGCCACGGCGCTTCCAGGACCGTGGCTACTACGACCTCACGCCCCCGAGCGAAGTTCCGGAACCAGAGGCCGAGCCTGACAACAGGAGCGCCACGACTTCGACTTGTTCAGAAGGCCGTCTCTCATCGTCCCTCCCACCTCCTGAACCTCTGGTTGCGGTCATCGGCGTTGGCTATGTCGGCGAGCACCTGGCCAGGGTCTTTTCCAAGTGTCTCCACGTGCTCGGGTACGACGTATCGGAAACGCGAGTCAAGGAGCTTCGACGAAGCTTTGAGCACTGCGAGAGGGCCAGATTCACGAGCTCGGCCCGGGACCTTGCGGCAGCGACGCACTTTCTCGTCTCGGTCCCGACGCTGCTGCTCCCGGACAAGGCCATTAACTCGTCGTTTCTGCGCAGCGCCCTGACGGCCGTGGGCAAGTACGCGCGCCGGGGCTCCGTCGTCGTCATCGAGAGCTCGGTAGCCGTCGGGATGACGCGTGCGTTTCTCGGCCCGCTCGCGAGGGAAAAGGCCTTGTTTGCGGGCATGTCTCCGGAGCGCGTAGACCCGGGCCGGACCGAGCCGGCGGCCCAGGCGATTCCCAAGCTGGTGTCGGGGCTCGACGACGTCGTTCCAGGGTCGCTCGAGGCGATCCGAGCGCTCTACTCGCGCGTCTTTGACCGGGTTGTGGCCGTGTCCAAGCCCGAGGTGGCCGAGCTCACAAAGCTGTACGAAAACTGCCAGCGGCTCCTATGCATAGCTTTCGCAAACGAAATGGCCGACGCGGCGCGCCCCCACGGCATCGACCCGTTCGAGGTATGCGAGGCGGCGGCAACCAAGCCCTTTGGCTACATGCCGCTCTACCCGGGCCTGGGCGTCGGCGGCCACTGCATCCCCGTCAACCCTCACTACCTGTTTGCCAACAGCGACGACTTTCCGCTGCTGAGGGCGGCCACGGAGCGCATGAGGCACCGGCCGGCCGCCGTCGCGCAGCGGGCCGTCGACAGGCTGCTCGCATCTGGACGCCAGCAAGCTCGGGTTCTGATTGTCGGCATGGGGTTCAAGCGCGGGCAGGCAAACCTTGCCAACTCGCCGAGCCTCGATCTGGCCAGGGAATTGGTGCTCTCGGGCCTCGAAGTCATGTGGATTGATCCGATGGTCCAACAGGAGGCAGTCCCCCAGATTCAGCGCCTGGACATGAGCACCTGGGACGCGGGCTCACTGGAGCGGCGGTTCGAGCTCATCGTGGTAGCTTTTCGGCCGCCTGGCTTGGAGCTTGGCGTCCTCGACGAGCTTCGGGGCGTCGAGGTGGAGATGTGGTGTGCGTGATGGAAAATGGCTATATTCCATGCCGCATCGACAATGCTTTGTCTGGCCCGACGGTTGTTCGACGTCGGAGGGCTGTCATGTAAATGCCGTGCCGTTTATAGTCGAGTCTGGGAATAGTTGGCCCCCTTTTCATAGGCAAGTAACGTATTTTAAAGAATAGGAATACAAGTAATAGGAGGTACTTAACTAAACACCCCCTTTCACTTATTAAACTGTCTAATATACCTAAATTAGGCTAGTATAGTTAATTAGTTGAGCTATGAGATGCAGGTTTGAAGACACATGGCGGTGTTTTCCCCATGGGTTCCCATCCTGAGACTGAAGACACCCTCTTCGTTTTCCAATGCATGAGAATGTGTTCGAGGGATGGGGGTATCGTCGCTAACGATGAGAAACTCCTCTTAAAGCAGGCAAGGCTCATCCATGGCAAGCTTGCAAATGGAAGGTCATCGGTGCGTTCTCTAAACTATCGTATGTAAGAATCCACGCGTTGCTTTAGACTTATTTCGGCTAATTCAATATAAAAAGATTCAAAGCCCTCTTTCTATCTTTACCTCCCTATTATAGAGGACGCTAGTTTATAAGCCCATTGATATAGTTTTATATATCAAGTTGCCCCTGAAGTACCTCCTTGTCGTATAAATGCATAATTAATATCTCAAAGGCGAAGCTGTTTTATTATTAGCTAAACCCATAAGAATAGTCTGGTCGTCTGTCCTCTAAGACTGGCCGTTCTATGATACCAAGACTCTAATATCTACCTTGCTAAATATACTCCGCCATAACTCACTGTCAGAGCACAGAAGAGACTTATAATACACGATAATAACGCCCCCAATGGGGGTGTCCCAATTTTGCCTGTTGTAGCGGTATTTTGGCAGCTTGAAGCTTACCTCGTAGCTTAGTACATCATTCTGCTTCAAGCATCATTTGTCAAACAGGCAGCAGCTTCCAACACTTTTCGAATTTATCATCACATTCTCTTATAGCTCGTAACAAGTGACTGATGTCTCACTCATGCTGATGCATTTCTTCCCATGCCACATGCCGCCACCCGTACAAGTGTACACCCTCACGCCTCCCATGCTCATCCCGGGCCCCAGCTACCGCGCTGGTCCATCAAGGCGCCGCCCTCAGCTCGCGGCAAAGTGCAGCCTTACGTTGACCCCGTCCGCCGGGCAGTTCGTCAGCGTCAGCCTGTGCTTGACGGGGCCTATCCTCGACCCGTCCATGGCGTCGATCCTCTGCATCAGCCGGATGACGACGTAGGCAATCTCCGTCAGGGCAAACTGTTGCCCGATGCAGATCCGAGGCCCCCCGTTGAACGGCAGGTAGTCCCAGCCCGGCCGCCGGTCCTGCCACCGCTCTGGCCGGAAGACATGCGCATCCGGGCCCCAGAGGTCTTTTCGTCGGTGCATCACATGGACCGAGTAGGCGACGTCCTGTCCCTTCTGGACGTAGACGGGGTCCAGGCCGTCGGGTCCGCCGCCCGTGGGGAGGCACGTGTCTGTCTCTGCCGTCCGCACATTGACGCTGACAGCCGGGTAAAGCCTTAGGCACTCGTTGATACACCACTGCAGATACTGGCAGCTCTTCATCCGCTCAAAGGAGATGTCCTTGGGGTTGGAGTAGGTGCCGAACTCATCGACGATGACCCCTCTTAGCCGCTGGAAGATGTGCTGGTATTGGGCATCGGCCATTGTGTAGAAAAGCCAGCTCAACGTGGAAGCCGTCGTGTCTCGGCCGGCGAGCAGGATGTTGAGGAGTTGGGATCGCAGCTCCTCCGGATCTTGAGTCTCGCGCGCAAGCGCATACAGGAAGACATAGTCTCCCTTTTCCGACCCCTGCCTCTTCTCGCCACTCCCCTGCACCATGGCAATCTCGACAAAGTGATTGACAAAAGTATGGACCCTGGCGACTTGCTTCTTAAACGCGGGCGTGTGCACCAGCCAGTACTGCGAGCCCAGCCGCGCACCAAACGACAGCGTAAACTGCGAGCTGTCAAAGGCCTGCGCGAAGCTGACGTTGCCCTTGGCCGCGGGGCCCTGGGCGCCGTGCTCGAGCTGGCTATTTACACTCTCGCCAAAGAGGAACTCGGTGGCCGAGTCGAGCGTGAGGCGGAAGAAGAGCTCTTGCAAGTCCAGCAGGGTTGTCCAGCCGTCTCGGAGCAGGTGGCGCTCCAGCACCGTCATCAGAGCCTTGACGTGGGCCTCCTCGAGGTCCAGATCGCTGACCTGGCTTCTCACAAACTGAGGTCGGAGCAGTGCTCTCGAGTGCTGCCATTGCTCCCCGTTGGCGGCGAACTGTGTCAGGGTTAGTTACGTATTAGGCCACGGATTTTGAGCGCAGATGCGGCTGAGGGTTCAATGTGAGAGCAAGCAACTTACAATTCCATTCCCGAGCAGGGGTCGAAAGTTTTCCGTCCTGTTGACCCCGAGCTTGAAGTCTTTGAATTTGGTAGCCAAGATGGCCTGGACATTCCTGGGATCCAGCGTGAAGATGGAATCTTGGAAAAAGGGCGTTCTCATGGTAACAGTCCCGACTGGCCGCCCGACATGCTGCTGAAGGGCTTCCATCTGCTCCTCGACAAAGTCGGGAAATCGATGCTTGCGAGACGCCCGGATCCCATAGAACACCCCCAAAAGCCCCGTGGGCTCGGAGGAGAAGCCCCGGACGGGCGGCTTGCAGCCGAGCTCACGTGCACGGGCGGCATGGCGGAGGGCGTCGCGGACGCGGCTGTAGATGAGGGAGGCGGCGGCGGCTGCCAGCGCGATGGCGAATATGGCTGACAGCTGCATCTCGGCGTCTCCAGATGGCTGGACGCTGGCTAAGAACAAGACGAGCAAGGATGGCGGCGATGACGAAATGCGTCGCTGCAGGTCTTATGCAGGTAGTTTTATAGAGTAGGTGGCAATCAATCAGGCCATGATCCGGGATGCAGGCTATATATGCATGCGGAGTATATCTATACAGACATGAACGGAGAGACTGCCGGGCCCGGTGCCGCCCGACCGGGACGGAACGTTTCACAACCACCCCGGCTCCGTCGGGCCAACTGTGCCACCCCGGCCCCATCCCGCTCAGACTGCTCCACAGACGATAGACCCCTGTTTCTGCAGCCGCAGTGCGTAATGACCCCGACTTCGGCTTCGAGCGGCGAGCGGCCGCGGGTGCGGAGAAACAAGCATGGAAGCAACGGCCTTCAGTTCGGTTCTATCCGCCCCCTTCGACCTTGACCATGTGCTTCAATGACAGGATGCCTTCCGTCCCCTCGGCGCTACTGATTGAAACGTGGCATCTCAAACAAATATTCGGGGTCTGCGCAATGGTCAGCACGGCTCTACTTCTTGAGAAAAAAAAAGTGTCGTTACCCTTGCCGTTCGCCGCAATGTACTCGGCAACCTCCTTCGTCTGTGCATCGACCCGGCCCAACAAATCGTCGAGGTTGGCCCTCACTCCATGGCTGTGCTTGGCCGCGGCCCTGAGCGCTCTCCTCGAGACGTCGAACCGGCTGACGCGGTTGACGAGCATCATGTCGAGCGGCGTCGTCGTGCTGCCCTCCTCCTTGTACCCCTCGACCGTCATGCGCTCCAGGGCCGGGCGCCCAAACAGGATGCCCTGCAGCTCCGTCGCGTAGCCGTGGTAGTTGAAGCACACGGGGCGGTCACTGGTAAAGAGGGCGTCAAAGTCGTCGCCCGTCAGCGCGTGAGGGTGGCGCGACTCGGCCGCGAGGACGAGGAGATCTGTCACGTTGACGACGCGGACGCGAAGACTTGGCATCAGCTCTCGCAGCAGCTCGGCCGCCTTGACCACCTCAAACGTCACCTCGACGCCGATGCCGACCAGCACCACGTCCGGGTCCGCCGCCGCCTCGTCGCTCGAGGCAAACGCCCAGACGGATGCGCCCCGGCGACAATGCTCAGCCGCCTCGTCGGGCGAGAGGTAGACGGCCGTCGGCTGCTTCGCCCCAATCATGAGGTTGACGTAGTTGGTCGACCGCAGGCAGTGGTGCGCCGTGCTGAGGAAGCAGTTGGCGTCGGGCGGCAGGTAGACGCGAGCCGCCTCTGCCTTGAGGTTCAGGACGGCGCCAATGAAGGACGGGTTCTGATGGGAGAAGCCGTTGTGCTCCTGCCGGGCCCATGTGCTCGTCTCGATGTAGTTGATGGAGCTGAGGTCGCCCCTCCACTCTATGCTGCGCGCGACCTTGTTAAACTTGGAGTACTGGATCATCATGGTGTGGATGATGCCGAGAAATGCCTCGTACGTTGGAAAGAGGGCTGTCCTGCCCGACAGCGTATAGCCTTGCATAAACGCCTGACAGCAATGCTCGGATAGTATCTCGATGACGCGCCCACCTTGAGCCCGCGAGAATTGATCCCACTGAAAGTTGCGACCGCTGTTTCTCAGCACCGCGTTGAGCTTGTTGCTCTCGAGCTCGTCGGGCGAAAATATGCGGAAGCTGTTTGGGTTGTCCACCGTGACCTTGTCGAGCCACTTGCCAGTCTCGCTCATGCTGCTGGCAACTTGTCCCTTGGCCACCGCAAACAGCTTCCAGTCGGGCACCTGCAGCTTCTGACGAGCGTCACGGGCTGCTTTGATTTGACCGAGCCTCTTCTCGTTGTCTCTTGGCAAGATGTCGAGAATGCTGTCGACAGGCTTGCCGTCTCGAAGGAGCGTGTCAATTTCGTAGCTCTGGAGCCAGTGCTTGAGCATCTTTAGATGGCTCTCCTCTTGATTGGCTTTCGGCACCGGAATCTGGTGGGCGCGAAAGGAGCCCTCGATGAGCTCGCCGTCGACCCTTTTTGGCCCTGTCCAGCCCTTGGGTGTTCTCAGGACCAGCATCGGCCACCGCGGCTTGACCACAGGACTGCCGCTACGAGCAGCCTTCTGTATGTCCTTGATCTCGCGCAGAGCCCACTCGAGGGCGCCGGAAAGCTCGGCGTCGATGTCGGCCAAGTCTTGGACTACGCACACCTGATAGCCGTAGCCGGAAAAAAGGGTGATGAGTTCCTTGTCGTCCATGCACCCGAAAATGGTGCGTTCGGATATCTTGAAGCCGTTAACGTGCAGAATGGGGATGACGGCGCCGCTCTCGGCCGGGTCGAGGTACTTTATGGAGTGCCACGCGCTGTGCGGCATGTCAGCCATGAACAAGTGGCATTGAAGCAAGTGGCCATACGTACGCCGCGGTAGGCCCGCTCTCAGCTTCTCCGTCGCCGACGACGCACGTCACGATCAGGTCGGGGTTGTCCATGACGGCGCCAAAGGAGACTCCGAGGGCGTAACCCAGCTCGCCTCCCTCGTGGATGGCGCCGGGAACCTCGGGATTGATGTGGCTGGGGAAGCCGCCCGGGACGGAGAAGCCCGAGATCAAGTTGCGCAGGCCGGTGTCGTTGACCTGGTATCGATTCGGGTAAAAGCGCTGGAGAGAGCCCTCGAGCCAGAGGGCTGCCAGAGCGGCGGGCGCTCCATGGCCAGGCCCGATGACGAAGATGACTTGCAGCTCGTGCTTGCGTATGAGAAGGTTAAGATGGGCCCAGACCAAGATGAGACCTGGGCAAGTGCCCCAGTGGCCTTGACAGCGTCTGAATCAGCTTGGTTGCTTGCGTTGGGCTCTGGGGGTGGACGGGTGGACTCACCCAGCAGTCTTGGCTTTACGTGCTGGAGCGTGAGCTCTCTTTCAAGCAGGACATTGTCTCGGAGAAAGATCATGGCTGTGGGCGTCAGCCTATAGCACATGATGTGGACTCTTGACAGCTGCGCACGGGGCTGGGGACGTACAGCCCGCAATGTAGCATGCTGCCCGCTGGAAATCTCGCAGCGACCGGGCCACGGCCTTGTCGAGAGGCTTCTTGTCGGGCTTGACGCCCAGCTCCAAGGCGCTGTCGGGCAGCTGGCTTGGTAGCGGAGGCGGATTGGGCTGGTCGATGACTTCGCCGGGCATGTCGGACGCGGCGAACCAGTCGGGCGCTGTAGATTCGGCAGCTGGATTCTGCGAGGCAAAGGCAGAGAGATGGAGTGACGCTGCTCGGTAATTGGAGGCGGGGTCGATCTTCCGATCGCTGACCCGCCGATGACGTTGTCGCGAGTCGCGACTGCCGCGCAAGAGGCCGTGTTCGTTGTTCCAGCTGGCACGGTGAGTATCTTGACAAGGTACGTACTTGGGTCGGTTCGGCACCTAATGATGGCCTTGTATGATATATGAATCTTCCCGTGGAGATGCCTGGCAGAACAGGGGACTCTTTCGAGCCCGGACGCAGCCACAAATATCCCACACGAATAGGCAGGCAGCCAACTCGAAGCCATCAAGGGTGGAGAATTCTGGCGATGCTGCAGGCGCAGGAAAAATTAAGACTGGGCTTACGCGGCCCACGCCGAGGATGCGGCTTGAATATACCATAGACCACTGTCCGGCTCGATCTGGTGCATATGCTACATTGCTACCACTTTCTGGGAGCCGCAGAGGAGGAGGCAGAAGGTGTCGTGAGTTTGGATTAGGTGTGACTTGCACAAGGGGAAACGACGCAGCTGCTTTATGCATATGGGTATGGACTCGTCCAGGCAGATGTCAAGGCAAGCAAAGCTCACGATGAAGCCGCCGGGAACCGGACAACACAGCGGCGAAATATACGACTCGCTGAAAAGAAAAGAATCGGACGTGCTGGATCAGCTTCGAACCGGCATGATGCGACTAAACAGCTATCTACACAGGATAGGAGCAGTAAACTCGGAATTCGTAAGCGAACTTCTTCGAAACCAATTCACCGTCCCGAGAGCTCTGGCTAAACTCATATCGTCGTCACCTTACTATACCCGATTCCACAGCAATTCTCTGACTGGCCCGCTGGGGTCACGTGGTCAGAAGCGGCCAGCATCCCGGCTCCGGTCCGGTACCCGCCAGAAGTCACCGCTCGTGAACCACCTCGTACCTTCACAGCCTGCTCGCCCGTCCGCGGTTCCCCCTATGTACTTGACGAAGCTGCGCCCGACGCCCGCATTGCATCACCAGGCCCCCTTTCATCTCCCTGCTCGCTGGCCGACCAATAGCGCAACTGCCGACCGTGGCAACCGCCCTCCTCGCGACCTGAAAGCCGTCCACCCGCTCGCCCGCTCGTCTACTCGCCTACCGACACGCGGTCATCGTTTGTACGCGAGAGAGCGACGGGCGTGGATGCCAAGGACGCCAAGCAGGCAGATTCAGGGTCTCATATGCCATCTTCGATCCTTAGTCGCGCAACCCGTAAGGGCGACGTGAGGCGCCTTCTCCCTCCAAACATCTCGCAAGCGACAAGAAAACCGTCCCTAGGTCTGGCCTCGTCCCTCGATTTCATGGTCCCGACATCCTCGCCACCATGACCCCACAAATCCTATACCGCGGTCAATTACTTTCCATCGGGTCGGCGGCCGGGCATGAAAGCAACGTGGTCCTTTGCATCCGACATCAACGTGCCGCTGTAAGGTTCTCTCGTCTGCTCTGGGACCAGAAAGAGTCAATTGCGGCGCTGGTCAGAAGTCATCTCGATCTACCCAAGAACGACCCGTGCATCGTTCTTCCACCCGATATCTGGATACCCGGCGGCTTCAATCTGTGTGTCCTTGTTGAGGCCACAGTTGCCGGTAGCTTGACTAAGCTTGTCTTCCGTTGTCCAATGCCTCACAAGCCAGCTGAACGACAGTATCCTGGGACAATCGACGAAAAGGTCAGGTGCGAAGTCGCCGCGTATGCATGGATGCAGGAGCACTGTCACGAGATTCGAATCCCGAGCCTTTACGCCTTCGGTTTTACTGATGGAAGTTAGGCTCGCTATCTTCGGCCTAGCCACCCTTGCGTGCCGCCATCTTCATAGCCCTGCGCCCATCTGTGAAACTCCGCAGTCTCCAAGTCGTAAATGTTACACGGCGGCACCTCGTCCTGAGTATGCCGGTTTATGATAGAGCCTCAATGCCAAGGCCCCCGAAGGTGCCTGTTCGGAATAAGAGCACAGCGAATTTCCCAAAGCCCTGGTAGACGCATCCAGAGATTGGCTCTGTGATTCTGCCCACTCCTCTGTAATCTCCTGGAAGGTTCATTCTAGCATCTAGATTTTGAAAATATGCAGCGGCCACTCGGTTATTCTTGTTTGCTAAAGTGCTGTCGCAGTTCAGAACGCGAACGCCTAGCTTCTCGATCGCCAGCGCGTTGTGGCTACAAAGATATCTGGCCCCCTCTTAGGAGGAATTGTTTGAAGTGTTTATTGTGTTCTTCACACCTGAAAATGTAAATTTCTCCTCGGTGAAGTTCGATATTGTATTTTTGATGGGCATTTCCGTCCTCGTAGACATTGTTGAACTCGATAGGGTACTAGTTCCGCTACCAGCTATCTGAATAAAAAGTCTTCAACCGACATTCCAAATAGCCAAGTCCCCAATTCTGTAAAAGCATCGATGTCGCTTTTCTTCGACGTAATGGTGACCTTTGGATCGTGCCACCCATGGGTCCGCTTCGTCCCAGGCCCACCCTCGCCGTGTAAATCTTCTCCGAGCCAACGACAGCTGTCAAAGTCAACAAGAACCATCTTCCCATCTTCATTGAACATAATGTTGGCTGGTGTAATGTCGTTGTGAACGAGACCAAGAGAATGAAGGTGGTCGATAGCTCCTTTTAACCCTTCAAGCCGTTGCCTCATATCGTCGTTGACAAATAGCCGGCCGCTCCGGAGAAATTCAGCTTTGTTGAGATGTTGAGGGTTGACTGTGTTGGCAAGCGTGCGTGTATACTTTTCGAAGCAGAGACCAGATACCCTTCCCCGAGTTTCCAAGCAGCCAAGGTAGTGGGCAATATTTGGATGTGGATGGCGTCTGAGAAATTCGCATGTCTTGACTTCTTGGCGGAGAAGTTCCTCGAGGTTGGCCTCATTGGCGTAGGAAAGGAGGCCGGGCGTCTTAATGTAATGATCCTGCCCTTCTGCTACCGTCCAGTCAGGCTGCATCCTCGGGCCTCTGTCTTCTGTATCCACCCGCCGCTGGTCGTAAAGGGTAAGGGGAGGTCCCTCTCGATTTTTCCATTTTGCGACAAATAGGCGATCTTCCAATCGTATAAAACGTTGGACGTACTGGAACCGAAATTTGTTGTCAATCCACTTAAACGCTTCATTTGACTGAATGACATCTATAGTTGTGTATGAAGTTGGAAAGAGGTAAGAATGATAGGGAGTAACTTACAAGTCGAGTGAAAACGTGTAAAAAGCCGAAGCCCGTTTATATAAGCAATGGGTCTATCCCCGCATTACGAAAGGCAGTGAAAGGCACTAACAACCCCACTACCAAAAGAAGGACAGCAGGCGCCGACAGGATAAGATAAAGTATTAAATCAAAGGAATTAGCTTAATCAAAGGGTTCATATTAATGATAGCTTTAATTAAGCCTTTAAACTTAGCCCAAGGACATTATATAGGCCTAACTTAAGTATAGGGATATCTCAATGCCCTATTTTGGTTAGCTATTTATAGTCACTGTACCTATATAAGCCTCTCCCTTGTCCTAATAGATAGACCAAGACATGCATCACTAAATTCACCTTTCTATGCCTTCCACTATGCTCTTAAGCCTCTGCTTGAGAGTATCTTAATAAGGTACGTACTTAGCTTAGTTCTATACCTATTAATAGCCTTATATAATATATAAATCTTTCCGTAGAGATACTTAGTAAAATAAATAGGGGACTCTTTTGAGCCCGGACGTAGCTATAAATATCCTATACGAATAAGCGGGCAGCTAACTTAAAGCTTTTAAGGGTAGAGAATTCTAGCGATGCTATAGGCGTAAGAACGATTAAGACTAGGCTTAAGCGATCCACGCCGAGGATGCGGCGATAAGTAGAAACTAGATATATAGCCCGTATATACGGCCATTAAATTTATAGTCGCGATAAAAAGGCTCGACACGGATTAACGACTATTATCGGCAAACTTGCCTTTAGCGTGCGACTATACTAACAAAATACAACCTTACCGTAAGCAGACAGTACTTTAGTTACTGAGGATAGGATGCTAAACACTCAGAGAATTTGGCCTTCAAGTAGGCCTGTCATAGAAAAAATAGCGAACGAGGTTGACCAGCAAGCAATAAGACGACGATCCGTAGGGCTTAGGTGTTAGGTGCCAAAACAAATAGCTAAAACGTAACCTAGATTGTCTCAAGGCCCCATAGGGACTTTCCTCCGGGCGAAATAAAATCCATCCATCCGTCCGTATTACGCCCCGCCTAGGCTTGAGCCAGCTGGTAAGTACAATTTTCTGTTTGCATGTTGCTGGCCAATTTGCTGGTAGCGGCCCCCTCCCGTAAAGAAAGGGCTGGATGGACTCGAACCCCCCATCAATAACGAACATTTTTCGTCCAATCTTGCATCACCATTTGGTCCTAATCCAAAGCTGTGCACTACAACATTTTTCTATACCTTCTGACACCCCATTTCTTGAGATGATCCATATAGGACCGTCGACTGAGGGGGCGGTCAGATAGGGGAAGACCGGGACTATGTGTCAGCAAGACGTTCGATCTAAACTCGTTCTACTTATCTTGCGTTTTCCCCTTGACCCCCTTCTTCTTTGAATAGGGAGATCAAATAGGGGAAAGTTGATAAAAGCCCGGGGAAGGAGGGGGGGGTTAGGCTTTGAACGTACCTCGCAGTAAAGCCATGGCGCGAGCGCATTATTTCCCTAACGACTTCGAGCGGCTCGTTCTCGTGGATATAGAGCCGAATAATCTCCTCGCGGTACAAGTCGAAGGATGTCGTGGAAATTTTTTGGCCGGGTTCAAAGCGCCTGGATATGTAAGGAAGCTCGCTGTCAACGTCGGGGAGATTCTTTTCCTCGTATTCTTGGCTTGCCATTTCGCCACCCTCTGGAAACTCGTCGTCATTCTGGCCTGTGCTGTTTTCACTATGATGGCGCACTTCGTTTCTGGAATCATCTTCATCCATTTCTTCATCTCCCAGGTGGGATAAAGTAAAGAGAGCGAGCTGTTCGAGATGCCCTCCAATGTGAGAATCGTAATGTTTGGCCGAGGTAATATGGAAATCACAGCAAAGGGGACATGTCCCTTCAGCTTTCGATAGGTCAGAACCGGTGCTTAGTCTTTCCAGAGTATCCATCTTGTCGGGAGGGATTGTCTGTCCATGACTCGTCTTGGTGTGCTTTCGGAAGTCCTCGATAGTAGGAAAATCTTCTGGACATCCCAAGGGGCAGTGCCAGACTATCCAATGTTCGCGTCTCATGTGCGTGGACCAGTCACCACGGCGGGAAAACAGTTGATCTGGTGTTCGGCAAGCCCCCGAGAGGCAAATGTAGGGTTGCAGATCACTGAAGACATGTCTTCTATGTTTCGGGAATAGTTAGAGTTATCCTCATTTAACTGCCGGCAAAGGGCCTAACGTACTTCCAGCCATGTCTTGTGTCTATCGACATAATCATGTGGCAGAATGGACACTTGAACGGCCCGTCGACGTACTCCTTCGGTATTGGGGGTACTCGCATTTGGCCAGAATTTGGAAGTGACGGAGCGTATGAAGTTCTCGAGGTATTAGACTGGCTATCATCCAAACCAGCAAAATCCTTGCTGGCAGATTCGTGGGATTTCTTCAAATGTCCAGGGAGGGTGGAGGCAATTGTTGTTGCATACTCATAATTATCTGGCTTATCGCTGTCTAAGCCCTCAGCCAGCTTGTTAGAGTGATCCTCTCGGTACTTGAAGTATAGATGTCGCCGCGCCATGGCCCTCCCGAGTCTCTCTACCCTCTTTGTGTCCACCTGAGTAAACTTTTCCAAGACGTGCTTCATGTACCAGTCTTGGAATATCTCGGCCGTGCCTAGCCCGACTCTCGATTTGAATTGGTCGTGAGGAGCTGGGTTGCTGATCGTTATAGATAGCCTGAGGAGACAGTCGACCACATGTCCGATCTCTTCGAGAATCTGGTCAATGTCGGACCCAGACTTCTCGTCATGCTGGAAATACTCGACAAGTTCACCATCGATAGAATCCAAACTCTCATTCCTTCCAACTTCGAGATTCGTTCCCTCCGCTGCTGAGGTACCTGAGTTGGATTAGTGTGATATTTCTTCTGGGAGGTAATGCCAAATCCTGCCTTCATCGATGGTGCGGTAGAGGTCTCGGAGAAGGGAAATGATGTGGTTGCGAATGAAGGACGCGTCGCGAAGGCGATATTCAAGAGAACGACTTCCGGACGGACGATGAGCTCCCAAGCTGCCAGCCCATAACTTGAACCGTGCTAAGTGAGAGCTAGCTATCGGGATCTGTGTCCTGCGATCCTTCAGGGCTAAGATCAGGGTCTTGAACTCTGAAACGCTGCGGACTACAAGCGTGGCAATTTGAGGCTCAGTGCCGCCTCGGGGGGCCTCTGGCATCTTGGAGATGGCGATGGCGACCGCTTGAAAGGGGATGAGGTAGCCAACCCGCTCGAAGCCACAGATGCCCAGAACATCGGCCTTTTCAGAGGCAAAACGTGCTTACTTCATCGAAATATTGATATGTTATTGGCGGCCAATGATGCAATGTCATCGGGCTGACGGAGTATATGGAAATCCCTCTACGCTCATCTCGAACGCGGGGATCGCATCGCAGTCTGTCCTTGATAAGCTCAAACCTACATCGCGATAACAATTTGTCAACTTTCGATTGACCCGGTGCAGGCTGTCAGATGCATCATGTCTGGCCTAGAAGTAGTCGGCCTAGTTGTTGGTATTCTACCCCTGGCGGTAAAGGCTCTCAAGGGCTACCGCACCATTCTTTCGGGAGTGAGAAACGTTGATCGTGACCTCAACGCTCTCATACGTGACATTGAAACCGAACACGTTAGGCTCCGGGCTACCTGCGAGATTCTCCTCGACGGGGTCGCACCTTCACTTGTCATGGACAAGATGATCCAAGCTCCCTTTGGACCTGCTTGGAAACCATACAACGACCAGCTTCGGCTCCGGCTCTGGACGGAATGCGGTCAGTTCGAGGAGCTAGTTGCAGAGATGTGGAAGACCGCTCAGGGGTTGGAGGCCAAGTTGGGTATCGAAGAGGACGGCAAGGTGCGTACAGCCGGGTCGAGTACTGTGGAAGCTCATCAACTGACGTTGGACTTATTCCCCAGACGAGACTGACGGACCGCGTTGCGATTCTCCGGGAGCTCCAACGGCGCACGATCTTCACCTTGAAGAAGAAGGACTTCGAGGAGACTATATCCAGATTTAAAACGGCAAACTCTGTTCTCTATGAGCTCGCTGGGAGAAACTGCGGGCTTGAGCCCACTAGACGGCGCCGCTCCCAGGCTCGGGTTATTAAGCTTGTCCGAGGGCTGACACTGGGCATCTTCAACGCTCTTCGAAGTGCGAAAACTTGCCGATGCGCCGACTCGCACAATGTCGGCCTGGAGCTGGCCCCGAGGAACGTGGTTCTAGTGCCCAGCGACGATGACGATCAAGTCGCCAAGAAATTCAACTTCCACGTGGTAATGGGGTCAAAGCATCCCGCTCCTGATGAAGGCGCTGCTGGAACAGCGCAGGGAGTTACAGATACGCAAAAGACGGCACCGAGCTACTGGCAGAGTCTCTTGGTTAGACCCGCAGGGTTTGGTAAATCGTCAGCGCCAGCGCAGTCTTCAACTATTCCCGTAGCTTCTACGGCCCGGGAGCCATCACAGAGGGTCAACTGGCCTATGCCGTTGAGCTTCAGGCCTGCCAGAGAAGCATCGATGTCAGCAACGCAAACACTTCTTGAGGTGTCCCAAAGTGTCATCATTCCCCCGACACAAACCCCAACCTACGACCCATCGGAAATATCGAACCTCTGTCAAGATGTGTTGAGACGACAAAAGGAGCTTGCAGGGGATTGCTATGGATACATCACAGACGTTGGGGGCAAGTTCGGGCTCTACCCGCGGCAGAACCGGTCGCAATTGTCTATCGCGGCCACGCTTCGCCAAGTCCTCGGAGGAAAGGGGCCGGATCTCCCGCGATTTGACTACCCAGAAAAACTCACGGTTGCGCTAGCACTTTCTGCTAGCATCCTCCATCTTTACAAAACTCCATGGCTGGGAAGGATTCTTACACTGGACGACGTAGTGTTCCTTCGAGAGCATGGCCCTTTAGCACCTCACGCCGACTCCTCTCTATACCGACCGTTCCTGGTCAAGGTTTTCCACGAATTGGATTCTTCGACTTCAGAGTCCCAAGATACCAGGGCGTTGAACACGCCGGGACCAATCAACCTAACCGTGTTGTCCCTGGTGGCCCTGCTGATCCAGGTAATTATAGGAAGGACGGATAACGAGCTTGACGTAACGGGTATTATGAACAGCAACTCGATCCTCTCGAAAATTAAAGCTGGGCATCGGTTTGGGGACCAGATACTACAAAGCGGCGGGATAAATTACGCGGAGGCAGTAAAGTGGTGCTTGAAGAGCACTTTTGGGGCAGGCGGCTTGGATAACGATAATTTTTGCCAGAGCTTTTATGTAGAAGTCATGGCGAGGCTGTCAGAGGATATGGAGCTACTGCTAAGTAACGATCAATAACCGAACCCTTCAAATAAAATGGGCCCCTCTGTGGACAGGCTCTTCACTGCAGTGAGGTTATTCGAACTGGTTCAATTGGTTATATCTTGTGTAACTAGGGAAACGTGTCCCATACAAACTGTGTGCAAAGACCTTCCTCCCTGTGTCTCACCTCTTACTCGCACGTGACTAGCGCGGTCGATTAGTTATACGTGCGCGATCGGTGCCTAGTGCACAGGTGGATCCAACACTGGAACCTCTTTCTAAATCGATGATCGCGCACTAATCAATCCACCAAAACACACCAAACACAGCGAATTAAGATGAGATAGGAAAAACACGAACAAGAACACCAACAAACTCCTACCACGATGCATCACTATGTTGGATAGTGTGCTCTGACTGTAGCTCTCCCTCCCCCACACTGGGTGTGTTCTGCCACACGCCATCATGGGCCGCATTTCGAGCGCCGGATGCGCTAGCTGATTCCATCGGTCCCACGTTGGAATATGGACACGAGGATCTCCTCGTTAATGTGAATGGAATAAAAGAACGACGGTAAAGCAGAAGAAGGAACGAAAACCGATTAAATCTCGTCGAGAATTGTTGTGTTATTGCGATGAACGAATCCTTCCACCCTCACGTTTAGCTGATTGTCGCTAATAAACTGCGTGAGGGCGCTGTTTGTGATGCCTTCGTCATAGCATCGGCAGGGTTATCTGCGCCGTTGACCCAACGGATTTCCGCAATATCCCTTGATTCATATGCCTGCCTCAGCGCCATGATATCTATCATGAGTCGCTTCTCTGTTGTGGTGCCAAGTTTGACGAGGCACTCATAGAGGCTATATGAATCTGTGCAAATGACGAGCGGGATTTGCTTCAGATCAAGGCGTTGTGCGATCGTATTGACCGTTTGCTTGATCACAAATGCGAGATCGAAGCCCGATGTCAATCCATAGATCTCTGATGCAAGAACGCTTCGAGTAACGCGCTTGCATTTAGTTGAGCTCAATGAAGAATGTTTCCGCGGATGGAAAATGAATCGGTTGATTGCGCGGTCTCATTGGCGATGATAATCACAAAGCCGATTTGAGAGCTTAAATCCTTATTGTTGGCGAATGATCCATCGGTGAACACAAAGATCTTCGCGCTCTCGAGATCGATGGGTATGTAACATAGGCCACGGTCGGGATTGTTGATCTGCCATTCAATCCGCTTGTTCAAAGCCTTGAAGTCGGTATTAACGGGCTCTTGGGCTTGTGCCGCAACGGAACAATCGTATGTTGCTTCGGGTTGGCAAATCGAAGCGATATATGCCCCGGGCGCGTTGAGCAGCATAATCCTGATGCCTACTTGATGCCTGAAGATTGATCTCCTCGAGGTTTTGGGCTTGGCCCTTCTGCCTGACGATGACACAGCCATTTTGTATGGTCAGGCGGCTGCCGTTAAAGTCGCAGATGGAACCTTCTTGGAGAATCTCTTTGGCTTGGCCTTAAAGCAGAGTTCTTTCTCCTCGATCTTGAGAAATGCATCTGTGCCAACAATGAATGTGTCATCCGTTTGCAAGGCCGCGATGCCAAACAGGTCCTTGTCGGCGATGTTGTTTGCCGTGATCAGAAGGCACGGGTCAAACGAAGAGGTTTCCATATTAAGCTTGCGGCAGTGATGGTCGTGATATGTGTTGAACCAGTGGGCTCCTGCCTCTGCGATGCCATATAGCGGCTTCACGATTCGCAGGATTGTTCCCTCTGGATATCTTCTTTTGAGTTCTTGAGGAAGGGCTGCAAGGATGACACGGGCCAGCTTGGTCTGGGATTGTGTGTATGCCATCGTGATGTCTCTGATCATGATGAACATATCCCGTGTGCAGAGAAACGGTGCTAAGGCCAAGGCCACGCGTTGTGCGGGCCGGCTGATGGTAGGGGCTTGTGTGAGGATCCCACGTTTCCCATCATCATTGTATCCTTGCACAACGAGGCGTGATTTCTCGTATGGCGTTGCAGTATTTCTTCCCTTAACCTCTCTGACCATTCGTGATTTGAAGACACGATATCCACCATGTTTATTCGCATCGAATTCTTCGGGTACAATGACCCCAGCGGCGAGGAGGTTCGTGAGCTCGAGTGTGTCGGAAGCTTCAAATGGGAAACCGGTGCTTGTGATCTTTCCTTCAGCTCGTAGCCGCTTGGCTAGGCCGAGATGTTCCATTTCTTTTCGAACAAGAAACGCATTAGCTTCATGATGAACGATAAATTGAACGGGTGAGCAAACAATAGTGGATTCTGATGTGCCATTTTGTGCAGCATCCTTCCTAGGTCGGCCACGCCTGCGCGGCCTCTTTGGCTCAGGGTATTCGAAAGGTTTGGGTTGGTCTTCTGTGGTAGGAAGAGGAAGAGGTTGTTGAGTTGTGGGTGGAAGGGAAGAGGGTTTTGAAGAGGATGTTGTTGATCGGATTGTGTTGAGGAAGGAGTGATTGTTGTGTTGATGGGTCTGTGCGGCTAGGGCTAGGGTCGGGTTGCAACTGAGGAAGGAGCGATTCCGGGTGACGATAGTACGGTTGGACGCATGTACTGCGAAATTTCGCTGGTCCGTTGTCCAGGTCAACTGCGATTTCCGTATCCGTCACCTCGAGCACTTTATATGGGCCTTGCCATCCGTGCTTCTCGCGAAATACGCGAACTTCGCTTCCTAGCGCCAGGGATAGGGGCAGGCGCAACGCTGTATCAGGCCCATTACGCGTATTTAACGCGGTCTGAACCTTCCTCTGGGCGTTGATCTTCCTCAGCTCTGACATCGTTCGCCACACCGCCTTAGCTCTTGCCATTGCGGAAGGTGTAGGCGGCGAATCCATCGTCATTCGAGGCAGAGCACCGAAGACGAGGAGGGTTGGAACGAGGCCATCCGGACCGGCTGTGTCGTTGACAGCCTTGAAAGCCATTTGAAGGACTTGATCAGGGCTCACGGTATCCTTCAGCTCTGCCTTTAATATATCATATGCTCTTCGGACGGGCACATGATACTTCTCAACCTTCCCAACAGCCCAATGTGCTTCCACAGGCACCTGATGACACGTTATTCCCATCAATTTCGCTTCTGCTTGGAACTCGGCAGCAGCGAAATTCGTGCCTGCGTCATGAGTGATCACATCGGGTGGTCCAAGGTATGTATCCATCCAACATTGTTTCAACGCGAGCCACGTTTCCTTGGCCGTCATGTTGGATAGGAATCTCCCTGCCTGATAGGCAGTGGCTTGATCAACAACATGGAGGACTGGTCTGCCACCCAATGTCATGACATCAACGATGACTTCGTAATTGAAGTCACAATCATCCTTCAAGCTGAACTTGAACCTTCGTGGCGGGTCGGATTTCATCTGACAGTAGTGGCAGAACTTCTTGATCATTTCCAGAGCTTCGATTTCCACATCATGGCCAGCCGAATTCAGCAGCTTGTGCAGCCGATACACGGATGGATGACCAAAACGCGTGTGGAGGCGCCGCAATTCAGCCTCCGTGAGATATGCCACTGATGCCTCTTGTTTCCGCAAGAAGAACCACGCGTGACCCCATCTTCGAATCACTGGAACGCTCACACCATTGCCAACGAGCTCGTTCGTGACGTTATTTAAATATACGCCGAGCCGATCCATATCAGCTAGGCATAGGAGGAATGGCGTTGGCACGTTGACTATATGAAAATCAACCTCTCCCACTGGTGTGTTCAAGGTGATCACGCCAAGTGGTGTTTCCAATCTTCCTGCACCAAATCTAACTGGTTCGGGCTTGCGATCATCACGGAATTGGACTGGGGGCATCTCTCGTTGGAGAGCACGCAGTTGTTCGATTCCTCCGTCGATATGCATGCCGCACCTGTGTCCGGCATGATTCCTTGGAACGAGTCTTGAGAGTAACGATCTAGTATGAATTGTGTGGGTTCGTCACTGTTGAATAACTTGATGCCTACTGGAGAGATCCGATGATGGAAAGCTTCGTTGGACAGAAAGGTCGCAGCAGCGTAGAACGATTCATAAGGGTCAGAGGAGTCAGAATCATCGGATTCCTCGGTTCTCGAGTCATCCTGATCCTGTGATTCCCCTTCATAGTCAGCCAAGAACATAGCATACGAACGAGATTGACCGTGGAAGCCTCTCTCTCGTAGATACTTCTCTTTGGCTGCTTTTCTCTCGTTTTCAGGATGTCTCGTTGAGAAACAACCTTCCTTGC